AAGCCAACCACATGTCAAAAGGCCCTGCACTGCAGCCAAGTAGAGAGCAGGATTAGCCGCTATATCAAAACGACCCATTTCTTCCCAGATCTTCAAAGCATTTTCCGGTTGCTTTCCCTTGAACAGTTTTCCAAGAACGAGGAGAAAGGTGTCTTCTTTAGGACCTAACCAAGAAATCTTCATTTGGCCTAAAACCTCTAAAGTCTGATCAAAATCTACAGCCTCAAGGAATGCATGAAATGTATCAACTGTTGGATTTAGCTTCTCACTTATCATGGTTTCCAACACATCCCTGGCTTCTTCCACCTTTCCAGCCTCACAAAGCGGCCGTATCATCGAGTCATAAGTGACAGAATCTGGCTTTAACCCTTCCTCCTTCATCTTTTCCATAAGCTTCATAGCTTCATCAAAGCAATCCTCACGTGTCAGCACATAAACCAAAGAACTGTAAACTTCAACCCCTGGAGCCAACCCTCGTTTCTTCATCTCATCGTAGAGCCTGAGAGAATCAAAAAGGTTCCCAACTTTAGAGAAGCAAGAGATCATGTGACTGTATGAGTCCTTGTTAGGCGTGACACAGTAATTCCCCATCTCTCGCCAAACCCTCTTCGCTTCAGCCACATCAGTCCAAATGTTACACCAACCGTTAAGAATTACGTTGAACCCCTCAACATCCACCGGAAAGAGCTTTTTGCTTGCAAGCATAAACTCTTCAGCTTTTTCAATGTGCCCATGTCTACATAATGCATACAACAACCCTTGAAATGCTTCTTCATCAGGAATGTGCTTAAACTTATCCATGAGACCAAATGTTCTAATAGCTTGGCTAGTATCATTAGCAGCAGCATATCTACACTCAATACCAATACACACCAATTCAATACCTAGCAAAAATTCAACAGGTGAGGAACTTTGCATATCTAAGAAGAAGAGGAAACTCTAACCTGTCCATCATGAGGAACATGGCCTTTCGAGTGTCCCTTGAAGCATTGAACATATCACGGATCAAACACCAAGCAATGTTGAACTTTTGATGATTACCCAAAACCCAGATCATCAAGTCACAAGCTTTCTGATCATCGCAGCCGCGTTTCTCTCCCCATTTGAATGCCAGAAAGGCAAGCCTCCACTCATCTCTTAGTTCCCAGATTAGAGAGTACACAGAATCGTGACTGAGACCAAAGGAGGACTCTTCTAGAGAAGCCATGGCATCCGACTCCGACTCTAGCTCAGAGACCTCTCTGACTAAATCAATCAGACCCTGTTCCAGCGGAGCAAAGACTTCGTTGACATCAAATGTTTCGGAGATGGTTTGGGTGGAGAATCGATTGGACGAGACGAAATTGGGTACGTAGCTTAAGATTTGAGAATGTACAAGACCTGCTCGACGAAATGCTGAAGAGAAGGAAGCAATTTGGAAATACGAGTTAGAAGAAGATGTCGACACTGCACGTAGAAGCAGATATTGATGTTGAACAATCCGCCATTGAGTCGTTCGCGTTAGTTTCGCCACAATCGCAGCCATAGCTCACCGGAAGTGAGTGAAGGAAAGAGGTTTTAGTCGCCAGAAGTAAGAGTGCGCATGTTATCATTCACTACGCTCTTCCGCACCAGATTTTGATTTCTTTCTTCGAAAATGGGCTTGTAAAAGTAATATTGACTTTTAAGGCCCAATTGGACAAGAAGGGTCGTCTTCCTTATCTCTGAGAGAGGGTCTAAAGCTGATAAACCCTGGACCAGAAGGGGAAATCTGAATCGGAGAAGTTGAAGGGAAACTGAGATGGGAAGTGAGAGTAAGAACAAGGGAGCTTCAAATTTGGGAGGAGGAGGAGGATTTAGGGCAAAGATGGAGCACTATGTCTACAGTGGCGAAAAGAAGCACGTTTTTGCTGGGATCGGGATCATCACCATCATCTTCGGAATCCCTTGGTATCTAATGAATCAAGGTCCGTTTTCCAATGTCGATTATAAATCCTTTGTTTGAATAAGCAATGATTACGAGCAAAGTCAACTTTTTTAAGAAGAAATGTAGCTTTTTTTCCCGGAAATGTGTCATTTTGAAATCGATGGCAATGGAATTGGGAAGAGTATAACGAGTCAGTAGTAGTCACAGTGTTTTATGTTGTTAGAATCGTAGACTTGCATGATCACAACCCTACTTTCTTTCTCTGCTTTTCCTCTCATGATCACAAATTAGAACAATCCTCCTAACACATAGGCCTAATTGTTGTTAAATTCTTGGTGTCTTTCAGGATCTAAGCATCGGTCACACCAAGACTACATGGAAAAAGCAGATAAAGCTCGGAAATCACGTCTCTCATCATCATCTTCAGCTTCATCCTCTGACAAGTAGTTGTCTCCAAGTAGTCTTCTTTTTGTAGCCTCTAGTGCTTGTGGCGTTTTCCATGTCCATAGAAACATAACTCAGTTTGTGGTTTTAGTTCAGATATGTATCATTTCACTGTTCTCAAGTTTCTGTATCAAATAAATGAAAATTTTCACATACACAGATAAATGACAAAGTTGGAGAATTTCTTCATTCTCATAACATTTCCTCTACAATAACACTGTTTCATCATCTTGTGAAGATCACAGATGGTTAATGAATATAAGCAACATGAAAACAGTAATAGCCAAATCATCTACTTGTCCAGGCTGCTATGTCCTCACAGAGGCATGAGTCTTCTACGTTTGTAGAACCAGACGAACGCCAAAAATATAAGAAGGCCACAGACTCCAGTTATGGCCAAAACCCATTTGAAAGCACCAGGCACTTCGAAGAAATCTATCTCAAAATTCATCCCAAAGATCCCAGCTACAACCCCGAAGATGGCTACAACGAATGTCGCTGTTGTTAGCAACAGCTCGAACTGGATCAGCTGATTCCGTACGTTATCCTGAAAATCCCAAAACATTTCAGCACACTCTTATGGTAAGTATGATCAAGATTTAAAGGTATTACCAATTGAATGTTGATGAAATCTTCAGTATCATCAATGTACTCCTTTAACTGATAAATAAAGAGAGGATTATACAACTTTTAACCGCTGTTAAAGCGAGATGATGAATGAATATGAAGGAGTGGTTTTGATGTTTACCGAGGTTAGCTTGTTGAGAGTGCTATCGATGACAACAAAGTATGCTTCCAGCAACATCTCAAGCTCCTCTATATTCTCTGTTGTGCTCTCTGAGCTTCTCGCACTGTCATGCCGACTCCTTGCAATGCTCAAGCTTTTCTCAAGTCTCCGGGAATCAGGAGGAGAAGAAACAGGAGAAACTGGTGCAGAAAGAGACTGACCTATCATTTGATTTGTATCCAAGTACGGACTGATCACCATACAAAGATCCTTCCATTCTCTTCTTCTTCTCCGTCAGATACATTTCCGCCATATCTCCATCATCGTCCATCAACTGTTCAATCTCGTCACGAACTTTCTGAACTCTCCTCGTCAATGCTACAAGTCTGCTCTTTAGTCTACGCACACGCTCCAAGTTTAAAGTACTGATCTTTGAGGTAAGCTCATCCAGTAACGGGTAGGCTTCAATCTCCAACTCCGAAGCCTGTGAATCAAGAAACGTACAAGCAGCTTCGAGTGCGATCTCAAGAGCTCTAAACTCGAAAGGTAAATAGTCAGGGGATGAGTTTTGAAACACATTGTCTAAGCTCCTACTCCTCCTCCTGCTCAATTCAAGACTATCCTGATTCCAAACCTCACCAACAGCACTCGCTTTAAGCCTCTGCTGCAGCTCAACCACATAGCGAAGCACATAGTTGTCAAGCGAATTCAACAGCAAAACCTCATCCGCAGTGATAATGCAACGGATCTGCTCCAAGTTCACAACAATGGCCTTCTCTCGTCCCAAGATAGTCGACGGATACACAAACAAAGGATCAAGGAGACGCAAATCACGTGCTGGCAAGTCGCATCTACGCATCATAGTGAACTTATCGACCTCAATGACCTGAGTGTTGGCGAAAGTGTCAACACGAATCCATGACTTGAGCCCTTGTCCACGCTTCTTCAGACCCAAAACATCAACTCCGAGGAGTGGCTGCCTTCCTGATGCAGAAGGCCGAGACGCTGCATCGCCTCTGAGGTTTAGAGCTGAAGCAGGTCTTGAAGGAACCAAACGCTCTTTGAGATCAGACATTGTTGCCAATATCCAGATACTACACATAGCCAAAAAGGACGAAAGATTACAAGAATGGAAATTTCTCTTATCTATAAGCCATAAGCAACAGATTAAGAAATAAAAGAAGAAACTTCAAACCTCCGGTTGAAGAAACCAAGACCGATTTAGCCAAACTGTAATCCGAAAACGAAGAAGCAGCCTCAGAATTTGATCAAGTATCTGCACAAAATTAGACCAAGAACAACAAATCATACAGCAGAAGGCGAGGATTAGATCAAAGAACGATTCAGGGTTAAAATTCTGAGTCATATCACATAAGTCATCGAATCGGAATGGGACCCAGAATCAGATAGATTCTCTGAAACCACAAAACAGAGAAAAAAAAAAGAAAAACTCACCAAAAAAGACTCAAATTGCACAGAAAGATTCGAACTTGCTGCAGAAATCTCGCGACGAGAAAACCCTAAGAACGAGAATCGATAGTAATCGAGAGTGGATTGTCGAAATGGTTTTCGTTGGATTCGTAACTAATTTGCTTGGAGTGAATGCGAAGAAGCACAAAGCAAACACCTTTTGCCCTTGTGGACGAAAATGGTTTAAAATTCCGAAGTGCAAACCGATTATTGACTAATTTACGTTGGTTGAGACTCTTATTTACCGGTTTAACACTAACTTTCCATTAGTAATCTAATCTTAACTACTCCAAAAGTTCGGTAGATAGTTAATGTTGTCTACAAACAAATTAATTAAACGTGACTAAGATAATTTTTTTTTTTGTCGTCTAGAATTTTATTAGAATGAAGAAGATACAAGGTGTTACACACCAATCATACTAACTGGCGGATATCAAGAGATCCCCAGAAATTAAGCCCATACAAGGGAAACAACAAATTAAACTACACCACAACAACTCTTAAAACAACTCTTAAACTACTTAGAGACTAAGTTAATTAATATGGCAAATGTTGTGACCAGTTCTTAAATTGTTTATTAGAATGAGATAACAACGTGCAAGAGTCAGTGGAAAGAAACAGTGATGACGTAAGCCGCTGAGAATCTATCTAAAGATCCTCTTCAGACCCGATTCACATATTGACCCGAACCATAATATCCCGGTAGCTTTATCGACCGACCCGTTTACCTGGTTTCCTCTACCTTCTGAGGTTTCGCGGAAAAATCATCGATCGGTTGAAATCTGAGTCTTTAATCATCTGAAATCCTCATATCTGTTAGTGATTCGCGTTCTGGGCATTGAACTATTCCAATCATTGGAGCTCGATCACTCCTTGGACTTTGCTCTTAGACTTCATCCTCGAGGTGATCAAATTCGATCAAATTCGCAATTTTTGTTGGTTTTTTGCTTACAACTTGAAATGGGTTTTGCGATTTCTGTACGAAATTGATCAAATTTCGACGATCAGTCATTCTTTCGATGATTTTTCTTTTCCATTTTGTTTGCGGAAATCTATGTTGTTGCATTACCATTCTGCTGCGTCGATGTGACCGAGACACTCTTAATTTTATGAGTAGCTTAGACACAGAGTTGTAGTATCGCCTAATTTCTGATACAAATTTGCTTTTGTGTGCTTAAAGGTGTTATGAGCTCTTAGAGGCTATGGGAATGGCGTCCATGAGCTCTGGTAGTGAAAGTCTTAGACTTTGCGTGTTTGACTTGAGGAGAGGCCAAAACGAAGGTCAGGAATTGGACAAGATCTTGTTCTTCTATCCTCCTGATCAAACCTTCTCCACTCAGTTATCGGTTATTGGGCTCAGTGAAGGGCTTATCACCTTTACAAGGTCAGCTTTATAGAGAGATTCTCCTTCTTCTCAGTTGTTACAAACTCATGGATTCAAATTGGTTTAGTTTGTTTATGGGATAAAAATGCAGACTTTTCTCACCGGAGGCAGCTTGTGAGGTAATAGAAGCAGAGAGACATTCCCATGTTTTCTATGAAGCCGAGCCAGACATATGGATGGTCATGGTACATCATTCATCAACAACTCTTTTATCACTTGTTATGCCACTTGAGTTTCACCATCATTCATATGCATAAAGAGATCAAAATTTGATATTAGACTTTGGTAGGTTGTAGAGAAAAACAAGGAGATTGAAGCCATATGGAGGGTTGATGCATTGCAGAGAATACTCAAGGAAGTTCACTCTCTCTTTGTCATGTTTCATGGATCAATTAGGGCATTGCTTGAAAAAGAACCAACCGGAGGGCTTACTCGATCGCACTTGTATCCATTCATCACTGACTACTTAAATGGTAAAGCAATATCCACCAAAATCTAGCAAATATCAAATCCTTGTCATAGAAACTTGTCAATAAGTTTTCTGTTTTGTGGTCAGATCTTTTTGTTGGGAAGAAACTTCAGTTACCTTCTTTCCGCGAAACTCTGAAAGAGCGTGGAACTGTTCAAATGCTTACGTTAGCAAGAGACGCAGCCATTGAAGTTCAGGTTTGTTTCTCCATCATAAACTCCATTTCGGTGTAACACACTTTAATAGTTCACTGTTTTGACTAGTGTTTTCTTAGATGTGTACAGTCTCTTGTAGGAGTGCTAGATTCATGTGCTGGTACCGTTCGATGCCACTCTATGATTCTATTTCATGACCTACTGGTGTCAACAACTCTCTCACCTGTATGTTTTCAAATCCTCTGTGTCAATAAGATTCTTGATTTGTCATTGTTATGCGTAGACTATATTATCTTTGGCGTCTCTTTCTCTTATGTCAGGATGATACCGTCGACGTGTTTACATATTCTGTCATGAGATTGACCAGAAACGCGATATCCTCTGGCACGAGCTCCTGGTCATATCTACGCAAGGGATCCACTTTATCTCAAATCTCTTCTAGATCTTCCTCTCCGCAACTTCTTGGTTCAAGTGATCCATCATTGCCTTCAGGAAATGGTAACAACGCCGGTCGTGTGATTAGACCATTGCAGCACGATAAGTGGTCGAAAGGGACAGATGGGTTTCTGGTAACCGATATATGGGGTAGAGATGCGACCCCAACAATCTTGCTACAGCAGACACAAGAAAGAGTTTATCTTTTGACTTATCAATACAAAAATCTCACCTTGGTTCTTCTCGTTCCTGACAATGCCATTGTCAATGGAGAGCTTGACATCTCCTTCGTGAAGCATCAAGTTATTGAAAACGTAAGCTGCTCTCTGTGTAAACCTCTCTTTCCCTCATTGCAATCTTCTATGGCTCCATCTTTTATCTTATGTTGTGTTTTTGCAGGCATCGGCGAAAATCTTGAAAGTGGAAGAGAAGATAACGAAAGGATGGGGCGGTGAGAATGCTTACCATGTAAGCGGTTACCGTTACTTGATAGTTGATACTGACATGGAAGTATCCAGAGCTTCTCCACCGGGAAAGGTAGCAACTTTGGCAAAGGTGAGAGAGAGCTTACATCAGTTTAGTGACTTGCACAAACCAAAACTAGGATCAAATTCAAAAAACTTGAATCTTTGGTCTCACAGGAAACTTTACTTGCACAAAACAAGCTAAGGGAAACAGTGGATACAGAGAAGAGCCGGACGAAGGAAGAGAAAGACATGGAGATAAGCATTCGAGCTAAGAACAACGCGTGGGTCATGGCTCGTTTAACCAGAGGTAAAGAGCTTTACATGGCTTTGGAGAAAGCAAGTGAGACTCTTCTTGATGCAACAGACTCTGTCCAGAGTTTCAGCCACAAGTACTGCAGCGGAGTATTCTCCATGGATTAGATTCTGTAACTTTCTTATTGCAACTGAGAACTGTCTTTTTTTTTTGCAGTATTTTGAGATGTTTCGGTTTTTATTTTATACACACAAAAGGAGAACCGTTACAAAGAATGAAAATTTGGTCAACATTGGATATAACGGAAATCAAAAGACTTGACCTTTGACAGTTTGAAAAGGTCAAACAGAAACTTAAACTCTGATTTTATTTCATTAGTTCCAAATTTACGAAAGCTTAAAAGGCTTTTGATCGTGATTACACAAAGGAGAAATGACTTTATTTACATTTTTAGTAATCATTAACGAGACAATTCCAAACTATTTACATTGTTCCTTCAGTCTCTGTTGTTATTTATGTGCACTGATTCGATCATTTCGAAATTATGAAAATAATCTTTCAAGCGTAAGGATTGACGTGAGATGAGTAATCTCGTGTTCCTGCACCTTCCCATCCCATCCATTCTTCCCACGTGTCGCAATCTGGATCATTCATACCGTTTAACCCCTCGTCGTATACATCGAACGGCTGAAATTCCTCCGCCCCTTCCATCTGGTTCTTAATTTGCTTCAACACAATCTGCAAAAACCCAAAAAAACAAAAGGAGATCAATTTTCCATTACAAAAGACCTTTAAATTTAAACAAACAAAGGTAAAGATGTTCTCTTTAACACACACTTACATCGTAAGCTTCGTTGATTGTCTGAAACTGAACACCACAATTGCTTCCTCTACAAACATCAGGATGATACTGCAAAAGTAAAAAAAAAAAAACTTTAAGAAACCCAGAGGATTAAATCGATGAAAAAATCGAATTTTTCGTAACAGAGAGAATCAGATCTAAACGATCGAGCAGAAGAAAAGTCGAACCTTTTTAGCGAGTTGTCTGAAAGCTTTCTTGACCTCGTATTCGGACGAATCGGGTCGGATCCTAAGAGTCTTATACGGATCCATTACAGAAGATGAAGAGCAAACGGCTCCTGGTCTGTTCATCATCTTCGTGCTCTTTCTTCTGCTGTTTTTTAATCGAAACGTTGAAGATGATGACGAAAACGAAGATCCGGGTAGACCCGAGAACCCGTTTCCTCCAATCGTTAAAGCGATAGTCATATTTTTTTTCACTTTTAAAGAAGGAATTAAACAGAAAACCTAGAAGGATATATGGTTTCAGACAGAATTAAAATGTGGAGAACTTTTTGTAGATTAAAGTGATTTGCAAGGTTCAATAATGGGGATTGGATTATATAGAAGGAGAGAGAGAGGGAGGTCGGATTAATTTATAGAGAGAGAAAGGGGTGACTCATCTTTTTGTCATCTAAAAGTGTCCTTATCCATAACGCTACCGATTTCCAAGGGCAATTGGCTTTTACTATTTTTTATATTTAGATAAACCTTTTATCCATTCCTGCTTTTTTGTTACGATTATGTTTTAGATAATTTAATATATTTTTTTCTAAATTAAGAAAACCATATACTGTGTGGTGTTGGGGTCTAATTTCTGGTGTGCTTTAACAAAATGTGAAAGACAAGCAAAATGTTTGAGAGGTACCGTATTATAAGATGTTGGTAATAAGTACAAATCAGTTCTCTTTACAAATAACGTTTTGAAAACTGTGGGTGGTTTCACACAAATGACAAACTAAAGAGTACCCACAATCTATTTTTATTCTTTCTTGATACAATTGTTATTCTTTTAACCACAGTAATATACTTTGAGATACTCTTTTTTAGAATGATACCGACATTTTAAGAAGAAAAATACTGATATTATTGCGTTCTTATCCGAAACAATTTGAAGAACAAAAATACGAGAAAGATTCCTTTAGAATTTGATGCTCTTCACGAATCAAAATATCTCACGATTCTCATCAAGACACGCAAACAAATTTATACTATTTTGTGGATCACAAAATGCACCAACACATATCTATGGTCCGACTCTGACCGATGAAAATGATATTCCACAGTTTAGTTCAGGTCAATTGATTGATATATTGCATTTTAATAGAAAGCCATTATTTTTCAGGAACTTGTTTACGACAAACAAACAAATTTCTAACTTGTTTAGCAGCCATATGTTGTATTTATCTTTTGTATAAATCATTCATAAAAAAGTTTTAAATTTTGAAAACAACAACCAAAAATTCATACAACACAACCTTAATCGTCTAGCTAGTCTCTTGTCATCAGCTTATTATCAAAGGATTATGCAAGAAACAGAACCAGATAGATGATTGCTCATTGAGTTCTCATGAAAATTCAAGTTGAACCAAAATACGGCGGATAACAAACAAAACAGCCTCTCAAGATCTTCTTCTTCGCTTCCTCTTCTCTCTGTCGCTTTCATCCGAACTAGAAGATGATGAATCCGAATCAGACTCGGAACTAGAACTGTCAGATCCAGATGATGATCCTGATTCCGATTCCGGAACTTGCTTCTGTTGTTGCATGATGAGGCGAGGCATGTTCTTCAGGTACTCTCTGAGGTTCTCTGTGATGCCTCCAAGACCAATGGAGGTAAAGAAGTTGATAGCAAACCTCGTGTTCTTTGGATTGTCTTTAGGGAAGATAGATTCAAGTGATTCCTGCATTGTTGGATCCTGAAGCCTCTCATTAAGCAGCTTAATCCCCAGGTGCTCTGACAGTTCCTGCAACCAATGCAAAATAGCAACCAAATCAGTCACACAAACAAAATTCCAAACCTTCACCATATTCATTAACAGAGTCTTAATTGTGCAATGTTCCAGGAAACTGATTACTTAAGTCATATGAAATAAAGGAAGTAATCAATCACATGACCCATCTCCAATCAAACAAACAGCTCTGAAATTGTAAAAAATGAGTTTCATGGAATGTGGTTGTTGATTCAAGTTACCTGAAAAAGGATCTTAATGAAGATACGAGATGAGGAAGTTGTGTCCTCCTCAGTTAACCGAATGTAGGCAAGCACATGCCAGGGGAGTGCGTCTGTGCCCAACAAATGGGCGAAGAACTTGGCCACATTACGCAATTTGTTAGTCTCAAGACGATGGATCATGGAGTACTGCTGAACAAAACACTTCTCGAAATTCTCTTGATGGATTTTGTTGATCATACAGAAACGCTGACCCAGCAAACCATAGTAGCGCAGATATGTTCTCTCCTGAGAGCAACATTCCAGGAGCATGATGCATAGTTCCATCTGCAACATCAAATTGGATAAGAATGTTTATATTAGCCTTGAGTACTTCCAGCAAATCACAAACCTTAAGATATATTGATTGAAACATCAAACATTTAAGCAGAATAAGAAAAAGATATTGATTGAAACATCAAACATTTAAGCAGAATAAGAAAAAGAACCAAAAAAAAGGAAAGCAGCGAAAGGTATAGATAATCAGAGTTTGGAAGGAGTTACCTCTTGACCTGGTTCAAGTTTAATTTTAAGTAACTTGTGACCTGCTTCCTCAAAATCAACGCTGGACATTATAGTCAGGTATATTGTCCTCCTAAGATTAACAAGATTAGTCTCTGTCTCGTCTCTTATCCTCATTTGTTCTTCATCTTCTTCATCAGATTCATCTTCCTCTTCATCATTGTCCTCTGAACTAGCATCAGAGCCGTCTTCATTATCAGACTCCTCTTCACCAAGTAACTCCTTCTTCAGTGCCTCATACTTCTTTTCGTTCTCAAGGAAGTCAGGATCAGGTTTAAAAACATCTGCAATCAGAAAAATGAGAGATAAATTCAAAATTAAGATCTGTTACAGTAATACTAAAAAGTAACCAATCTCTCTTGAACCATAGGGTAAACTTAAAATGCAATTTTAAGCTTACCAAGAGTAGAATCAGGAATTATTTGCTCATCAAGAGAGATATCATGCGAATATTTTTCTTCCACGAGGTCTAGCTCAGGACGAACAGCCGGATGTCCCTGAAAGAATAGAATACACAAGATTTGTTGAGCATTATTAATTACGACATCCTTGAAAAGAAAGCACAATCTTATCTCTAAGTGAATTTACCTGAAAATTCGCTTTCCTAGTAGCAAAGAGCCCTTCAATCAAATACTGAACTCTCTTATCTATCTCTCCCTCGTGCAGTATACCACGAAACCGCTCAAAAATCCCTGTATTAACAAATGGAAGAGCTTAGAAACACAAATTAAAGGAAAAGCCACTGAGCCATGACCGTGGCAATATGGAACATGTATGTCATGAAGTGAAACGGCTGAGATACGCAAACAGACTTAACATTATCATTTACCAAAATATGAACTAGGTTATCATAGCAGCAAAATCATTGTCTTGCAAAGTTTCTTGATGGTTTAGATGGAAATAGAAGCAGTCTAATGTCTCTCAATATAACAAACAAGATTTCTCACCAACAGAAAGAGAGATTGAAAGGATCTTTACCATCTAATCCTCTTGGTGTACAGTCCTGTAGCATCGCACCACACTCTGTCACGAAACCAACAGCCACTTCGACACTGTCATCAGAAGGGTCTTCCAGGAGTACAGTGACTAGTTCAAGTGCAATGATCTCATTAGCGACTTCCTGGTTGACTAGATGCGCTATAAACTTTACAGCAGCAAGCAATTGAGGCTGCCAAAACAAAAATGAATCAGTAGGACATATATCAATTTTAATGCTTGACAAACATTATCATAGATTAGGAAATCAAGTAATACAAACCTTGTCGTTACGCTTATAAGCTCTCTTTAGCTGCAAAACAACCCTTTTCAATAGAAGTTCAGCAACTTCAGGAAATTTAGCGTTAACAACAGCTACTAGAGCTGCAAAGACATCAGTGAATCCAGGAGATGCCATTTGAGATTTCATACATGAACGGCAGAAAAGTCCCCTTCCTCTGATGAGATTTTCCGCAAACAGCTCAGGAATAATGTTCTTGATGTTGCCGGCATTGACCTTATTAATCAGTCCGTTAATACTTTTACGGAGAGCATCCCATGTAAGACGTTGATACTCTACGCTACTCTTGTCTTCCACCTCTTTCATCATGCGTGCTAGCTTAAACGGAGGAATATAGATTCCACCAGTTTTTCCCAAAGCCACAGCATTGTTATCCGATGGGTTGAGTTCTGGCAGCTTGGGCTTTGGAGCTTCACTCTTCTCTTCCCTTTTCCTGATGTCTTCTTTTCTCAGCTTGTCTCTTTCACTATCATCATATCTATCACTGCGTCTCCTCTCCTTTTCATCTCTAACTCCATCGTCTCTCCGATGCCTATCCTTCCTTTCAACATCCCTACGCCGGTTCCCATTCTCACGCCCATCAGACCAGTCTCTTTCTCTCCGATCCCTCTTCAAGAGACCTTCATTACCTCTATCAGTTCTCTCTCTTCCTCTTCTTTCGCTCTTAATCTCACCTTCCTCATCGTCGTCAGATGCTTGATGATCTCTACGTTTCCTCTCACTTTCTTGCCTACCTCTCCTGCTCTTCTGCCTGTTATCTTCGTCACCAGAAGGTTTATCTGCTATGACTCTACTACCCCTGTGACCTCTCTCTCTATCAAGCTTCTCCGTGTCTTTGGGGCTTCTCTTCCTTCTCCTCTCGTTATCCTCCTCAACCTCAATTGTGTCCTTTGAAAGATGCTTATCATCATCTTCTTCATCAGACGAAGTGTCAGCTCTAACTCTATCCTTGCTTCTTCCTTTACTTACCCTCCTCTCAGTCTCATCATCGCCATCTACCTCCATTCTCTTACATCGACCTCTTTCTTTCTCATCGTCAGAGCCAGAGTCTGCTTCCCTTCGATTCCTTCTAGACCGCCTGGCTAATTCCTCATCAGAAGAGCTATCTGCTCTCACCTTATCTCGACGGCTTCTCTCTCTTTCTTTCCCATCTCGATTCGACTTTCGGTCATCCCCATCAACCTCGAGATCTCTTCGCGAGCTCTTATGGTCATCATCCCCAGAAACCCTAGCCCGACGACCGACTCTCTCCTCTTCCTCGGAGGAACTATCGTGCCTACCCATGAATGATTTCTTAGCTAAGAAAACACACAACCCAACAGCGAATTACAGATAAACTGAGAACCTTTCTCGATTAACAGAGAAAACCCTAGACTATCCAAACCCTACTGGAGTTATCGCCGAGATCTGAAATCGCCGAGCGAGAGAGGTAGACTGAAAAACATATCTTTTCGATTTGTTGTATTTTATTTGTGTTACGCCGCTCTTTGGACAGCACGATTTCCTTTAACCGATTCTCGAAACGGCACAATGTGTAGTGTTTGGGCTGTCGGGTCGATACGAACAAGGAAATATAAGCGTAATGGACCAAGGCCCAATTTAAAATAACATTTACGTTAAAATTATCCTAATACACCTGAGCCCAAGAGTACATTCATTTCAAATTGGGATAATATAATTCCAAATTCGTATAGGCTGATTAATAATTGTAAGCTGTAAATCATATAATATGACGCAGATTCCAAGAATTACTAACTTCAAGAAAGATGCCCTTTGTTCGTGGCATATGCTCTCGGCAAATGGCAAAACTCACCAACTGTTAACAAAAATAAACAGACACACACACAAGAATAGTTGAAAATGATGTTTTCGTCATTTGCTAATAATTATACTATTAAGTATTAACGTAATATAGTGTTACTGTTACTAACTTGAACTTACAAAAATAAGAAGCTGGCAAACAGAATTGCTGAAAATACTATTACTAACTTGAACTTACAAAAATAAGAAGCTGGCAAACAGAATTGCTGAAAATGAAAGAAAAAAAAACACTATAGAAAACGAATCCAAAGAACAACATTTTGAACAAGTCTTTGCTTACAAAACTAATACCTTGACTATAGCAAAAAGTAATCAGATGTTTTCTACTTTGTTTAATCATTTGATTTAATGCAATAACTATGCCGGGAGAAGACTTAAGGACGAGACGTATGATCGTACTCAATAGATTCTTTATAGAACTTTATAACGCAATCTATTTCACAATCTATATATATATATATATAAAAAAAGTTCATACTCCTCTCTTCTGATGGCTTCTAAATTCTCCAATTTGCCATATCAGCATATCAATTTATTTATTATATTTTTGTTTTTTTTCTATCTTAATTTTTATGATCATTTATTACTATAGTAACTTAATAAGAATATGAACAATCATTTAAAAATAATTATATATAGATATACAAAAATTATAATTTAGTAATAATAATAGAAAGTTATTATAGAAATAAATATTAACTTTACGAAAAAACAATAAAACTAACACAACCAGCGCGAAGCGCGGGTCACCCCCTAGTCACAACTAAAAATAATCCAAATAAAACAAACAAAACATGTGAAAATTATCATCTCAAGATGAGGATAATACAGTCGTAAATCTACAATTTGATTGATTCAAAATGGTTAGAGGATGCATGAAAAATAAGCTAAGGAAGAAAAGGGAAAGGGCCCCACATAAGCATAAGAATACGATAAGACAACTATTGTCAGACATTTTCACAAGTCTGAAGAACAAAGCAAAAGCCTTTCGTAGTCGTAACCGAAACGCCAAACCATTACCGTTCAACTGAAATCCAACACAGAGGGGATTTCGATCCCTTGTACGTTATCTTCTTGCTCTTGGTCTTCTTCTTCAACTTCTCTTTCTCCCAAATCGTGTGTCGGTTTAATTTCTTGGAAAATTTTCAGATTAAATGGAGAAAGGGGCTAGATTTGAGAAAGAGAATACGAACAAGAAGAAGACAGTTAGTGATGACGGCTTTCTCGGCGGTTTTTTCCCTGTCTCCACCACCAAGATCGCGTGGAAATCAAGAAAAAGATCAGGTCTTTTCTCTCTCTTCTCTGTTTCTTGTTTTCTCCGACCAGATTCTTTAGCTACCGCCCTTCAATTTTTGTCTGAAAGATTTGGGCTTTAAGCAGAAAATCATCAGTTGTTTAAGCCATGCTTGAAATTTAGCTCTCTGAGTCTGTTCTCAGAGATCTAAAGCTCGGAAAATGAAAGACTTTATAACTTTGATTTTGGTCTATGTGCATTAAAAGAAGCTTCGATTGCAGCATCAGTGAATCCAGACAAGGCCCCGGAAGCTGTCATGGAGGTCACACCAGAGAAGAATGAGACAACAACAATGGAAATCGAGATAGTTGGGGAACCAATGAACACAACTCCTGTCCTGTCCGAGAAAAGAAAAGCTCTGTTTGAGCCACTCGAGCCCATTACAAACTTGAACGGGAAGCGACCAACGGCGGCTGATTCATTGTTGCCACCGCCAGATTTCGAGTCTGCAAACTACCCGAAAGGCTGGTTGATCGGTAAGAAGAGGAAGCTGGTGAATGTTGATGTGGTTGAGAGCATGCGAAGAATCGCTGTCCAAGAAATGAACAGAAAGGTAAAAACAGAGCTTTTCTTCTTTGTTGCTGAGGGATATTGATTGATTTAGGGATTGATTGTGTGACAGGATCGAGAGATAGATGGGTTAAACGAGCAGCTAGAAGAGGATTCACGTTGCTTGGAGCATTTGCAACTCCAGCTGCTACAAGAGAGAAGCAAGAGAACAGAGATCGAGAGAGAGAACACAATGCTGAAAGAGCAAGTCGATATGCTTGTCAACATGATACAAGAAGAAGAAGAAGAAGGTGCAGAAGAACCCTAGCTAGTTTCCTATGTTCCATTTTACCTACAATAGCTCTCTGTTCTGTTGTGTTTGTTTGTTTATTCTTTTGTCCATACATATGGAAGAAAGAAGAAGCTTTACCACACCATATATTATCTGGTTAAGTAAGCTACTGTTGTTTCCTCCTGTTAGCACAAATAAGAATCAAGACCATTATATATTCCGAATTCGAGCTCTCTTACAAGATATAAACCTGGCATTTCATTTGAATCGATGATCTTCACATTGGAGAACAAAGAACTGTTAGGGGTGTGTGTGTGAGTGTATCTAAAGTTGCTTTGCAGGAGGAGATAGAGAGAGAGGCAAAAAAGAACCAAATCTCAGAAATGAGATATGATTTGTGTATAGTGTGCTAAAGTTGTGTGTTAAAAGTGTAATCCTTCTCCTATTGAATAAATGAAATATACGGACCACGAATATCGAGTGTCCATATTAGCTTTTGCAAAACAAACCTGCACGAACACGAAAGAGATTGCTTCAGATTAAGTTTCCATTCCCAGCCACAGCTTCTTTTATTTTTTTTCTGATTTTATTGAAAAACTCACTATAACAACACAGTTAAAAAAGACGCCGAGAGAAAAAGTTTGAGACTTTTGTGTGTTTTTTTTCCATTTATTATGATCACAGATCCATTATTCAATCACGGTTTTGTTCTCTTTGGTAATGACTACTACATTACAGACACTGTAAAGGCCAGTAAATATTTTTCATTCTTCTTTTTGATGGAAAACACGCATTTGACTAAGATTACCATTGAGGGTCGCGTGATATATCCTCTTGTCTCCAAGTCCCAAATCCGATAGAATCAAGTTTCCCTGCAAGCAACAAGAGAAAATGCAGAGACAAGAGTTGGTAAACAATAAACCAAAAAAGCCAAAAAAGTATATAATATACATGTCTCTAGTTTTTACAGAAACAAATACCTCGGTAGCCATTAATCTCCGAACATTGCTAGCATAGAGTTTTGGATCGTCTTTCTCTTCTTGTGTAGGGTAGTATACAGGTAACCTTACCACCTCCAAGTGATTTACAAATTGGCAGAGTAGGAAAACAATGTGGCGTGCCTGGAAAAAACAAGAAACAGTGAGTGAACCAATCGTTTTTGAAACCGAAAACTTCTGAGAAGACCACGACTTGGTTAAAGAGAATGACTCACCCCGGATATTGTATCCCATGCGGCGCTGAAACGCTCGTATGGATATTTTAGAATCACCGGAAGAACAGGAGTTCCAGCCAAAAATGCACCTGTCTTGAACGTAAGTAAGTAGTCTCCGTTTGTAGTTGTTCCTTCTGCAGTGAGACCAAATAAACAGTGTTTAAGGAACAGTGATGGCTTGATTGATAATGACAAACTGATTAAAGGAGCAATATTCAACCTGGAAAAAGCATTATAGTTGGAGCAGATTTATTCTTATGAGCTTCTCGAACTCTTTCATTTACTGTGCCTATATAGATAACAACAGTGGTTAGATTTATAATAAGATGATAAACACTGACAGAGTTTTGAAAGAAGGAAGTACAAAATCACATACCAGATACACCCTTGAAATCAGGCGATTTTGCTTCTCGTTGAACAAAGACACAACCAAGGCATTTACTGTAACAAAATATAACCAAAAGTTTGAAGAGGTTTAGAAACATATTGAAGCTGTGATGAGAATAGATACAAAATTTGTTGCAAGAACTTTGATAAGTCTTTCACAACTAACCTGATGAGGCCAACAAGAGGAAGTTTGCCCACTGATCTCTTCAGTAGCAAAACCATGGAAGAAGCAGAAACAAATAAAATGTTAGCATCATTGCAAGAAAACACACCCAAAATGTGAACTACCATATAGTATGTTTCTATCAACTAACCTTGGCAACAAAACTTGGAAAAGATGCAGACATATGATACAAAATGTCCAGATACGAAACGTGATTGGACACAATGACTCCAGGTCTTTCAGGTTCTTCTTCAGCGACTTCTTCTCCTTTCTGGTCAATCTGCAGACGAAAATAAGAAGAAGAAAACAAAAGCTAAGCCATCAGTGGGAATGTGGGAACAAAACCTTGTACCAATTTTCAGCAAAAAAGAGGTCCCCAGATAAGGACCATCCAAATAAATTGCACAACAACTAAACTTCTCAAAATTGTCAACTTCTCCTTTGAGCCAAAATTGTCGTACACTCTAGCTTCCTACCAATAAATAGCCCCCAAAACTAGATTTTCTCACAACAAAGTCTCACACTTTAAGGTTCCTCTTATAAACCAACTATCCACACTCGCAGATTGGTTAATGAAACTTAGCTATCTATAGCTTATATACCTCAGAAGAAGTAGCTTTTGGATCTGGACGGCTCTCGTGAATCCAATAAAACCCAAACACGAAAAGCAAAACCCTGGAGAGAAACCTCCCACACTGCACGATCACAATCCGTCTCCAACCTCCCATGTGAGCATAATCTTCCTGAACAACAACTCCACCTTCTTCTTCCTCCTCCTCTGCTCCACGATACGGAGCTGAGAAGAGCGTGAACACCCTGCATATCAAGTAGTACAGAAGCAGGATGCTCATCGCCAGAACAAACCGCACTGGGACAAGCGTCACCATCGCAACCGCCAGCTTGATCTTCTCCGTCACCGGAAAAGGACCCAGACCCATCGTCCCATACAAATCCGTCCTCGCGTAAGGCGCGAACTTTTTGTCGAGCTCTTCAATGGCGGCCGCCACATCGGATTCCGATTTCAGCAGCGGCCGGTCCTCTTTGCTCGACGGTGGATTCGAATTCATGTCCTTTAGCTCCGATTCCATTATTTTCTTTTTTCACCTAACCACCTAAAAATCTAATTTTTATTTTTTTCTTCTAATTTATGAAAGAGAGATTTGGGAATCACACAAGGGAGAGTGGATTGTTGTTATGTTTGGATGACGACGATAATGATAAAATAGATTGCGGATCTGGAGAAAGTGTCATCCTTTTCCTCGTCGTCTCTAGATTTCCCGTGAAGATTTCAGCTTTCGCGCACACGTAGATTCGCCGTAAAAGCTAAACATTAAACGAAAATAATGGCTACGATTCTCTGTAACGACGTGCATGGTATGGTTATATACACTCACTGATATTAACCGTTAGATCAGATGGTTAGTCAGAAGTCAGAACAACAAACGGACCACGATTGTTGTTAATTCATGTTTGTTGAGAATTTCTTTTTTTCGTAAAAAATATTTTCCAGATAATGTCAATGATATTTTCCTTTTACGTAATTAGTTATGTCGTTGTAGTCTTTGTAGATGTCTTTTCTTATTCCAAATAGAAACTTTCTTGTTTTATTTGGACTTAAATTGCGTGATACATATTTATCCCGTTGCATAATATTTTCCCGGATTAATGTACATGTGATCGTGACATATGTAAGACTGAGAAACCCTAAGAGAATATGTATAGAAAATGAGGGAGTGAGAGTAAATTGTTACGTTTTACGTACAATGCAATTGTATGGTTGGAATTTGGATCCAACCCGAGATGTGCTCAAATTTTAACATATGGAACAGGTTCGATTGGGACCAAATGGATGTCCTTTGGGACTTTACTAACTACTGTTTCAGTATTCACACTTTAGTGGCAACACACAGAGCAAGGCGAATCATGTTCATGTATCAACTTGCCCTACTCAAAAGAAAACCGTACGCAATCACAAGGCATGTCTTCACCTTAAAACCAAAAAAAAGATTAATCATTTGTTTTCTTTTTCTTTTTTCTTTCTCTCTTATATCTTTATAGTATGATTTATATCGAGAAATTAAAAGAGAGTGGACGTTAACAATCAAGTTGCTTAGTTATAATTCCAAGACATAATCATAGCTAATTAGCTATATATACAACCTCCATCGATATATAGCTACTATCACCGGGATTTATATACGACTGAAATCATTTGTAGTTGTTGTACTAAATGTCTCGAGGAGAAACATCATGTGAAAGTGTACTCATGGTAAAAAACAAAACAAATTACAGAAGCTTCAACAAGAGCTTACCAGCAAAAACCCGTAAATAGTTAACTAGGCACTAGCTCATTCTTTTTCTCAAGACAAAACCTAAAAACAAAAGTGGAAGTTGCGACAGTTAGATTCCCTGTGAGGTTGAGTAGTCTTTTCTTCTGTATTTGCTTTGTTCTTTGTTGAAAACCAAGCATAAGGTATGATAAAAAACAACACCATATATCCAAAACCTAATGTCATTGTCTTTTCTTTTTGCCATATGGCCTTAATTAGTGATGTATAACACTATATCTAATGTCATATGTACTGATTTCATAGCTTCATCTTGTATATAGAAGAATAATACATGCTGTAGTCTATAAGATTCTGTTACAACATTAGGCTAAACTATAATTTCATTGTACCACCGTTTCTTAATTACAACTATAGTGCATAGAAAAAAAAGTAAAAAATACCGGGAATCTGAAATCCTCAACTTGCACTAGCGGCCAATACTGCAAGAATTAACAGAAGTAGCACCACCATCCACACATTGAATTTGTTTATTTTTTAACAAGAACAAAACTTTATCCTATTTTGAAACCAAAAAACATTGTAAAATTTTGTAATAATTATGTAATAAAATTGCAGTAATTCACGTGAATCCCCAATAATATTATTTTCATGCACACAGTGGGGTCCTATTTTTCTCATTTGCCACTTCTCGCCAGCCCTTCCTCTTTTGTTCTCTTCACTGCCTCCAAACTTCCCAAGAATCTCTCTTTCTCCTTCTCTCTCTCTCTTCTCTCTCACCTCTTATTTTCCCTCTGCAGAGAGAAAGAATCATCATCCTTACGAAAATGTTGAAGAAAGCAACTTTTTCGCCATTGAATCTTTCACTTGCTCCTTTCCTTATTGTTCTTATTACTCTCTCGTGTGTTGTTGTTCATGGCGTCCAAGAGAAGAAGGTTCTCAGTCTACACAACAACATTTGGTCTTCCAAGAAATCAAATGAAGCTTCGAGTTCATGTTTCTCTCACAATCTTGGTATGTTTTTTTTCCCCCTCAAACGCTCACCAACCATGGAGAAAGTCTACTGTTTCTTTTTCTTTAGTTCAATATATAATCGCGTGATTTAAGGTTAGATTAGCAAAAGCCTCAAAATTTTGTTTAAACACTTGATTAAAGTCATTACTTTTTGAGCTCCTTTTTCCTTGAAGTGGGATTAGTAATAGTTGTTTTATGTTTTATGTGTTAGTTATTTACTGCAAAGAGATAAGATCTGTTAATCTTTATGAAAATTAATCTTTAGGGAAAGGAAGAGAATCTAATACACTGGAGATGAAACATAGAGGGCTTTGCTCAGGAAAGCCTGTAGATTGGGGTAAGAAGCTGAGAAGAGCCTTAGTACTTGATAACCTTCGTGTCCAATCACTTCAGCTCAGAATCAAAGCAATGACCTCAAGCAGCAACGCACAGTCCATTTCGGAAGCTCAGATTCCACTGACCTCAGGGATAAAACTTCAGTCTCTGAATTACATTGTGACAGTTGATTTAGGAGGGAAAAACATGAGTTTGATAGTTGACACTGGAAGTGACTTGACTTGGGTCCAATGCCAACCTTGCAGATTCTGTTACAGCCAACAAGGTCCTCTGTATGACCCATCAGTCTCTTCCTCTTACAACACAGTTTTCTGCAACTCATCCACTTGTCAGAATCTCGTAGCAGCTACAGGGAATTCAGGACTTTGTAGAGGCAACAATGGTGTCCCAAAGACAACTTGTGAATACGTTGTCAGCTATGGAGATGGATCATACACTCGAGGAGACTTAGGCAGTGAAAGTCTCCAACTGGGCGAGACGAAAGTCGAAAGCTTTGTCTTTGGTTGTGGACGAAACAACAGAGGTCTGTTTGGAGGAGCTTCTGGTCTAATGGGGTTAGGGAGAAGCTCAGTTTCTTTAGTCACACAAACTTTGTCAATCTTCAATGGAGTTTTCTCATACTGTTTACCTTCTCTTGAGGATGGAGCTTCAGGTTCATTGTCTTTCGGTAACGACTCCTCTTCTTACAAGAACACAACTTCAGTTCTCTACACTCCGTTGATACAAAACCCTCAGCTTCGTTCCTTCTACATTCTCAATCTCACCGGTGCTAGCATCGGCGGCGTGGAGCTGGAAAGTGAAAGCTTCGGTAGAGAGATTCTAATCGACTCAGGAACGGTTATCACGAGATTGCCACCTTCCATTTACAAAGCTGTCAAGACAGAGTTTCTGAATCAGTTCTCAGGGTTTCCTTCAGCTCCTGGCTATTCAATCCTAGACACTTGCTTTAACCTCACAAGCTATGAAGACGTGAGCATTCCCATTATCAAAATGTTCTTCCAAGGTAACGCTGAGCTCGAAGTGGATGTCACTGGTGTGTTCTATTTTGCCAAGCCTGACGCTTCCCTAGTCTGCTTGGCCTTGGCAAGTCTGTCATATGAAAGTGAAGTCGGTATCATCGGAAATTACCAACAGAAGAACCAGAGAGTAATATATGATACCAAACAAGAGATGCTTGGAATTGCAGGAGAAAACTGTAGCATCTGATTACTTACAATTGTGTGTTCCCTTCATATCAAGAATGCCAAAATCATCTCTTTTGGCAAAAGCCAATTTGAAACTCTCCAACTACGCTTATATATTCATCTGTCTGTATTGGTATAGCAGTAGCTTACAAGGAAATGTAAGAAACAAAATGTTTGATGATATTACTTATCATCAACTCAGGCTTCATTACTTATCAGAGCAGTCATCTCTATCTTCTCAGCTTCGTTTCTTTGGTTCATTAACATCTCAGCCGGAAGAATGGTTGAGTTAGGATCAACATTTGGTATTAAAAAGACCAATCCAATTGGAACCACCCTCAACAAACTTCTGATCACAATGACCAACCAGAGATTATCAAACTGAGTACGTGTAACATTCAGGGAACGAAGTAATACTCCTCCCCCCCATGACGACATCAAGTGTCCAACATGTTCAATCGACATGAGCAAGGCAAAGAAAGTGCCTTCCATACCAGCAGGGCAGAGCTTGGAGCTGAGAACAAGTAAAGGTAACCACTTGATTCTACTGATCATGTGTGAAACAAACTCGTCCACCACTATGAAGAAGTAATCAGGAACACCGAGCTTCAGGTTTATCCGCAGCACCAAAATCAAATCCAGAAATCCTGAGAGGACAGATAGAGAAAGTGCCCAGAAGACTACATTCCGGAAAGGGAAGTTCTTGAGAAAGTTCTGATAGAGAAGTATCCCCACCAGTGAGCCAATTGCACCAAAAGACAAAATGGATCCAACTGCCTCCTATGGAAGCACAAAACAACCACATTAGCCACACAAATAACATCACCAAGAGAACCAAAGCTCCATATAAACAAGTCAAAGCACCTTTGAGAAGGAAGGTCCATCTTTTGAGTCAGTGTACCAATAGAACATGCCTTCATGCATGTGCAAGCTCACTGAAGCTGACAAGAGCATGAACAAGCATGGTCTCCACACTTCACCATACTGAAACGTTTTCCATATTTTGCTTCCAGCATCTACAAACTTCTCATTCACCTGAACAAAGAGTCACTCAACTAAGCAGCAGTACGAAGATTGAAGCACATCGTTGCTTCAAAAGGGTAGCGAAAACGTACATGCTTGCGACCTAGGTTCCGAGTAGGAGATTCTTTCAGAAGCATCCCAACCACAACAACCAATCCTGCAGTCAAACCGAGTAAACCATACACACCCTGCCAAGAATAGAAAACTTAAAGCATTGCTCTGAAACCACATTTCTCTTCTAAACTCAGTTAGAGAAAAAAAAGAGCCTACCTTGGCTCCAAACCAATGCACCAAAACGCCGCTAAGAGAGAAACCAACCAAAGAACCAATAGACGAACTCAAACCACAGAAGCTTTGCAAATCCGCAGCAAGCGTAGGATGGCTTATGCTACACTGCGTTACACAAGCATCAATGGTTACATCAGCTATAGCAACTCCAGCACTTGCTGCCACAAGACAGGACAAAGCTAGAGCAAGATGCAGATTCGTGTGCAGCCACAACACCATCATGGAGATCGTAGCAAGAACGCCTATAACCAAATTAACAAACAAAAAAAAATGACAACTTTTCATTGATTAAGAAGCAAAGAACCAAACTTTATTAGCTAAATCAGTGAAATTACCGGCGAATATGAAGTAAGGTCGTCTTCTGTAACCGAGAATCGGAACAACATCGGTCAACAATCCCCAGATTGGTTTGATGATCCAAGGAATCTGAATCAAGCCAACGTAAACCTGAGCTTCAGAAGGTTGTACCATTTGCTCGTCTTTCAAGTAGTACTGCGTGCTGACTTTGCTGAGACCTTTACCAAGTCCTTGGCTAACGCCGTAGACGACAATCACACCGAAGAAGAAGCTCCAGTGAAGCTCTTCAATGAGCATTCTTAGCCACCGTAAAGGCCGTTTCAACACCAGATCTAAAACTCCTTCTCTCTTCTTGTCTTGCTGATTTCGCCGTGAATCGTTCTCGTCTTCGGCTTCCTCCGATCGATTCGCCATTGATACAGCAGCAGTAACACCCAAAAAAAACTTAAATCTGAGAAATTTGTTAAATAACTACTTTTGGTATGACGTCACGGATCACGCACACAAAAGTCTTGGAATTTGAAACTCGTGACGAGCTTTAGACTTTCAAGTTTCAACGATCGAAATGCCACAAACTTCGTCTTCCTCCCTCAGAGTCGTTTGTTGACGGCGTTGAGAGTGTCCTTCCGTTAGATTTAATTTCCTTTTATATATTTATCGATAAACGTATTGAGATTTATTAATTAGTTAAGTTTTTTAAACGTATTAAAATCTTATCGATAAACTTTTTTTTCTCTCTTATCGATAAGCTTGATTACTCATTTTAAAACCAGTGATAAACTTGATTACTTATAAAACTATTGTAAAAAAAATAATTATATAAAAAAAATCAAATCTGAAGAGATCACCTATGAACGAAGAGTGAATATGGAGAGCTCATCGTCATCTGATCAGGTAATATTTATTGGATCATCAACGAATTTGAGTGAGGTTGTGGAATCTCAAATAGAATGTTTCTCTTCGATTAGTCTAATCTGATTCGAAATTATTTTTGCTGTCTTGTCTTGTGTTGATGCCGATGGTGTGACATAGTATTTGTTTGTATGATCTGATTAGGTCAAAAATGTTGATTGGATCAGCAAACTCCCCGACGATGTATTGCTGGTGATACTATCGAGACTATCTACAGAAGAAGCCATTAGGACAAGTATTGTGTCGAAACGATGGGAACATGCGTGGAAGCAAATGTCTCATCTGGTCCTAGACATGCAAAGGCTTATCGATGACAAAGAGCCGCTTGATAGTTCCATTCGAGCTGCTACATTGTTGACCAAGGTTCCCTTTTTTTTTTTTTTTTATCAATCTTCTTTTTCTGATTATCCATAATTATTTTCAAGTCATTATATCTTCATTTGGTTTCTTTAAACTTTATAGGTTTTAAACAATCACAATGGACATCTTGAGAGCTGCGTGATCGACCATTTCTCATACCACGGTACAAATGGAATGCTCAATGCTTGGATTCGGTTGTCGACTTGCGTGAAACACACCAAATCTCTCACACTCACACACCATTTTGATAGCTTGGAACGAACGAAAGCTTTTAACGTTCTCTCAGATTGCTTCTCTCATCCAAGCCTTACGTCACTCTCACTACAAGGATACATTCTCGATACCTCACATTGTTTCAACAACTGCCAAAACCTCAAGACCCTCAAACTCCATTTTATCATGGGCCTCGAGGTTGGAGTCTTCAACAGAGTACTCGCATTTTGCCCTTCTCTCCAAGTGCTTGTGCTACACGTCACTTGCTTCAAAAGATGTACCGGGGGTCCGTTGAAGATCGAGAACAAGAAATTAAAGATCTTCCAAGTGTTGTCTTGCAAAGACATTGTTGGCTTTAGAGTGTCAGCACCTTGTCTAGATATTCTCGCCATCAGAAATACCTCTTTTAGTAGAGATGGATTGGTCCTCACGTCACCTCGACTCCATGAGTTTAATAGAATTTCATGGAGAAACAAGCCTCACATCAGCTACAACATATCAAAGGTACATATATAGATATTGTTACATGTGTTCTAAAAATGTAAAATATATAGTGATGAAGGAGTTATGATGGTATTTGATGTTGAGTTTGAGTACATTGTTTGGATGTGTGATTGAAGGAGAGAAAAAGCATTGTGCATGAAGAATTTGTGAACATATGTGGTGAGTTGTTGATGGAGACTCCATCCTTGTCGGTGAGTGTAGATTTAATGAATCCGACAGAAGTTGAGAGGTTAAGACAAGTCTTGCGTTTATGGACTTGTAAAATGAACGAGCTCGAGATCTTGTTTAAGGTATGTACATTCATGCTTTCAAAGTTAAGTCTTATATAGTCACTAAACATAACTTAATGGGCATTAGGTGTTGGTGTATGTGCAGAATAACAATGCTCATAGAGAAGAAGAAGAAGAAGAGTACTCATCACAGAAGAAGTTGTGGGAGGATAATAATAACGAAGATCCGTTCCCCAATGCTGAGTTTCGTGTGGATACTGTGTGGATGCATAACTTCAGCGGTTCAGAGGAAGAGTTTGCGTTAGCGTCACGTTTGATTAGGCAAGGGACAGTGGTAAAGCAGATGATGATCAAGACGACCTCATTTCCTGCAAGGAAGAAGTTGGAGATAGAAACGGCAGTAGCCAAGCTACAAACACTTCAAAGGAAAGATCAATGGGAGCTAACCATCGAATGTTTCTAATCGAATTTGGAGATTGATGTTATACGCTATGTTATAGATAATCTCATACGAAATTATTATTCATCTATATGATTATTATCATTTATGACTTCATACATTAATGACATTCGTAATCAAGTAGGTTTTTCACTTGTCGTTAAAATAAACAAACAAATTGATTTTTCACTTGTATCACTATCCAAGTACTTTTTCAGTGGCAGATTAGTTGGTAGAATTGGAGTCTAAAATCGCAAATGTTACCATACTTGTTGACAATTCCTTCCACCTACATATAATTTGGGGGCAGGTAGTAGTCACGTTAAATTTAATAAATTGTGACTTTTTATTCATACAAAACTTTTAAAAGACGGATGATGGTTTGGAAGTTCTGATATTTATTATTTAAGATGATTCTTGTCCTATATAACATTTGGTCCCATGCTGATATTATCTTATATATTGCTTGTGTGCTGCTATGATCAAAGAGATTCTATATTAGGACCTTTTTAAACTAAATGTCTATAAGATATCAAAGGCCCAATATATAGAAGTAAGTATATTCAAATTATTAAATATCTGCAAAAGATAAAAGAAAACTTTAATCTTATATAACAAAGTTTCTTGCTCTTTTGGCATCACATCTCTCATGAACCGACCAAGAAGTAGATTAACCAGGAAGAGATAAATCTTGAGGCATATCCAATTTTTTCATTTAGCAAAGTAGGTCATTACTCAAATTAAATGGGAGGACAAAAACGTTAATTCAAATGTAGAGTAAGAGCACATATTTTTTTACAGCAATCAACCATAATTATGTTACAAAACTTATTAGGCGGCTGAGAATCTAAATATGTCAACCAAATTCGTAACATAATTTCTTTTCAAGAAAAAAAAAATGAAATAAAAATGAGAAATAAAAAAAAAGGAAACGAAAGAATTCTGTGATGGGTTTAATATATAAATACTCAACCATTTCCAGCAATCTTTTTCTCATTAAAACCCCTTTTTCAGGTTTTCACCATTGTCTCTCCTCCTTGGTTCTCTTCTCTTTCACTCATGGCAAAAGTCTCTCAGCGGAGCAAGAAGAAAACCGTTGAGGATGAAATCAGCGATACAACAGCGTCTGCATCTGCGTCCGTTGTCTTTAAATCCAAACGCAAACGGAAGACGCCGCCTCGAGACGCTCCTACTCAACGCAGCTCCTCTTTCAGAGGCGTCACCAGGTCTCCTCTCTCACACACAAAGAAAACAACAACAAGAACAAGAAACCATTAACGACATCGTTTTACCATTGATTTCATTTTTAATTCTCGATTGAATAGGCATAGATGGACAGGGAGATACGAAGCTCATTTGTGGGATAAGAACAGCTGGAACGAGACACAGACCAAGAAAGGACGTCAAGGTTAGTGTCTATACTTACACACATACAGATATATGCCGTAACAGAGTTTGTTTAGTTAGTTTATGGTCTTAGATTGGATTCCGATGATGTCGGAAACTCCTTCTTCTCCGGACAGACTTCTTCCTCACTGTTCTTGATTTGATTTTTTATATATCTTCTTCTCTTTTTTTTTCTTTTTTTTGGCTATTTTCGATGATGGTGATGTGCAATGGATGATGAATGCTGACTCATCAAGTACAGTTTATCTAGGTGAGTATTTTTAGCCCATATCCACTTCCTTTTTATATATAAGTTGAAAGAAATACATATTTGGTAAACGTATTGTTTGTACTTTAGCCATATCACTTTTTCTTTTGAACACTCGTCGACAAAGTGATGAAAAAAGTCTACATGTACATGTGTCATGTGGTTATCAATTAAAGAATGAATTCCACCGAAATTGGTAGAGGCTTTCTATTATTATTTGCTGTTCTTTTTGGGTCCTTTTTCTAGCATATAAAATAATAGTAAAACCTTATTGTATAGTGTTATTAAATATATAGTACTGTTTTATGGATAGGGGCATATGACGAAGAAGAAGCAGCAGCACGTGCCTACGACTTAGCGGCATTAAAGTACTGGGGACGAGACACACTCTTGAACTTCCCTGTAATTTTTCTCCAAATCCATATAGTTTTAATCTTCTTGAAAAACAAAATTTATTTAATCGTTGAAAATTACTTATCTCATGATCTTTGTCTGCTTCATAATCTTCTCAATCGCCTACTAGTTTATAGAACACAAGAAACAAGAAAAAACATGCGGACTGTTAAAAATCAACTGACTGTAAAAATCGTGTTAATTACTTTGGTGAATTTTGTAGCTGCCTGCTTATGAAGAAGACGTGAAAGAAATGGAAGGCCATTCCAGGGAAGAATACATCGGATCTTTGAGAAGGTAACTAATTCATCAATCGTAGTAAAATGATTAATCACAGCTTTTCTATTAATTTAGATCATTTTCAATTTAACAAAAAAAAGTTACATCATTTTGTGTAGAAAAAGCAGTGGGTTTTCTCGTGGTGTCTCAAAATACAGAGGCGTTGCAAGGTAAATAGAAGTTCAATACTCTGATGTTAGAAGTTGGCCAAATTTTGTTAAAGCATGAATTTGCAGGCATCACCATAATGGGAGATGGGAAGCTCGAATTGGAAGGGTGTTTGGTAATAAATATCTATACCTTGGAACATACGGTACTTAATCATCATGCTTATCCTTACTTTTCACATTTTCTTTTGGATGGTAATATTTTTATCACATACTATAAAAATAGGAGTGATAGAGTTAAAAATGAAAGAAGGTCACAAACTCACGTGGTCAAACAAACATTGAAGATCTTTTTTCCTGTCAACAACTCCGAGAAAATTGAAGTCACACACATGATAGATCTCGTCGACAGAACAAAAAAAGAATTTTAAAGAATATATATTAATCTAAGGTATTAACAAAGTATTTATAAACTCACTTGTTTATGAACCTTTAAAAGGGTAATCAAATCTTGTTGGTTGGGAACTAGATAACCAAACCCATCTACTTACTCAATCTATTCAACATTTATTATATTCTTTTAAATTTTTAAGTTGATCATCTAACTTTCTTGGCAAATTCATTCCCTTATTATACGTATCCCAATTACTTTTTTTTCTTTCGACCGTATATATAAACTAACCTTTATTCAGAATAAACAAATAAATATTCACCAAAAAGAATAAACAAATAAATAAAGGACTTTTTTTACACATGAAAAGATAACGTTTACTTCTATATATAGATCACGTATCATACGCATTACTATATTAGGCAAATGCGTCGGATAGATTTCCAAGTAACACATTGGGAAAGTTTAATAATAGTAAAGAAGCATATTTATACAAGTGGGATGAAAGTTGTGTGAAATTATGCTTCTATACCCAATGTTTTGATTTGTGACAATTTAAACCCTGTTCACTTGCAGCTACTCAAGAAGAAGCAGCCAGAGCATATGACATCGCGGCGATAGAGTACCGTGGACTTAACGCCGTTACAAACTTCGACGTCAGCCGTTATCTCAATCTACCGGCACCGGAAAACCCCACCGTCGCCACAAATCATCTCCCGGATGAATCCGACTCCGATTCTAAGCTCATTCGAAAGTCAAGAGATGATCAAACTTCGTCAGACGGTAACGAATCTCCGATATCAGAGGAGGCAATCGAACCATCTACGCCGCCGGAAGGTATCCCATCTCGCCGGAGTTTTCCCGACGATATCCAGACGTATTTTGGGTGTCAAGACTCCAACAAGTTAGCAACAGAGGAAGACGTTTTGTTCGGTGGTTTTAATGCTTTTGTAAATCCTGGTTTCTATAACGAGTTTGATTATAGGCCTTGAATCGTATTTTTATAAGTTTTGTTTAATCTCTATCACAAAGCTCTATCAAGATGTAAAGGTAGCAACTTTTATTATAAAAAACACACACAACACCATTCAGATCACTCTTTAATTTCAAACCCAGAGTCTGGTTTTGAGGAATAATCTGAGTTCTTATTGTAAAAACATAAAGTCTCGCAAACTGAAACATTGCCTGAGACAAACCTCACTTCATCAAAGCATCTGCTAATGGAAACGTCGGAGAAATATCCACCGGTACCTAAAACACAAACAAACCATTATCATGTGCTGGAACACTCAAACTACACTTTAGAAGTTTAATATTCTGTTATGAGACTGTACCTTAACGCTTTCGAGCTTCTCCAGAGCGGTTTTCAATGGCCCAGTGATAGTGCAGTACTTGTTTAAAAGCGATGTTGCTGCGTTTTTGTCACCTCTTCCTTGAATGGTTAGTATCTCCTGGCTCAAACTCTCAACTGCACTTTCGACCTTTTTCAATGCAAAGATTCAAGATTCAGGACTTTGAGAGTTTTGATATATGACAGAATCAGAAAGTTCTCATGGTACTTGTATTGATACCTTGGCGAAATCAACCGAGAATGTAGAGTCCTCGTGGAAAACAAAGGCTCCTTTTTCATACAACCAGTTGAATTGCAACGCTTGTCCTTTCCTGAAAGCCCAAAGAGATCATTATGTTAGAAGCTTACACATATATAGGAGGTTGGATTATATAAGGTAGAGATTATCGGTGTCATTTCATTACCCATGAGCTTCTGTGAGACCAAACCGGATGGATCGAAAGCATCCAGCTAGGAAAGAAACATACATACTCTCCAGCATACTCTTGGAAAGCAGACCCTGTTGATTCACACACACAAACAGAACCAGAAACATTGTTTCAACTGTCAGACGATTTGACTCAAGATGAGTCAGCAAAACTGAAATTAGATGAAGAAACTATCCGTTTACCTTGGTGATGAGAAACTTGAGTGCCCAAAGACCAACTATATCTGCCTTTGCTTCTTCCATTGCAGAATGGACGTCTTGTAGTTCCTAAATACAGAGAAAACAAAGGTAAGATCACTAGTCACATGGCAAAAGATTCTTGATTAGATGTCTGCATTCTTGTAGAAAGAAGTAAAAACCTTTCTCACTGTAGAAGATTGACCATCAGGAAGTGTTATGGTATGGGGACCAATGCCATGGCAACACTCATGGCAGATGGTGTGAGTGAAGAAAGAATCAAAATCAACATATCCTCGCTGTTCTTTGCTGATGATAATTTCAGCTATAGGCTTTAGAATATGCTCAAACCTAGAAAAACAGAAGGCTTAGTAATACATAAAACTGTGACACCGTTTGTAGATAAAAAATGAAGGATGGATTATTTACTTTGCTTCTTGAACGTTTTTAAGCATAACCATTGATGTTCCTCTGTCTTTGACGATTTTCTCATCGTTTGGCAAATTGTAAGCAACGGTCTGAGGTCCCTTCACATCCTGTCACAATCAAGAGATAGTGAATAGCGAATTCCTTCAAACCTTCTTCTCTCAGATCATCTTTTGATTTGCAAGAACTTACTCCGGAATTGTAAATTAACTGGATGACCCGAATAGGAGCAGCAGATACATCAGCTGACTTGTATACTTTGTCAAGCGGGAGATTATCTTCCAATAGCTACCAGAAAGTGGAAAATAAAAAATGATCAAAGAGAATATAACAATGGAAATTGTAAGAAACTGCGACATTGGATTGAAAAGAACAAACCTTTAGATTGTCACCAAAGAGTTTCAGATCAGCTGTGGCTTTATCATCTCGAATACCGATGAAGGTTTCAAATGAAGCCTTAGATGAAAAACAAACACAGATTAGAGCGTAATATTGTGCAAAGAACCAATCATAGACTGAAACTAAACGGTTTAAGGAGTTAGCATTTCATGACGATTACTGTACAAGTGCAAAGCTGAAGGTGGGGACTGTGACAATCAGATTAAGCAGATTTGTATAAATTCTTACCTTGTACCCGAAGATTTCATCTTCGTACGTCTCATATGGACCAATGGTAATATCCAACTTCGAATCCTACAAAGACGATAAGAGGAAGAAAAAAGGACTTGATACTATGGTGAAACACTAAAATGGCTAGAGCTCGTCTTACAAAAATCTACAAGACCATGAATGGGGAGAGAGGAGTTACCAAGTCCATCCATGCAATGTCTGACTCATAGTACTCATTTGAAAGGAAGGCTTCAGCTTTGCTATGCAGCAGCTTCTTCAAGCTATGGAAAAGCATCAATAATACTAAGCTACTCGAATGGGACAATACCTTTTATATGGTCAAGATAAGAAACAGTGTGATATATATACCTCGGTGTACTGACCAAGTCCCCAGCTTTGTGCAAAAGTTCCGAAGCTTTCGTGAGGAAAGGTCGATATATTTCTGAATAGGGAATACTATACAGATCCAATTTAGAGTCTGGTAAGTTCTCTATACTGCTGGCGAGATGGTCAGATAGAGATGCATCTTGATTAGCTTCACTTAGCCTCTTAATAATACTGAAAAATCCTGTTACAACATGCTTTTGCTCTTCTGTAAGACTATTGAGCCATAAGGTGAACTCCTACAAGATTGTAGAAACACAATTGCTTATTATGGGTTACGAGGAGTGAACCAATGAAAAAAAAGGGGAAACAAACATCAAACATGCGTCAGTGGGTACCGTTTTATCCATATCGGGAGGATAGAAATTGGCACCAGGTGGTTTAGTCAGAGGAAAGGCTGCTCTGTACTCAAGACCCTTCCAGCCAGAAATGGATTTTGTTGCTTCAGGAAGCAACTTTACAGCTGAATCCGCCGTAGTCAAGAATGCTTCATTTTCATCAAGAGACGACCATGGACTTTTGTTGATCAAGAAGTAATCCCATTTGAGTTTATCCAGTTCTGATACATTGGCATGATCCTTCAGCCAATCTCTTAGAGCTGGATTGCTGTGCCAAACCTGATTATAGAGAATATAGTTTAAGATCAATCATGAGATTTCATGTCCACGTCTTAAGAAAATCTATACCAACCTGCTCATAAAATATATCGTCCACAATTTTTGCAGCCTTCACAATTAGACTCAACGCTTTCTGATCTGCCTCAGAAAGTTCTGTCAACTGCATGATCAAGAAAGATATCTCAAATTTATTTCACAAAATGAAAATGAGTTATTCAGTGCATCTGAAACAAAGAAATGACAGATGTGGCAAATTAATACATTTGCTTCGAGGGTGACAGGAGAGTATCTTTGGAGTTGCTTCTGAAGAGACAAAACACGAGCCTCAGTGTTCACTTGGCACCTTCAAAAGAGTCAGAAGAAAAGACTCTATGTAAGATAAGATCATAAGACATTTCCATATGAAACCTGCGGCTTAGCAATGGATATGCCACACCAATGTGAGATATTGTACCTCTGCCTGATGATGTCAAATAGTTTTCCATACTCTCCTTTTACATCATATGGCACATAAGCAGGATCTTCCTTAGCCAGAAACTTTCTGTAGTCTTCGTAAGGTATGTATTTCACAGCAGAGACTTCCTCAACCTAATATACAAAATGAATAGGTTACTTACGAATCCAAGTGGTTTTTAGTATTTTAACTTAAAGGAAAAATCCTCACTTGAAGAGTAAAGGCTTCCAGTGGGATTGGATGCAGGACTGTAACAAGATACACATCATTGAACTCATTGTTTATGAACTTCCCATCGTTTGTGACACTGTAGAATCACACAGAAGAATCTTAAACCAAGTCAGCTTCAAGAGCCTACTGAAACACAAGATTTAACAGAATATATAACATATTGTCAAACAAAAGAATCAAATGTACAAACCATTCTTGCAGAAAGACGAATATCTTTTCAAATGCATCCTTTGGAAGTTTAACGCCTAGCTCTTCCTGGAGCTCACGCCTACACAAAATTGTCCCGGAACTTGAGTAAATAAAAGGATAGAAGAAGAAGTAACTGAATACAGAATTGGATTTGCTTACTGAGCCGAGACAAGCGATGGATCACCAGCTGAGATATGACCAGCACTAGAGATGTCCCATTGTCCTGGCCAAGAGTCTTTATCATCAGATCGGAGCTGGAGAAGCAGCTCTCGAGTGCTCTCCACAAAGATCCACACATGAACTGCACGGTGGTAATCTCCATCTCTGTGAATCTCTCCTCTACACAGGGCAACGAATTGAGGTTAAATAATGAAAGGCATTGATATGTAATTCACTGGAGAAACAACTCCGAAGAAACTTTCTTCTTCCAAAATCGGTTTAGAAATTCTCAGAGTGAAGTAAAAAGCTTTCGTCGGATTTGGTCAACGAAGCATCAAATCAAAACCCCACAAACAAAAACAAAAAAAGGCCGATTTTTTGTCCAACAAAGACGTAGAATTTTAAGGGTTTGATTCAACTAATACGAAAGGGAAAGCAGCTCAGCTAGACATGCCTGGGTTTAGTGAGACCGGTCTTCTCGCCGGATTTGGTGAGAACGTCGAAATGCTCCTCCGCCATAGCGCTCTGTTTCTCCGTGAATATTTATTTTTCGTGAAGGGAATGATTTTAGGTGCCCGGTTTAATAACAGACGAAAACCGTGACCACAACGTGGGTTTGGCTCAATTGGCTTTAACTAAACCGGACCCACAACCACCGCACTCAAAAGTGACGCATTTTATAAACGTAGCTCTAAAAGTTAGGTGTCGAGGGATCAAGTTCAAGGCGACATTTTTACAATTCAAGACAAAAATCCGTGACCACCGCTCAATTGGCTTAACTAAACCGGACCATCTTGACCCCACAACCACCGCCCTCAAACGTGACGCATTTTAGAATCACACAGCTCTAAAAAACTTAGGTGTCAAGAAATCAAGATCAAGCCAACGTTGGTACACACAGTACTATATACAGGCTATACATTCATATCATTTACATCTAGGCCCAAAATTTTCATTTTTGTCATTGTTACTAGAAAGGCAATTATGTTTTCTCAGCAGCTAGATTTTTGCAAATATATCCAAGTGAAATTCAGAGGAAACAAAGTTGAAAAATAAAAGTTGTTTTGTGGGGATTACCAAAGACATCTTTTGTAGGGTATGGATTCTTGTAATAGCCACAAAGTGAGATACCGTAGAACCTCTATAAAACAATACTCGATAAAACAATAAACACTATAAGATAATATTTTTCTCCGGTCCCAACTCGGGCCAGTGTAAAAAATAGCATAATGCGATAAGATGATAAGACAATAATATTTTTGAAACTCCTATGTAAAAATATAGTCCCAACAATAAGCTAAGACAATAATTATAAAACTAATGCATATATATCTAAGACAATTTAGTAAAATATGACTCCAATGTAGTTTGTATTTTCTGAAAATTGGAGATGTATTCTCAACATGCAGCCAAAAGTTGTGAAGAGTTCTCGAAGCCACAATTGCATCCTTACGTGTAACTACTTGCACATGTCCTTCCTCATCATCTTCAACTTCATCTTCACCATTAAGAACAGTAGACATAATTTCTTATAGACTTTGAACTTCTGAGCATGAAATATGTAAATAACAAAGTATAAGGAAAATTTGAATAAAAAATCTGAAAAAATATATTTCTATAAAGTTTCTTGTTTTGATAGAATATTTCTATAAAATAATAATTATTGTTTTATCGATAAAATAATAACTCTATAAGATAATAAAATTTCAAAGTCCCAACATTATTGTTTTATAGAGGTTTTACTGTAACTATTGTCTATAGTGAAGACGGAAGAGGGTAAAAAGATGCTGATACAATGAATGAGATTGAGGTAAATTATATTTGGTCAAACAACTCCTTGGCAATAATAACAAAGTAAATAATCAGCGGAAAGAAGTTCGTCAAGTTTTTGAATCATTTATATACTCACAGCTTTGTACTTTTCCTTAACCAGATTTCAGAATTTTGACGTAGCTGGCAGAGTGATGAAACAGAGAAGTTCATTTTGATATTAAATTATTAACCAACGCAATGAATCCTATCGATTTATTGGGCTTAATCTTCTCTTTGGCCCATTTTAGGTGTTATTGGTTTGGTCTCTGTTTTGCGAAGTGACTCCATTTGTTTCTGCTTAAGTAAGGGAGTGGAGGGAGAAAATTGAAAAGAGGGAGGAGGATGTGACATGATTTCAGTAGGCCTACTAAAACAAAGACGACTCTACTGATTTATTAAGACAAGGAAAAAGATGAGCAAAGATAGTGACAAGAGAAGCAAATATGAGGTGTGGAATAATCTGCCCAAAAGTGGAAATTCATAGAGGAAGACTTGAGACCAATAATTATGCGTCCAAGTAAACGGAAGCATTTATCTTCTTCCTTACATAAGCCATCCATGTCCATGTGCTTTTACCAAAGAAAATACAAATTTTCTTAAACATGAGCTCTCATCACCCTCGTAGTTCCCCTTTGATTCTCAGCTCTCTTCTCTTTTTCTTCATCTTCACTGGTGTTTCGGCGTCCTGTCCAAGTGAAGAATGCGGAGGAGTCCACATCCCGTACCCATTTGGAATCGGAGAGGGCTGCTATCTCAATGAATGGTACAAAATTACATGTAACACCTCTATCTCAGGCAAACCCGTCCCTTTTCTTTCACGTGTTAACAAGGAAGTAGTGAAGATATCTATTCCGAGTCCGCTTGGTGCTGATAAAGTAGGACAGGGGTCAGTTCGCATAAAAAACCCAATAACTACAAAGGGATGCTCCCCCAGCGACGAATTCGAAGACGAGTCGACTAGATCGCTTTTGAATTTGACGGGGAGCCCTTTTTACGTTGGTCTCCATAATACACTGGTAGCGATTGGTTGCAACAAGATGGCGGCGTTGTTGACACATGTCGAGCCAATCCTGGTGGGATGCCTCTCGAGTTGCCTCTCGACAAACCGTACTAGTTCGAAAGAGTATCTCGCAGTAATCGACTGTAACGATAATAGTCCCTACAGCTCCGAGTTCTGTGCTAGACGAAGTGGAAATGAAAAAAGCTGCAACGGTACTGGATGCTGCCAGGCAAGCATGCCCGATAGTTTTCAACAGGTTGTTGGTGTCAGAATAGATGATTATGATAACGCCACCACAACAAAAGCAGGAGCGTGTAAATATGCCTTCTTAACAGATGATGAGTCACACTTTTCATCAAATGAATCATCTGTATCTAAACTACTCCGTGCTCAAGGGTTTTATAAAGAAGGATATGCTCCAGTTGAACTAGGATGGTTCATCTATCCGACGAATCTTTCTTTCCTAGACTCTCTTAGATGCACAAATACGAAAGAGTATCAAGGAGGCTCATATCAAAAGACTCTCCTAATAAGTTGTGTATGTGAATATACTCCTCATTTATATGCAAGTTGCAGATGCAATTATGGTTACACAGGCAACCCATACATTCCGGGAGGATGCAAAGGTCAGTAATTGTGTTTATATTTCATTCAAACATGATCAAATTAAACCTATGAGATCATCATCATGGTATTTGTTGATTTCATTTCATTTTGTTTTCCTTTTCAAAACCAGATATCAATGAATGCCTAATAAAAAGAAAAGATGGGGATCCGTACTGTGGGAGAGGAGGAACGTGTGTCAACTTGCGAGGAAGCGCTAGGTGCGTGTACAAAAATCATCGGCCACTTGCAATAGGTAAATATTGCTAATGTCTATCTTAAAGGCACTCGCAAGTCGCATCCATTTATATATTTTGTATACAATGATGATGATCGATATTTCTGTTAACACCTATCTAAGCCGTACAAGAAAAAAGTATTATGGTTTTTCATTTCCCCCCCTTTCTTTTGTTTGGTTTCCAGGGCTTGGTTCGAGTTTTGGTTCATTGATCTTTATTGGTGGAATATACTGGCTATACAAATTTATTAGGAAGCAAAGGAGATTGATCCAAAAGAAGAAGTTCTTCAAGCGTAACGGAGGTTTATTGCTGCAACAACAATTAACTTCAACCGAAGGCAACGTCGAAAAAACAAGAGTGTTCAGCTCGAGAGAGTTGGAAAAAGCCACAGAAAACTTTAGCAAAAACAGAATACTTGGCGAGGGTGGTCAAGGTACTGTGTACAAAGGAATGCTTGTTGATGGTAGCATTGTAGCCGTGAAAAAATCTAAAGTAGTGGACGAAGACAAGTTAGAAGAGTTCATCAACGAGGTTGTCATTCTCTCGCAGATCAACCACAGAAACATCGTCAAACTCTTAGGCTGTTGCCTTGAGACACAAGTTCCAGTTCTCGTCTACGAGTATATTTCCAACGGCAACCTTTTCGAACATCTTTACGATGAGTTCGATGATTACACGATAACCACTTGGGAAGTGCGTCTCCGCATTGCTATAGAAGTTGCAGGAGCTCTTTCATACTTGCACTCGGCCGCGTCATCTCCAATCTATCACAGAGACGTCAAGTCCACAAACATAATGTTGGATGAGAAATATCGAGCCAAAGTATCTGACTTTGGCACTTCAAGAACTGTAACGGTAGATCATACACATCTCACAACTGTGGTTTCAGGTACTGTGGGATATATGGATCCAGAGTACTTCCAGTCTAGCCAGTTCACAGACAAGAGTGATGTTTATAGCTTTGGAGTGGTGCTTGTGGAGCTTATCACCGGAGAGAAGCCAGTTTCTTTCTTGCGGTCTCAAGAAAACAGGACACTGGCGACTTATTTCACTCATGTAATGAAAGAGAACAAGCTCTTTGACATTATTGATGCACGGATCAGAGATGGCTGCAAGCTAAATCAAGTGACTGCAGCGGCGAAAATTGCAAGGAGGTGTTTGAATATGAAAGGGAGAAAACGACCAAGCATGAGAGAAGTGTCCATGGAATTGGAAAAGATTCGGGCGTCTTCTTCTGTTGATATGCAGCCAAATGATGAGTATGTTAGCGAAAATGAGGAAGACAATGAACAACGAGTCATGGACGTTAACATTGGAGTAGAATCATGGAACAACGTGGCTGTTACCGCTCCAGCTTCTCAATACAACGTGGCTTCATCTTCTTTGTCATCGTCCGATATTGAACCGTTGTTTCCTCTTCAAACACGGTAGAACTTCAACCTCGTCGTACCATAACTAATATCTCATGTATTCCATGTTCGGTTTCGGTGTTTCTGTGTGTCAATGTACTTTTTATTAAGGTATCCAAGTGTGTAATAAGGGATGTTTATAGTTTTGACTTTTGGGGTTGTACCAAAATGTGTTATTCAATTGTGCGGTAACATAGTCTCTCAATGTTGTATTCCACATTCAAAGAATGTTATCAAAAACCTTTTAGCATTACATTCCATTACAGAAAAATTCATTTGTACAATAATTATTGAAAACAATCTTGGGTTATAATCCAAGTAAAATTCGAAAAGATTCTGATGGAAACTTAAAGCCATTCTTTAGGCTGTTTGTTACACTTACACACACATTGCATTAGAGAGACAAAAAAGAAATTATAATGTGGTAGGTATCAGCAATATTGCTGACACACTCCTCTACAAGAATTTCAGTTTTCCTTTGGAAAAACTAGCTTGGACATGTTCCATTTGACACATTGCTTTCGCTTTTCCGGTCATCCCCGAACAAGACAGTTGCCTAGAGCCTAATGTGACGGCAAAGTAGATATAAACGGTGCAGAGGAATGCCAAAAGGATCATTGCTGTTAAAAGAAACCGATGCCTCTGGACAACAGTCGAGCAGCTTCCCAAATCCTCCCATTGTTTCTTTAAAGCATGTGGCCTCCTCAATGGTGATGATACAATCCCATCAAGAACCATTATTGCTTCTGAAATCCCACCTTTCTAACCTGAAAAACGACACACGAGTTCGGTTTCATAGGAAAAACCAAAAAGCTTCTTCAAGAGAAAATCTAACACGCTTAATTAATTCAAATCATTTATGTATCACGACAATTAGAGATCTCAAAGCATCACGCTAGTAAATCAAGGAAACAGATCGAATCAAGGAAGGAGATAACGAACCAGAGAGACGATTAGAGATCTGGAGGAGAAGAACAGCTCCGTCGACAATGGAAGCCGACAAAAAAAACACTAATTTCCGAGGAATTTTTCCTCCTTCAGCTCCCAACAGCAGAAGCTTTGTCTTTCGGCGGCGTCGCTAGATTGTAGATCTCTCCTCCGTCGAGTTACGCGGCTAGAGAAGGAGCTGATTCGCCGGAAAACGCGGGTTGTCTAAGAACTCGAAAGAACACAGAGTCCGTTACATATACCGAAAATTTAGGAAAATTATTTGAAAAAAGGAAAATAAAATTAGAAAGAGAAAAACTGAAAAAGAGAGAAAGCGTGTTCTGGAATTGAGTTATCTTCCACTTACTTGTGACTTATAAATGCTCTGAACATGTGGGGGTTGTTTTTATTCTAGCTGGCTTTTAAGTCTTCGACCGACATTACATGACTGTTGTGTAATAATGCTGATGACTTTTAATGTCAAAGTACCCTAAAATTTGATTCGTTAAATACGGACAAAAAAATTAATCAAGACTAATCAGAGTTACGCCACATGTGACGAAAATCTTCATTAGTGATTTTAGTTAAAACAGGGCCTTATTGGGCTACTAATGGGCTATATATATTTGTTTGGCGCGTTTATGGTTCCTGGGTTCGTTTTATAATTTACCTCTTGAAAACGAAGAGGGCATGTGTCACGTGGATTGCACATGGAGATCTCTTGCCGCGTTTTAAATCCGAAACGCACTGTTGACAGAGACTGTTTTACTACGGTCGGCTTTTCTGTAGCGTCGTCGCTCTCGATCTCGCCGGGATTTCCAGGTCTCTCTCTGTCCCCGCCGTCGATTCTCGCCGGGATTTAACCGACCCAGCGCCGTCGATTTCATCTCTCTCGAACAATGAAGCTCACCGTTAAGACTCTCAAGGGTAGTCATTTCGAAATTAGGGTTCTACCCTCCGAGACGGTTAGTCCTCGTCTTCTCCACTTCATTCGTAATTTTGCCTAGGAGAGTAGAGAAAAGTAGGCCTCTCACGTAATTAGCATCAGATCCACAAATTCAAAATGTTTTGGTGATCGAATTTTTACAATTGTGCTATAAGTGTTTAATTAGCTCAAATTATGACTCGCGAATCCTTGTGTTAGATTCATCTAATTTGGTAATGTTAGTCTTCAAGTTTGTGAATCATTATAAATCCTCTTAATATGTTCTTGTGTTTAAGATAATGGCGGTGAAGAAGAATATAGAGGATTCGCAAGGCAAAGACAATTATCCATGTGGGCAGCAATTGTTGATTCACAATGGAAAAGTTTTGAAAGATGAAACTACGTTAGTGGAGAACAAAGTTACTGAAGAAGGTTTTCTTGTCGTCATGCTTAGCAAGGTACCTATTCAAATACAAGGATAAAAGCTGATTCATGAGTGACGCGTAGGAATATGTTGCTAGATGTCTGTTTCATGATTATTTCCGTGCTGTGAAACATTGTTTAGCTTTTCATGGTGCTGACATTGTTTTTGGCCTTTGGTTATTGATGGAAATGTAGAGCAAAAGTGGTGGTTCAGCTGCTCAGTCGTCGGCTCAGGTAGCTTATTTATTTCTCCTAGTTTTTTTCACATCACTGGTTTAGTCTGATATCTCTCAGTGCTTAATCATTTTTGTATTTCACAGCCTGCTTCCGCTACTACATCTACCACATCTTCAACTAAGGTAACTTTCTTGCATATATATTGCTTGTGGAAATATGGGATGAGCAGTTTGTTCTGCTGGATGTTTTAATACAAGCTCGTATTGGAAAATCAGCCTGAAGCTCCATCGACAACACAATCTACAGCTGTGCCTGCTTCACCTATTCCTGCTCAAGAACAACCGGCGTAAGTTTTATTATTGAAAAATGAGCTTCGTTTGAAAAGAGTTGTTATCTCTCCTTTTATGGTTATCCGAAAGTTTCCATGTTTGACCTCTATAGTATATGTTGTCTAGCAGATTTGTTCTGGTTTCATTGACACACTATAATCTCCACAGTTGAATGGTATGTGGCAGGGCACAGACTGACACATATGGACACGCTGCTTCTACGTTGGTTAGTGGCAGCACTCTTGAGCAAATGGTGCAGCAGTTAATGGATATGGGAGGCGGAAGCTGGGACAAAGAAACAGTTACTCGTGCACTTCGTGCAGCTTATAACAATCCTGAGAGAGCAGTGGATTATCTCTACTCTGTATGTCCCCTCTCTGTAACACTATTCTCTTGGAAGCGTTTAAAGGATGAAATTATTGACATTATTTTTTTTATATATCTTAGGGAATTCCGGAAACTGCTGAAGTAGCTGTAGCAGTACCTGGGGCTCAGTTGGCAGGATCTGGTGCAGCCCCTGTCGCACCCGCATCTGGAGGACCTAACTCATCTCCTTTGGATTTATTCCCTCAGGTATTTAGAATTTTTTATGTATCCAAAAGATTTAATAGTTTTATTTTTAGTTTCCATCTCAATCTTCTACTGTTAACTTTCTCAGGAAACAGTTGCTGCTGCTGGCACTGGTGATCTTGGGACGCTTGACTTTCTTAGAAACAATGATCAGGTAACTATTCTTGCTTTATCTGAAAATACGAATTGTTTTAGTTAACCATTTCGATCGCTTCTTATCAGTCATGAACTCATGATAGTGAGTAAATGATTGTCATTATGAAAAAGGGCATCTAGATTGGAATGTATAACCAGATGAATGTTAACATGCGTTGACTGTATGTTCTAACTTTCGTGAATTTCTCCCATATACTAATCCTCTTGTATTTGCTATTGTGTCAGTTCCAACAATTACGCACCATGGTCCATTCCAACCCTCAAATTCTCCAGGTAACAACACCGGCCAAATTTTCGTTATTCTGGTTAAGTAATCTGCAAGACTTCTCCCTGATTCTGAAAAATTGCTGCTTTTGTTACCCACCAGCCCATGCTTCAAGAACTCGGAAAGCAAAACCCTCAACTTCTGAGGCTAATTCAAGAGAACCAGGCAGAGTTTCTTCAGTTAGTAAATGAGCCCTATGAGGGATCTGACGGGTGAGTCATATGTTAATGTTAATGTATGCTTCTTATCGATATTTCATCAAAACTATATTTAAGCTGATTCAACGAATTTTTAAAATGACTCATCAGGGATGCAGACATGTTCGATCAGCCAGAGCAAGAAATGCCACACGCCATTAACGTTACCCCAGCAGAGCAAGAAGCGATCCAACGGGTAAGAAGACAACATTACATTTGTAGCACACACACACTCTTTTGTTGGCAATCTTTGTGTCTGACCTCTGTACCTAACAGCTGGAGGCAATGGGATTTGATAGAGCCTTAGTGATAGAAGCCTTCCTCGCTTGTGACCGTAACGAGGAATTGGCAGCGAACTATCTATTAGAGAACTCTGGAGATTTTGAAGACTGAGTTCCCTAAACAAATCTCTTTTCTTTGGAAAAAGTTTTGTCCCTTTTCAAGCAAAACTTTCTTACGTCTACACGTACTGTTGGATATTTTTATTTCATCTTCTGAGAATTAATGTGTGCTATTTGATCTCTTTCTCTCTCTCTCTCTCTCACTTGGCTTTCTTTTGCTGGATTTCTTTTATTTCTTTCCGTTTTGGATTTTCTTGCGATTATGCGGTTGTTACGTTTGTGATAGATACAAAGTGTACAAGAATCAGATATACAAAGTGAGCTCACGTATTTCTTGAGGCGATAAACATAAAGTGCAATAGATATTTTATCATAATCAAACTGTTCCTATCTTGTCGTGATTTATGTGCAATTCACGGATTTTCCGATGTTGAAAGGTAAACAAACCATTATGACACTACTGGTCTAGACTAACCGATTTTAGTAAGATCATGCAAGCCAATTGCTTCCTGGTTTAGTACAAATTGTGAGAAGCAAAAGGGTTCAAAATGTGGTAGTGCTTTATCAGACCCTCATAAAGTGCTTATACAATTCATGAACATTTTACATCTTCTCTCTCTCTTTTTGTTTACAACATACAATACGTGAACATCTATTAAGGCGTAGTGAGCCATCAAACAAGAATGTGTAGGTAAGCGTCTTGGTTTCATTTGGTTCTAGCTAAACCGGTGACTTAGCCGGCTGATTTGATACAAATTCTGAAACTGTTAAACCACTCGGTTATAATTTTATATTTTTTTTATATTTTATTGCATTGGATGAGGCCATATAATCATGATTACTACGATTTGTAAATATTTCTCCATTCGACGTTAAATATTTGAAAAATAATTAAATAAGGAAATTAGAAAGAAGAGGAGAAAAGGGGCAAAAAAGCAGAAAAAGACCTAAAGTGGCGGGATTCCAAATTTAACAATATTCACAGCAAAAAAGCTTCTCTCCCATTTGAGCGGCGATCCGATTGTGACTCTCTCTCTCTCTCTTTCATTCTCTCTCTCCCTCTCTCGTTTTCTCTCGTTTTCGTTCCGATATCTTTCTCGAGAAAATTTTGATACAAAGTGCAACGAAAAAGGGAGAAAAAGAGGGCGTTACAGCATCATCATCAATATCTTCATCAGCACGATATCTAATCCCTTTCCTTATCTCTCACTCTTCTCATTAATCTTTCTCAATTGATTTCCCTTCAATTTCTGATTGTTTCCATTGTTGTCGCGATTTTCCCGGTACGATACAGTCTTCTCCCATCCTTACGCGAATAATAATTACGACGCGATTTACGCATTTGAATCTTCTTAATTTGTTTCCCTTTTTTAAAAATTATTCTGTAGATTGCACTTGACTGGAATAAGAACCCAAGCAACCTTCACCAGCTGCGTTTGAGATTTCTTCGCTCAATTTCCAGGTAATCTCCAGCTCGGAACTTTCCAATTTGATTGCTGATTCGCTGCTGAGAAGAATTGGAATTTAGAATTAGATATTGAGTTTTTTTTTCTCGTTTGAATTGATTAGTGTTACGAACGATCTAAACAATGGAGAAGAAGAAGTATCCGATTGGGCCAGAGCATTACACCATTTACGAAGTGATTGGGCAAGGTGTTAGTGCTTTAGTGCATCGTGCTATGTGCATTCCGTTCGATGAAGTCGTCGCTATTAAGATTCTCGATTTCGAACGAGATAACTGCGATCTGGTGATTGATTATTCTCTTGTTTTTGCTTTTGCTCTCTCTCTGGATGAGGATTCATTGTGGTATTGATTACTTTGTTTTTGGCAGAACAACATATCTCGTGAAGCGCAGACGATGATGCTTGTTGACCATCCCAACGTGTTGAAATCACACTGCTCCTTTGTTAGTGACCACAATTTGTGGGTCGTCATGCCATACATGTCTGGTGGCTCTTGCCTTCACATACTAAAAGCTGCATATCCTGATGGTTTTGAGGAAACCATTATAGCGACAATACTGCGTGAAGCGTTGAAAGGCTTAGACTATCTCCATCAGCATGGCCACATACATCGGGATGTCAAAGTCAGTGATCCTCCTACCTTCTGTATATCCTTTTGTGGTTCTGAATAGTGTTTATCATCAAATGATGCTGTGAATGTAACTCGTTTCAAGTCCTCCTGTTATGATATCTTATATCTTCACTTCAGGCGGGAAATATTCTGCTCGGTGCACGAGGTGCGATAAAGTTGGGAGATTTTGGTGTATCTGCATGTCTCTTTGATTCAGGTGATAGGCAAAGGACAAGGAACACATTTGTTGGAACACCTTGCTGGTAATCACTGTACCAACACTCTTCTTCTTCTTCTTCTTCTTCTTTCTGCGGTGTTTTGATTACTCTTTCTTATTTTCACAGGATGGCACCTGAAGTTATGGAGCAGTTACATGGCTATGACTTCAAGTTAGTTCATCCTTATATACGAAGTTATATCATTCTATTTGCTTATGATACTAGAGTAGTAGATAGCAATTCTTATTTGTTTGGAACGTCTACTTCAGGGCTGATATTTGGTCGTTTGGTATAACTGGGCTAGAGCTTGCACATGGTCATGCTCCTTTCTCTAAATATCCACCAATGAAGGTTCATAACCTTGTGTGATATCTGGATATCATTTTGTAAATTTTTGGTTCAATCTAAACAATTATTGTTTCAGGTTCTGCTTATGACCTTGCAAAATGCACCACCAGGGCTGGACTACGAAAGAGATAGGAAGTTTTCCAGGGTATATACTCTTGGTGTCAAATCTATAGATTCTTGTGAAATTGCTGTCTTGTTATCATCTCAATTTTGCCTATTTTTCTTTGTATTTTCAGTCTTTCAAGCAGATGATCGCCAGTTGTCTAGTTAAAGACCCTACCAAACGCCCGTCTGCGAAAAAGCTGCTAAAGCATTCCTTTTTCAAGCAAGCAAGGTCAAGCGACTACATTGCACGGAAACTTCTGGATGGATTACCAGATCTTGTTAATCGTGTTCAGGCAATAAAGGTTGGATATGAAGCACTAAGTAGATTTTCCATAGCTGTAGAGTTCAATATTATCGGTCAGCATCTTATGATGGGGATTTGCTTTCTGCATGCAGAAAAAGGAAGAAGACATGCTTGCACAAGAGAAAATGGCGGATATAGAGAAAGAGGAATTGTCGCAGGTTTGTGTTTCCGGTTTCCAGTTCTTGTTCTGCATAGCATTCAGCCTTTAACCTCGTCTCATAGTAACAATGCAGAATGAATATAAGAGAGGCATCAGCGGGTGGAATTTCAATCTCGATGATATGAAAGCTCAGGCTTCACTGGTATGAGTTTGGTCTCCTTCAACCCTTTAAAAAGCATCCAACTGTAGCGCTCACTGTGCTTCATGTTATGATATTCTTGTTTCCATCAGATCCAGGACATAGACTGTGGCTTATCGGAGAGCAGTTTATCGGGAAGTACAACTTCGTTGCAGGCTCTAGATTCACAAGACACGCAGTCGGAGACTCAGGTATCCTCTTTGTTGACGTCTTTCTCAACTTGTAGAGTCCATATTGCTACATGCTCTGGAATTTTCCAGTGGTAGAAATGTTTCATTTTCATGGTTCTTTATAATCTGATATCTGCAGGAGGATGTTGGTCAACTGACAAATAAGTATCTCCAACCCCTAATTCACCGAACTCTAAGTATTGCGAGGTTTATCTCCTTACTTTTTTCTGTTAACTACTACTTATCTGGAACTACTAGAGGTGAATAAACTCAAGTAAGAATATTTTGGTTGGTTAGGGATAAATCTGATGATGATTCAAGTCTTGCCAGCCCCAGTTATGATAACTATCTCTATTCCTCTCCCCGTCATGAGGATCTATCTTCACATTATCCACACGCTGCTAGTACGCATGCAATCAATGGGAAATCAATGGATTCCACATCAGTCTCAACAAACCAACCAGCAGAGAGTCTATCAGATAGAAATGTTGCTCCTCATAAAGGAGAGAGGTTCGTCCTTTAAAAGTCTTTGAAAACCTGAGGTTTCGGTTTTCTTTTACTCTAGACTCAAACTTGACTTGAAAGCTCATATTCACTGACGTTGGAGTTTATACCAATCTGTTGAATTCCCAGTGATAAAACCCAAGATCAGCTTCGAAATGGGTCAGCCTGCAATGGGGCACATCCTACAGTGGGAGGAGATGAAGCACCAACAGAGCTGGTTGTTAAACCACCCAAAGCTGCAGGTAAGCATTTACAGAATTTCTTTATTCTTTGAAATCCAATCTCTAAACTAAACATTCCTGTGGACAAATTTCCTATTTATATCGGTATCAGCCAACCACGATGAAACTGAGGACAAATCAAAGCCGCCAGTAGTGCAGCAAAGAGGGCGTTTCAAAGTAACTTCTGAAAACCTTGACATCGACAAGGTAACTTTTCTTGGTTTAAAGAGGGGTGTAAAAAGCGGTTTCTTGTTTCATTAAATGTTTCCTTTTGTATTCACATCCTCTTTATAATCAGGTGGTGGTTCCATCTCCAATGCTGCAAAAGAGTCACAGCATGCAGGTTTGTAATAGTTTTGAGGTCAGCCTGATCAGCTGCAGACACAAAACTACTAAAGTCTATTACCTCATATATATTTCATCTCAAGGTCTCTCTTTAAAAACGAACATCTTCGCCGTTATGTAGGTGCTCTCCCAACATTCTGCTACTTCTCTACCTCCCACTGCTTTAGGATCAGATGTCACATTTCCAAATCTAACCAGCTCATACGTCTACCCATTGGTTTATCCAGTTCTGCAAACTAACATTTTGGAAAGAGTATGTCTTTTTTCTTCTTAGATTCTATTTCCTTTCTGTTATCTACTAATGATGAGAGAGTTCATTACACGTTTTACATCGTCTTAAAACAGGATAACATTCTGCATATGATGAAAGTACTCACCAACCGAGAGTTGGCAGGTTAAATTCCTGCAACTTTCACTCTCTTTCTTTCTCCCTTATGATTACAGTTTTTTTGTTCCACTGGATTTGAATTTTACTTTATATCTCTGATGTAGACGGACGTGCACTTGAGCAAGGAAGCGTACACCAATCTACTGCAGCTCCTACTGAGAAATCCATGGTAATACCAAAAAAAAAAAAAAATGATCTGCCTCCAAAGAATTGGAACTTACCACAAGTTTTCTTCTGTTACAGCTTGAAGCAGCACACGAACGAGAGAAAGAATTGCTCCACGACATAACCGATCTGCAATGGAGGTAACTATCGAAAGTCATCTCCTTGTGTGTGTACCTTTCTAAGGTTTTTGTTTGAAATCCAACATTCTTTCTTCTTTTGTTTGTGTTCATAGGCTCATTTGTGCAGAAGAAGAGCTTCAGAAATACAAAACTGATCACGCCCAAGTAAGCTTTAGTAGCTAACCACAATCATTCTTTCTTGCAACTATATATAACCACAAAGACTTATACTTCTCTGTTCAAATGCCAGGTTTGATTTCCTAAGTAACCTGAGAAGATGTGTGGCTAAGTTTTAGAAGTTTGATTCATCCTCAGGAATAAGTAATTCAATAAGATTTGCTCTCAGATGCTTTTGTAATTTGATTCATAAAGTACATCACTCCCTACTATCACGTTTGTGTTATTATTTTTAGTCTTTTAGGCTTTGTTCAAGGAATGTTTGTTATGTACCATGGTAGCTATTTTATAACCATGGTTACATAATGATATGTGTAATATTGATTGATACGAAAAGGGTTATTGAGAAGCTTTATCGTAATATGATGATTTATAGATTTAGCCAATTTGGATGCTTGTAATTGATTGCATCATCTCTCACCAACTCAGTGGGACAACTAAGACTATGTCGTCGTGTCGCATAGGCCAACACACAATCCGTGAATTCCATTTTCAGTCATTACTGCTTTTCATTAATGCTTCAAATGCGTAGATCTTTTGTTTCTAGTTTTGTGATTTATGAGCCTCCTAGCTTCAATCTGTATAAACTGAAACGATTCCACTTCATACATATTGAAACCAAACTAAACGCAGTTATTGAACCAGATATTATCAACAATTTTTTTTAGTTTCAAATGTGTGAAAGGTTAACACAAGTGGGTTCATAAGTTATCATTTTTTGACGAAAAAACATTTATTTCTTCTAAATTTGGCTGGCTTCATAATTTATTTAGGTTAAAGGCAGAAAGGGACATTGTGACTGATCTAATAGTTAATACTTAAATGATTACTCTTATAATTAATTAACAAACCAATTTCGAAGCATCACACGCAGCCAGACGACGAAAGACCTCTGAGTTTCTGACACGTGGCAACGCGTTATTGGGTTAATTACTGGTGATGGAGGGTACGATGCAGCCAAGAACCAAAATTTCCCACAATTATTATTCAATTAAAAAAAGTATAATTCTTCAAATTAATGAAAAAACAAAAAATGATCTCACGTGCGGAACCAAAGCTATGACCTTTGTCTGATCATCATTTCGTCTCCCTCTCTCTCTCTCTGTCTGTCTCTCAATTGTTCTTTCTTTGCATCACAACTTCCTCTTTCCGTTCAAGTTTTATAATTCTCTCCACGCGAAAGTGGAGTAAGTAAGTATACGTTGGGTTTCGTGGGTCGTCAAGTATTGGCGCGTCACTGTGTTGAGAGAATCGTAAATCGTAAATCAACTCACAAGAATCCGATGTTGTACAGATGTGATGTTCTGTTATCTCTCTGTTCCTTTTGATTCTTGCAATGCCAAAGTACGAGTCTTTTTACCCGAGAAAAATTTGAAAACCAGGTCCTTAAAGCTAAAGCTAAAAAGCTAAAGTAGTGGATTCTCTAGAGGCCAAAGTCTCGATCTTTGAGCCTTTATAAGCTCTTTTCTGGATTTCGTTTTTCTCGTTTGGCTCCTTTATCCGCCGTGGAGATTATACCGTATATCATTGCCGACAAACCCCCAGAGATATCGTAGATTTCGATCGAGGATTTCAAAAACTACTTTTTTGCTTATAAAAAAAAATTCGAACTTGTTTTCAAAGCTTCGAGCTTTTTCTCCGGATTTTCGAAAATGGGTCTGTGTTATTCAGTAGATAGGACCACTGGGAAGGAACCGGGAGAAACCAGCACCACCGCCACTACTGCGGAGACGTCGGAGGACAGACTAGGCTCCGGGCGGTGGCGGCGGCCGAGAGATTTAAAGTGCGGCGGCGAAATCGAAGGGAATCAACAGGTTTTGGGTCGGTTGGTTTCTAATGGTTCAAGTGAGATTGCATGTCTTTACACACAGCAAGGCAAGAAAGGAACCAATCAAGACGCTATGCTTGTCTTTGAGGTTTCATTTCTTAAATCTTTCATATTCTCTCTCTCAAAAATTGATCTTTTCACTTATTAGTTTTTGTTGTGTCCTCATTGGATCAGTTTAAGGGATTTTGATTGAAGAAATGTGGTTCAATGAAAGCTACTTGTTTTTGATTTCTTGCATCATCATGTGTCTTGTTGCAGAACAAAATGGATCATTCAGAACATGATTGCCTTTTAGTCTTTTGTTGCTTAGTGCTTAGTAAGAGAAAGAGAGAAACTTGGAATGATGCATGTCTATATCAATCTCTTGGGACCATCACATAGCTTAGAGGTTTGATGAAAATGAGGTGTCTTGTGTTGTTCTTGTGCTGTCTTTTGAGTCTTTGACATGTTTCCTCAGGGACCACTAGTTACTTCTTTTAGTGTTTTACATTGTCATATGAAGACAACTTATGAGAAAACTACTTCAAAATTTTCAGAACTTCTGTTCAAGAGACGATACAGTGTTCTGTGGTGTATTCGACGGACATGGACCGTTTGGTCATATGGTTGCAAAGAAAGTCCGAGATACATTGCCATTCACACTCTCAACCCAACTGAAAATGACCTCAGAATCCGAACAAAGCGGGTTAGTGGATGAGAGTGGCTTACAGATCAAGTCTACAGAGGAAGGAGAAGAAGAAGTGCAGAGAAGTGAGGCTGTTGTTACTACAATGGATGAGCAATGGTGTGAGTTGAATCCAAATGAGAACAACGAAGAGCTTCCAGAGATGTATCTGCCTCTTAAACATGCGCTGCTCAAGAGTTGTCAGCAGATTGATAAAGAGTTGAAGATGCATCCAACTATTGATTGTTTCTGCAGCGGAACAACTTCAGTCACTTTGATCAAACAGGTACTTTGCTTAGGTATTATCTCATCGATTTGTAATAATACTAATCGATTTGATTGTTTCTTTAGGGTGAGGACTTGGTGCTTGGGAATATTGGTGACTCGAGAGCTGTTCTTGCTACAAGAGACGAAGAAGACAATGCTTTGCTCGCTGTACAATTAACCGTAGACTTAAAACCGGATTTGCCAAGTATGTTGTTATCACAAAACTTTGATCTTGAAAGTGAGAAGAAGCCAGAGGATAGACTTTCTAAACTATTCTTTCAGGTGAATCAGCGAGAATCAAGAAATGTAAAGGTAGAGTCTTTGCATTGCAAGACGAGCCTGAAGTAGCTCGTGTATGGCTACCAAACAGCGACTCGCCAGGTTTAGCAATGGCACGAGCTTTTGGAGACTTTTGTCTGAAAGATTACGGTCTAATCTCTGTTCCAGATATCAACTACCGTCGTCTTACAGAACAAGATCAGTTCATTATTCTCGCAAGCGACGGGGTAACTAAACATTCAACTTCTTGCAAACTAAATTGCAAAACCTTTAGAGCTAAAGAATGTTTGTTTCAGGTATGGGATGTGTTATCGAACAAGGAAGCTGTTGACATTGTTGCTTCAGCTCCTAGTAGAAGTACAGCGGCTAGAGCTCTAGTGGACACAGCGGTTAGATCATGGAGAATAAAGTATCCAACTTCGAAAAACGACGACTGTACTGTGGTCTGCCTCTTTCTAAAAGATTTATCAGTAGCCATGGAAGTTTCAAGCAATGTGGTAAACGATTCACACAAAGAAGACTCCATAGAGAGTGTCAGTATCAGCAACAAGGAGGAGGAGGAGGACGAGATTGTCCCGGTTAAAGAGGAAAAGAGTAGAGAGATTGAGTCGAAGAAGATGATGACAATGACACTTGCAGAATGTATATCGGTTGCACAGGATGATGAAGAGTGGTCTGCTTTGGAAGGATTGACTAGAGTCAATAGTCTCTTGAGCATTCCAAGGTTCTTCTCTGGTGAGCTTAGATCAACTAGTTGGAGAAAATGGCTGTGACTTTTCTTCTTTTTTGAGACTTATGTGAATTCTCTAAGTTAAAGCAAACACAAACACTTCACATCACAATGTTCTTATGTTTGATATCCAACTTTTTGTTACTTTTTTCATAGGTTAATTTATTTGGTTTTATCTTCTTTTTTTCTTATCGGTTAAGCATACATTTCGGGACTAAATTGAGTCAACTCTACTCTCCTCCGACCATCTATTTTATGGTTGATGATAAAATTTAGGTCACACCACAAATAGACTATCTAAAAAACAACTATAAATACTGCACAATGATGATCTTATTCTTCATTCCATACCCAATTACCTTTCACAAAAAAAAAATATTACTCTATAGGCAAATAACTTTCATAAAAAAACAAAATGAATCATTTCATAGTTTTTATGTTAGTTATTGCTACGTATATTGGGTTGAATGAAGCATGCGCACCAAACCGTATAATAATTCAGAACGATCTCGGTCCCAACACTCCTCTCCAGTTCCGTTGTCGTGGCTGGAATGGCCAGGACACAGGAATCGACACTTTGAACAGGGTCGGTGCTACTTACACCATTGAGTTATCAGATGTAACCAACTACAGAGAAAGGACAGAGTGGAATTGTGAGTTACGTTATGGGGCTGCAAAAGAGTTTTTCTTTGATATTCAAGTATATCGAGCAGCCGCTGGTGTTCGATGTGGTCAGCTACGTCATTGGGTTGCTCGTAGAGATGGGATTTATTTTAGAAGAGATGCTAACAAACCGTTAGGACATGTTCTTCACTGGAAAAGATAAATTATAATCTCTGTAAGATGGTTGTTTGGGTTTTTAGTCTAATGAACTAACCCATAAGACCTACTAATTGTGCTATAATTATATAGCCAAATATGTTGTTTCGATGTATTAGTTGAAACACAATACCCATTCTCCATTATAAGGAGACATGTTTACACTTGAATATATATATAACAATATTGAGAACATGGTTGGATTTTTGGGTAATGGCAGGACCCACTTGTAATTGTAGGTGTTCCACTATCTTATCTGTCTTAACATAATGATGAAAGAAGGTTGCTTTGATTAGAAAACAAGAGCATAACGGTAACATAAGTTTACGTGATTAGAGAGATTAAATGATTATATTTGAATTGGTTCATGTACTTATTTTGAGATGTATATCACTCAAATGTTTTTTAATAACTAAAGTATTTTGAAGAAAAGAGACATGCGAACCGTTAAATTGACTTCAAAGAGAAGTAAAATTGATTGAAAGCAAACGAAACCAACTTTTTTCTTTGGTGCCTCGTGCTCCTATTGGCACACTTCCACACACACACAATTTTGTTTTTCTTGATGAGATAATGATTTAATCTTGTCTCACAAGGAAGCTACTTTAATCTCTATTTGTTTCTTTCTACTTAAATATCAAACATCAAGAACTCATGTCTCTTGAGAGGAACAATGGTTGCTGCAACAACCACCATAACCGCTACTTCGCGGTTGCTCTTGATATGTTTCGCTTACGCTTTCACTGTCTTCTCAATGGTTTCATCAGTCACTGACCCTCGTGATGGTAATTCTTGCTTTTTCTTTTGCATTGAGTTTGATCTGATCCATGGAAATGATTGTAATGCTTCTTTGATATTGTATTAGCCGCGGCTCTTCGTTCTTTGATGGATCAATGGGACAACACACCGCCTAGCTGGGGAGGCTCTGATGATCCTTGTGGAACTCCTTGGGAAGGTGTCTCCTGCAATAACTCTAGAATCACTGCTTTGTGAGTAATCTTGCTTCAATGACTCATTCACACTTGCTTTGTTTTGGTAACGTACTGAGCAAGCAAACTGATTTGTGTGTTTCAGGGGATTGTCAACAATGGGTCTCAAAGGAAGGCTTAGTGGAGACATTGGAGAACTAGCTGAACTAAGATCCTTGTCAGTCTCTTACAGTGAATTATAAGAGAGGAATGTCTCTTTTTTCTTTCTCTTTACCTCAAATGGTGACTTAGGTGTTGTTGTTTCAGGGACCTTTCGTTTAACCGAGGACTCACCGGTTCACTCACTTCCCGGTTAGGAGATCTGCTAAAGCTCAACATTCTGTAAGAATCTCTCTTTCTTCTTTCTCCTGTATCTTCTTTGTATCTATCTAACAAAACATTGGTATTGGATTGTTTCAGTATACTTGCTGGTTGTGGCTTCACTGGTAGCATCCCAAATGAGATTGGTTTTCTCAGAGATTTATCTTTCTTGTAAGTAAACTCACAGTTCTTGCAATGTTGATGAATCTTAATACTTGATCCCTGAAATCAATGGTTTCATGTAATCATATTTTCTCAGGGCCTTGAACTCGAATAACTTCACCGGCAAGATTCCTCCATCTCTAGGAAACCTCACCAAAGTCTATTGGTTGGATCTTGCGGATAATCAGTTGACAGGACCAATTCCAGTTTCATCAGGCTCTAGTCCTGGTCTTGATCTTCTCTTGAAAGCCAAACACTTGTAAGTACTATATCTCTATTGACTTCCTTTAATAAGACTCATCTTTCATCTGATGCAAATGTTAAAAAATTGCAGTCACTTCAACAAGAATCAGCTCTCAGGAACCATTCCACCAAAACTTTTCAGCTCTGAGATGATACTGATCCATGTGTAAGTCATATAAGTAATACATAACTTCTTTCAAGATTAAGGTTACTGATCATCATCATAACTGATTAATATGTCGGTTTCAAATTTCAGGTTATTCGATGGAAATAGATTCACAGGAAACATACCTTCCACTTTAGGACTCGTTCAGACACTAGAGGTTCTGTGAGTGACAACATACCATCTCTATGTCCTTCCTTAACTTCATTTTTCTTCACTACTTTTAAAAAAATATAAAGATTATCTCTTTTGGGTTTGCAACAGACGGCTTGACAGAAACACTCTGACCGGAAAAGTTCCAGAGAATCTCAGTAATCTCACAAACATCATTGAACTGTGAGTGTACTATTACAGATCCATAAATTTAGCCATCGCTACTCGCTAATGAATGAATACTTGTGGTTTCTCAGGAACTTAGCACACAACAAGCTGGCAGGATCTTTACCAGATTTATCAGACATGAAATCCCTCAACTATGTGTAAGTTTCTCTCAGCACCAGAAACCACCTTTTGTCTACTACACTTGTGTGTTTGTTTGTATGTGTCTTGAAAAAATGTGATGTTTTGTTACAGAGACCTCAGCAATAACTCATTTGATCCATCAGAGTCTCCTCTCTGGTTCTCAACCTTACCTTCACTCACCACACTGTAAGTGCTCCTCTGCTACAGTGCACATTTCCTCATGAGTAAATCTCTAAATTTATCTTCTTTCTGTTGGATTTAGGGTGATGGAATATGGAGCTCTTCAAGGACCACTGCCTAATAAGCTCTTTGGGTACCCACAGCTGCAGCAAGTGTAAGTTCCAGCTTTTTACACTCCACAGAAGTTGACAACACTTAACTCCTGATTTTGGATTTTTCACAGGAAACTGAGAAAGAATGCATTCAATGGAACACTGAGCTTGGGAGACGCAGTAGGTCCACAGCTCCAACTCGTTGATCTTCAAGATAATGACATTTCCTCTGTTACACTCAGCTCTGAATATACCAATACACTAATGTGAATATCTTCTTTTACTACCACTAATTCATACTTCAAAAACTGTTTTTTTTAGCAGTTTATTTAAAGAAGCTCTCTTGTTGTAGACTCGTAGGAAACCCTGTATGCACAACAGCTCTCTCAAACACAAACTACTGCCAGATTCAGCAGCAACAAGCCAAACGAATATACTCAACCAGTATTGCAAACTGTGGAGGAAAATCTTGTCCATTAGACCAAAAAGTGAGCCCTCAGAGCTGTGAATGCGCTTACCCTTATGAAGGCACACTCTACTTCCGAGGGCCTATGTTCAGAGACCTCTCCAACGTGAACACATACCATTCACTGGAGATGAGCTTGTGGGTGAAGCTAGGACTCACTCCTGGCTCGGTCTCTCTACAAAACCCTTTCTTCAACAATGATGATTATCTCCAGATACAGTTGGAGCTTTTCCCATCTACTGGCAAGTACTTTAACAGAAGTCAAGTACAAAGAATAGGATTTGACTTGAGTAACCAAACATTCAAACCTCCTCCCTTGTTTGGACCTTACTATTTCATAGCATCTCCCTACACTTTCCCAGGTAAACCATGTACATATAAAGCTTTATACACCTGTGTATTTGAAATTAAAGACCTTAGGCTCTTAACAATCTCAAAACTTTTTGTAGCTGAAGGTAATGGCCATTCATTGAGCTCTCGGATGGTCACAGGGATAATAACTGGTTGCAGCGCATTGGTCTTGTGCCTTGTTGCCCTAGGAATATATGCGTTTTGGCAGAAGAGACGTGCAGAGCAAGCTATCGGTTTTAGTAGACCGTTTGGTAAGTCAAATGTTATAGCAGTTAAGTAAGTGAACAAGTGTCTTAGGAGAAACGAAGGAAGAAAAATCCAAATTAGTAAAGATTGTGATACTCCTTAAAAATCCAAACTTTACATTAAGTTACATTTCAAACGTAAAGTTGAAGATTGAAAACATTACGTTTTACAATGAGTCTTTTGACTCGCTTCTTTCAGTTTCATGGGCATCAAGTGGAAAAGACAGCGGTGGCGCACCGCAGCTGAAAGGGGCACGGTGGTTCTCATACGAAGAACTCAAGAAGATAACCAACAACTTCTCTGTGAGCAGCGAGTTGGGTTATGGAGGTTACGGAAAGGTGTGTGTCTTTGAAAGATCATTGCTTGAAACTAGAAAAATGATGCCTCATCCTCTTTAATCATTCTCCATAGGTGTACAAAGGAATGCTCCAAGATGGGCAGATGTTGGCGATCAAAAGAGCACAGCAAGGATCAACACAAGGCGGTCTCGAGTTCAAAACAGAGATTGAGCTGCTTTCTCGAGTTCATCACAAGAACCTCGTTGGCCTTGTTGGGTTTTGCTTCGAGCAAGGCGAGCAGATTCTTGTCTACGAGTTCATGCCCAACGGATCACTCAAAGACAGCTTAACAGGTACTGCACAAAAGTCTGGTCTTTAGCTTCTCAATCAATCACAAACACAAAACTTTGAACTTTCTCTTTGTTGTTAGGGCGATCTGGTATTGCGCTGGACTGGAAAAGGAGGCTGCGAGTGGCTCTAGGATCGGCGAGAGGACTAGCGTACCTCCACGAGCTAGCGGATCCTCCGATCATCCACAGGGACGTTAAATCAACAAACATTCTTTTGGATGAGAATCTCACGGCTAAAGTTGCTGACTTTGGCTTGTCCAAGCTTGTTTCCGACTGCACCAAAGGCCACGTTTCAACACAAGTCAAAGGCACATTGGTAAAGCTTTGCAGTGATTATCCTCATTCATATTTCAATTTGGGAAATTTTTTGTTGAAGAAATGTTTCGATTGGCAGGGATATTTGGATCCAGAGTACTACACAACGCAGAAACTTACGGAGAAGAGCGACGTGTACAGCTTCGGCGTCGTGATGCTGGAATTGATCACCGCGAAGCAGCCGATCGAGAAAGGCAAGTACATTGTTCGAGAGATCAAGCTTGCGATGAACAAGAGCGACGAGGACTTTTACGGACTCAGAGATAAGATGGATCGTTCGTTGAGAGACGCCGGACCTCTGCCGGAACTCGGACGGTATATGGAGTTAGCATTGAAATGCGTCGACGAGACGGCGGATGAGAGGCCGACGATGAGCGAAGTGGTTAAGGAGATCGAGATCATCATCCAGAACAGTGGAGCGAGCACCAGCTCCTCTGCATCTGCCTCGTCTTCCGCTACGGATTTTGGAGCTGTGAAAGGCGGAGATAAGTTTTTGTACGGAGATCATTTGAGCCGGAAGAAAGAAGCCCGCGACGGTGACGGAGGAGGCGGAGCGTTTGATTATAGCGGTGGCTACTCTGTTCCGACGAAAATTGAGCCCAAATAATAAATGTGTAAATCTGCCTGAGATATTGGGCCGAATGATTTCTGTTATTCTAATAATAAGAACATAAAAGCCCATTTAATATAACAAAGTATAATGAAAGGCCCATAAAAGCCCAAAACGGAAATCTATCTGAGAAGTCAGAGTCGACTGTGGGGACACGGATTCCTATAAAAAGCAAAATGCGTGCCCAGAAAAGGAAGAAGTCTATCATCTCACGAGTTAAACGATCTTCATTTACTCAGTTTCGTGAATCTGTGGGAACACAGACGAAGAAGACGAACACGCAGAAGAGCAAACCAGAGCAACTTACTTTGGTGGAAACCCTAGGATTTTATCTCGGCGAGGCGTAATGTCGGAGCAGATTTCGCCGGCGATTCACGACCCGCAAGGGCAGGAGAGGCAGCAGCAAGCCGCCGGAGTCGGGATTTTGCTTCAGATCATGATGCTTGTCCTCTCTTTTGTGCTCGGCCATGTCCTTCGCCGTCATAAGTTCTATTATCTACCCGAAGCTAGTGCTTCGCTTCTCATCGGTTTGTTTTTTTCCTTCTTCTTACTCGTTCGCATTGGGATCGTCCTCCTCGAATTTTCTCTCTCCATGGAATTTTTTGTTTAAATCCTTGTGAAATTTGTGAAAATTAGGGATGATCGTAGGTGGTTTAGCGAACATCTCGAACACGGAGACTAGTATAAGGTTCGTTGAAGTTCTCATCTAATTTTTTAAGTATATTCCTAATTTTTTTATTGCTTTTTTCTGTCTTTTCTCGACTGACCTGGAAACTCAAGAGGAGTGTAATTACTCACATATACATAGTCGAATATGTGTATATGTATGAAGTATTCTCCAAATGCTGATCAATTTTCCTTTTGTCCAGGACATGGTTCAATTTCCACGATGAGTTCTTCTTTCTGTTTCTGCTGCCGCCCATCATATTATATCCTTAAATCGAGTTTTCATTTGCTAGTGTTCTTGCATTTAGTTTACTTACTTCTTTATATGACATGATTTTTACATGATTCTCAACTTGGCAACGAAATATGTTGTTTTCCTTGACGTACATGATTGCACCCAGTCAGGATTCAGTCTACAACCCGTAAGTGCAGAGAGCTCCCATTTCTATATTGATTTTGTTGTTTACCATTAGAGAAATATACAACGATGCTTATGTTGTCGTTGGGTTTTATGCAGAAACCTTTCTTTTCAAACTTTGGAGCCATTGTCACTTTTTCTGTACTTGGAACTTTTGTAGCTTCTATTGTCACTGGCGTGCTAGTGTATGTATCTCTGTCCTGTAATAGGCCTCTGTTTATTTTGACGTGAATGGCCCTCTTTCCATTATTCACAACTTCTTTTTTCTATTGAAGGTATCTTGGCGGTGTGATGTTTCTCATGTACAGACTTCCGTTCGTTGAGTGTCTCATGTTTGGCTCTCTTATCTCAGCCACGGATCCTGTCACTGTGTTGTCAATATTTCAGGTACTTTCGTTTACTACTTTTCCGGGAGATTCTCAATTTTCTGAACAGTAGATTCCTGCCAATTCTTACTACTGAATTGTTTTGCAGGAACTTGGCTCGGATGTAAATTTGTATGCCCTGGTGTTTGGAGAATCAGTTTTAAATGATGCTGTTAGTAGTTTTTGAGTAGTCATTTTACGATTCCTTATACTAGGATGAAAAAAATATCACATTACTTATCAGGTTTTTCTCTTTCTTATGTTGCTTTTGGCAGATGGCCATATCTCTGTACAGGTATGTAAAGCTACTTCAAAAATTTATGTGAAGACGATAATCAAATGGTAAGATATCTTAACAAGGCTATAAATTGGGGTGCAGGACAATGTCCTTGGTGAGAAGTCACTCAACGGGGCAGAATTTCTTTATGGTCATAGTCAGGTTTCTCGAAACCTTTGTCGGTTCAATGTCTGCAGGTTTGCTTTCTTTGTCTCTATACTTTGTGCATGGTTTGGCCCTTTTCTATTGAAATGACATGGTGGCGCTTGAGTTTAAAAATCCTGCTAAATAACTTGAAGTTATAAACAAGTTCGAGTAACCTAAGAAATATAACATATTATCAAACTAAAGTTGAACTTTCAAGCAGGCTAACGTCTTCCTAAGTCATTATATATATTAATATATTGTGTGTTTCTGCAGGGGTTGGAGTTGGATTTACTTCTGCTCTCATATCCTTTTTGGGCTTAGTTTATTATGAAACATTTTTACTTCATTTCGTACTGATAACGAGTTGTTAGCCTTAATGCAAAGCACCTCTTCAAGTATGCAGGACTAGATGTTGACAAGTGAGTGACCATAGTTTTGTGTCTAAAACTTTCTTGATTTCGCGTTCTTATGGCCAGCATTGAAATGTATACTGATTCTCTCGCTCATCCGTGTAGTCTGCAGAACTTGGAATGCTGCCTCTTTGTGCTTTTTCCATATTTCTCGTAAGTCATTTTGAAACTGTTCTCCCTATATTGCTGTACGTCTTCTTTAGTTCACCCTCATAGAAACTGTTTTTTTTGTTAACAATTGTTTTCCTTTTGCTAGATACATGCTTGCTGAAGGTCTCAGTCTATCTGGCATCGTATCGATTCTGTTTACTGGGATTGTGAGTTGTCATTTGATTACATGAATTCTGTTGTGAGATGATCAAGCTTAAAGTGAAGTAGTATAATGGAATCTGCTGTGTCTTTCAGGTCATGAAGCATTATACCTACTCAAACTTGTCTGCAAATTCTCAGCGATTTGTGTCTGCATTTTTTCATCTGATATCTTCCCTGGCAGAGACATTTGTGTATGCATTTGATTCTTATACTCATGCATTTTGATGGTGCATTTCTGTAATATGCGTCAATGGCCTAACCTTGTAATTTCAAATCATAAAATCTGCAGGTTCATCTACATGGGTTTTGATATTGCCATGGAAAAGCATAGTTGGGCACACGTGGGATTCATCTGTTTCTCTATTGTATCCTCTTAAAGCTATACTGGTTTGGAATTCAATTATTTTTTTCGTTGATATGAACTGCTGTTGCTCCTTAACTTTGTTTTTATCCTTCGTGTCAAAATTCAGCTGTTTATCGTAATTGCGAGGTACGCTTTTTTTTTTGTTCACTTTGGAATCTTTTCACATCATGTTTGTGTGTATAATTCATCATCAAATTGCAATTTTCGTGTTGTATCCGTGTCTGATATGTTTCTCTTTGGCATATTTTTCATACTTCAGGGCAGCTAATGTGTTTGGTTGTGGATATTTGGTCAACTTGGCACGACCTGCTCATAGGAAAATACCAATGACGCATCAAAAAGCACTTTGTTACAGTGGTAAGATACTGCTCTTAGTTCTATATGTAGTTATTGTTTTCAGTTAATCAGTAAGAAGTAAAAAAGGACATGTGGGTTGCATAGGACTTCGAGGTGCTATGGCTTTTGCTCTTGCTCTGCAATCTGTTCACGATCTCCCAGAAGGACATGGTCAAACTATATTCACTGCAACTACAGCCATTGTTGTTCTGACGGTAAAACTGACAATTTGCTTAAAACTGTTGCTCGTAGCTGAGCCAAATGATTTTCTTTTTATGGGATCCTTGATGCTACTGGGATTGATTTCAGGTGCTGTTAATTGGAGGATCCACTGGTACAATGCTTGAAGCACTAGAGGTTGTAGGTGATACACGTGATGTCTCCCTAGGTGATGTAAGTCGAGTGATAATATATTTTGTTCATCTAACATAAGACGTCGTGTTCTAAAAGTTCTCCTATTTCTCTACTCAATATAAAGTTAGTGCAAAAAACGACGTGGTTAAAATCCTTTTGTTTTCTGTGTGTATCAGGGATTTGAGGTGGTGAACAATCGTTATATGACTAGTTTTGATGATGAAGACTCACCATCAGGAAGTGGATTCAGGACAAAACTAAGAGAGTTCCATAAGAGGTAGATATATACTTACTAACTCACGGAATCCTGTATTTTTTTCAAGTTTCTAGTAAAACATTACAATCCAACTCGTTATCTGTTTTTGTTTTATGCAGCGCGGCATCATTCACAGAACTAGACAGGAACTACCTAACACCGTTCTTTACAAGTAACAACGGAGATTATGATGACGAGGAGGGTAACACTGACCAACACCATGGTAAATAATCAAGACTGTTCACTATTATATGCTTTTACTCTTTCCCTGGCTTAAACCATGAGCTCTAAAGAAGGTTTACAACATTTGGTTTATTGCAGAAGAACGAATTCCTTTTGCTAGAAGAGGAAATCTAAATAACCGCGGCTAAATTCCTTGAGAAGAAACGGAATCTAGTTTTTTTTCATTTCACAGGCATATACTAGTGAAGCAGCCGTTCTGTTGTACATAAAAACAAATTTGATCGGTCTGAGTAATAGAGTACCTAAGTCAGATATGGGACTGTGTTCTTAGTTCCTACTTATGAACCGTGGTGGGTGGATATTGTTTGGCTAATTACATTGACAAAAAAAACTCTCATGGCCATGTCTGTGGTTATACGTAGATTTCAATGTCATCAAATGCTCTCTAGTCTCTATTATATAATTCTTGTTGGCTTGTTTCCGAGTTAAGTAGAGAAACGTCACGGCACGCCAAAAGTGTGGACCTTGTTTTTCTGACTTTTCTTTTTAGTTGAAGTAAGTAACCGAAAACGCTTCTACTCTCTCCATCTCTCGCTCATAAATATCTCCTCATCTCTCTCTCCTTCTCTTTCTTCCTTCTTCTTCTTCTTTCATGGCTGTTACTGGCTGACCAATCACAATCTGAAATTCTTAATTCTCTCTTCTTCTCTCTCTCTCTCTCTGGTTTTCGCGGAGTTTTGGTGTATACACGATGAGTCTGGTGGTAGGTGACTCGCTGGGTTTAACTCGACTCGGTGATGGTTTTTCGTTACGCAATTCGAGAAGAAATGGCGGTAAATCCAAGCTTTTCTCGGTGAGTCGGAAGAGATTAGCGCGCGCAGCTCTTGTCCAAGCTAGGCCCAGGGAAGATGGAGCCTCGGCAAGTCCTTCCCCGTCATCGAGGGCGACGACTTCGCCGCCGGTTGTTCAATACCGACGGGCTGATCTCGCCGATGATCTTCAAGCGGAGGCGCGAGCTTTGGGTCGTGCTGTTGACGCTTCTATTTATTCCCCGGAGCTAATCGCCAGGAAACATGGCTCTCAGCCTTTCAAGGTTAGCGCCTGAAATTTGAAATTTTGTCAAATTCTCAACAAATTAAAAAGAGAGGTGAAACTGAGAGATGATGCATCGCAATTTCGGAATTAGGCTTTGCGGAGAAGTGTGGAGATATTGTCATCGTTGGGTGGTTTCGCTCTGAAATTGGGGATTGATCAGAGGCAAGGTAAGCTTGAACAGAACATGAAGAAGAGAGCAAGCGAGCTCCGGCGGATCTTCACTCGTCTCGGACCTACTTTCGTTAAATTGGGTCAAGGTTTATCCACTCGACCCGATCTCTGCCCACCTGATTACCTTGAAGAACTCGCTGAGCTTCAGGTTCACCTCTTTCCTCTCTTAATTTGGATATTGATTAACTTTGGTTGAAAGAAGTAAGAAGACAACATCTCTAACTTAGTCTATTTCCATTTCTTTTGAGTGACCAAGTAGGATGCTTTGCCAACCTTCCCTGACGCAGAGGCCTTTGCTTGCATTGAGAGAGAGTTAGATTTGTCTCTAGAATCCATTTTCTCTACCGTATCCGCGGAGCCAATCGCAGCAGCTAGTCTCGGTCAGGTTTACAAAGCGCAGCTGAGGTATTCAGGTCAGGTTGTTGCAGTCAAAGTCCAACGCCCTGGAATCGAAGAAGCCATTGGTCTTGACTTCTACCTTATCAGAGGAGTTGGGAAGCTCCTTAACAAGTATGCAGACTTCATCACCACCGATGTCCTCGCCCTGATCGACGAGTTCGCCTGCAGAGTTTACCAGGAGCTAAACTACGTCCAGGAGGCGCAAAACGCTAGGAGGTTCAAGAAACTCTATGCTGATAAAGCAGATGTTCTTGTGCCTGATATATTCTGGGATTACACGAGCCGCAAGGTGCTAACAATGGAATGGGTTGAGGGAACGAAACTGAACGAGCAAGTTGCCATTGAGAGTCAGGGTTTGAAGGTTCTTGATCTTGTAAATACAGGGATCCAGTGTAGCTTAAGGCAGCTTTTAGAGTATGGATTTTTCCATGCTGATCCTCATCCTGGTAATCTCTTGGCAACGCCTGATGGGAAACTTGCGTTTCTAGACTTTGGCATGATGAGTGAGACACCGGAGGAAGCTAGATTTGCCATCATAGGTCATGTTGTTCATTTGGTCAACAGAGACTATGAAGCCATGGCTAGAGATTACTATGCTTTGAAGTTCTTGTCGCCTGACGTAGATGTTACTCCTATCATACCAGCTCTCAGAGACTTCTTTGACGACGCACTTAATTATACAGTTAGTGAGCTCAATTTCAAAACGTTGGTTGATGGTTTAGGTGCTGTCTTCTATCAGTATCCGTTTAATGTCCCAGCCTACTATGCTTTGATTCTGAGGTCGCTCACTGTGCTTGAAGGTTTGGCACTTTACGCAGATCCTAATTTCAAAGTCTTGGCTGCATCATACCCGTATTTTGCTAAAAGGCTTCTCACTGATCCAAACCCGTATCTAAGAGATGCTCTTATTGAGCTTCTGTTCAAAGATGGAAAGTTTAGGTGGAATAGGCTTGAGAACCTTCTACAACAGGGAAGTAAAGATAGAGATTTCTCAGCGAAAGATGCGCTACAGCCTGTTTTGAAGCTTCTGCTGGATTCAAATGGTGAAGAGCTTCGACTGTTGGTGATTAAAGAAGCTGTAAGAGTCAGTGAAGCGATGGCTCTTGGCACTGTTGTTGATACATACAACTCCATGCCTGAGTTTTTGAGATCTCTTGTGTTTAATGGAAACGGGAATGGCCCTCTTACAATGAGTGCCACGGAACTCGAGAGCACGCTTGAGCTTCGGGACCAAGTCTCGAGAATCTGGAGCCTTCTTCAATCCTCAGAAAGCTTTGACCCAGCTATTTTGCAGCCAATAGTACAGGTAATAAGAATTACGTTAAGATTGTGTGTTCGCCTATAATGAATGTACTTTATTTATGTGCTAAACAATTGGTTTTGTGAATCAATCAGGTGTTACAACAACCGGAAGCACGAAGACTTGGAGGACGTGTTGCAGGCGGTGTAGGCCAACGTCTTGCAGCTCGGTTTCTGCAACAACTCCTTCGAGCCACAACACCGTCTTCGTCCCCACCAAACCCATAGCTCCTCTTTTCTTGTCAATGAAATGGTGAATTGTATATTAAGGCCGAGAAACACTCGCAAACCACAGAAATGTTTCATGTTATAGTAATAGTATCATTCTTTGGGGGTGATTGGTTGTTGCTCTAGCTTTTTTATTTTTGCTGTAGAGTTTTTGATTTATGTTTTATGGTTGTGGCTGTGAAATTGTTGCTTTAGGATATTGATTGCAGGATTTTAGTAAAAAAGGAAATAGGTAAATATGGAAAATAATAATAAGGAAAAAAGTAAAGAAAAAAACAATATATTTGGAAAGAATGAAAGAGAGAGAAAAAAGAAATTCAGAACCTTTAAAATTATGCTCTATAAATTTTGCTCTGCAAAACAAAAAAAGGAAGGAAAAATGAAAGAAATGAAAGAAGGTTGTAGGTTTAAAAAAAAAAGTATAGAGCATGATTGGTGATCTATTTGGCTTTAGATTTTTTTTTTGCTCTCTACAGCTTCTACAGCCACAACCAATCACCCCCTTTGTCTTTGTATTTTACTTGTGAAAAACCAAAAGTATAACCGATGAGAAATGTCTAAACAGAGTAGAATTGCTTCATGCTATAGTAATACTGTCAAAGTATCAATTCTTTCTCTTTGTATTTTTGCTAGCCGATGAGAATTGCCTCAAAAGAAGTAGCCGTTCGTTAATGTCTCTACATCGTACAAGTCGGTCTAGTAGGTTCTTAGTTAATCCGCAGGTGAAAGATATGAGGAGAAGTAGGAGCCATATATAGACAAATGACAATTTTGATTACAATTCGTGGACATAACCATCGCAATGGGCAATACAGATTATATACTTTTTATAGGGTTCTTGCACGCAGCGATATTCTTTTTTCTTCGTCTCCCAGCAGAAGAATTTAAAGGAAAGACAGAGCACAAGAGAGGAAATAGACAATAACCAGGATAAACTTTCATTAAGTTATCATCGTATTGGCATCATTACAGGTACTTAACCAGCAGCCAAATCACAAGAGCAAGACCGACGATTCCAAGCACTGACAAGAGCATGGACATGCATGAGCATCCGCTTTTCATGCTCTTGTTCATCACCGCAAGGCTCTTCTGCACACGCTGTCATCATTAAGAATATACAACCAGGTCAACATCAAATCCAAAGGGATATGTGAATCACTCTAAATACATGAAACTATTAACCTACTACAGAGAGGTTTACGGAAACGAACCAACTAAAGCTCGGGACTAATGAAGATTAACTTGTTTAATGAATATACTTACCCGTAAGCGGGAGTCGGTAACATCCACATGGTAGTCTAAGTCATCCTGCATGGTAAATAAGTTTTATTAGAGCAAGAAACTCCAGCAGGAAAAACAATGAAAAGAAGCAGATAGATACACACGATAAGCCTTGTCTGCAGAGTGAGCTCCTCATTGACAGCGAGAGCAATGTGTTTGGTACTCATGACTGTTACCTCCAACTGCTCGAGCCCTTCGTCTTGTTCTACTCATGGACACACAAACAAAAAAAAGCAATCAAAGAGAGAAGCCTATATTATTACTATGGTCCTAGGACAATGTGACATAATAACACAGCTTACCTCTCATAACTTGTCGTTGGAATCCAACAATGCCTTGGTTGTCCATGCCAGAGACTCTCTTCATTACATCATCCGGCTTCATATCTGGCCCAAGCAAGCTGTCTCTGTTTGCAAAGTTCGACATGTTCAAGGCAGATGCCACCTGGTTTGCTTTTGATCTCAAATTCCCAACCATATCCTTGCGACGATTCATCTCTTTCTCTGACCTGTGTATCAACAATGGCACATAGGTCAAGACCAACATGTTGTCTAAGCTTGGGGTCCGACTGTCACATATTCAAAAATGGCTTACACATGTTGCTTCCCAGGAACCTTAACGAGAAGGGATTGCAGACTGTCTAATCGTGTCCCCAAAATGGTGATCTTTCTTCGTATTGCTGAAGCACGACGTTGAGCGTCAGGCCCCGTTACACCCGATGAGTTCCATTCTGACATCATGCCATTTATATCCTCTGAGAGTTTTAAAGCCTCGTTGTACTCTCTCATCCATGCATCAGAAGAAGACGCCATTGCCCTACAAACAAGTTCCAAAAAAGTAACAATTTAGATCAAATATCAAGAGAGTCACAAGTAGCTCAAATAAGTATAGCTTTTAAACAACGACACTGTTATGAGCAAAATTAACAAAAATCACGAAACAATTACTAGAAACCGTGCAAGAGCTTTTCGCCAAAAGTCGACAAATCTGGAAACTTTCAGCGAGTCACAACGATAACAACAATTTCGAAGTAAAGAATTAAGCTAAGATTTAAATATTCGGCATCAGTAATAGACGTAAAACCTCGACATTATTCCGAAATTTCAGGTGGAGAAAGAGAAACTTTACTGTTGCGTTGAAGAAAATTGAGACGGCAAAAACTAGAAAATAGGTGCAAATTCCCAACTAGATGAGCAATGAATTAGCCAATTAGCGCAGAATCTGAGACACCCGTGATTCAAGAGTTTATAAACAGGGAAAATTTTGCGAAATACCGAATCAACGCACCGACGAAATTGACCTAAATTACACGGTGAAGAAACAAAATTCGAAAAGCTTTACCCTGGAAATTCCTTGCACCGCGATCAGATTCTGAGGTTTTGGCGGGTCTCGTACGTTGAAGATCGAAACGCGATCGTCTTGCTGACTTTGCAGGCGCGGAATCACCAGAGGAGTCGAAGACAAAAATTATGAATTAGTCAATCTGTATTCGCACCGGAGAATTTTTTTTATTTGAGGAAGAAAGCGATTTAAATCAAGCTGTACGAAACGACTCCGTTTTGTTTGTCCAATTCGTTGGGGTCTAATATCGATTAAGAAAGTAAAGGGTTAATATGATAGAATGGAAAAGATAAAGGGGTAAAAGTATATAAGTTTCTTTAGAGTTGGGCTGGTTTGAAAGGGTATGAAGGCCCATTTGAGATCCAGACAAATAGGTCGTATTCAATATGAAACGATGCCGTCGTAGCTCACCTTATGAAACGCACCGGATTGTTTTTTGTATGGTTGGTAACTTTGGTTGCCAACTTTAGCATCTACTTTTTGTTACTCATCCTCAAGAGAGTCAATTAAAATAATGGCCAATTTACATTCTTTTATTAATTGAAATGTAAAGCTAAAATCAATTGACAGGAGAGAAAAAATATAAACTATTGGATTTTGTGGGGATAATGTTAGTTTTATGAATTTTGATTGTTACAGAATATCTGAAAAATGATATTCACCTGAAACGAAACCGTGTCACAGTGCATACACTTACCTTCTTTTTTTAATACTAGCTGATAGGAGCGTGTATCACTTTGAATATATACGTACTGCGTACACTTAAGCCATAATGGGGATTATAAAATATCAATATAAGTTTCAGAACATGTTGGTATCTATATGATTACAGCCTTCATTAACAAGAGTTTAATGCATGACGTCTTCGTAAAGGCAACGGCACATGTCAGTAAGATATTTCTATTTAATACTATTGGGGCAACAAAATCTTGTAAGTTTCATAAATTGTTACGAAGAGATGATTTACCGTGAGAATCCAATGTTTTGACTCTTACATTCTTACCATGGAATTTAGGAAAATAAATATACCATCATACTATCATATTTGTATCTTTCCATCATATTTCGTCTGGAGAAAAAAAAAATAACAAGAAGAAGAAAAAGGACTCGATTTTTTTGGCGCGAATCTCAAGACGAGTTTAAGTCAAACGAGGAACCTTGAATTGTGGATTTGGTGTTGGACCATCACGTGCTTCTCTCCACGGCCTTTCAGGATTTTGCTTCTTCTGCCGCACGTGCCAACTCCTCCTACGTACGGTTGGTTCCCAACTTCCCATTGTTAACTCCTTTTTGCATTCGTATCCTTTCGTCACAGACTCAAAAAGTCTTATGTATAAATTTATTTATTTTTCGATCAAGAAATTGATTTGTTTGTGTATTGACTTCTTCTTTTTGACATTGAGGAATAAAGTCCCCCATGGCATTATTACCATTTTTATACAAAATATAACATATGTTTGATGGAAATGTGGGATGCTAAAATGTTATGAACTTGCAACGTGACGTGAGTGGAAATGAACTATCTAATACGTTCACTCATATAGTTTAGCTTTTCGTTTGTACATCATATTTTATAACGTTATTCAAATACGTGATTCGGTAACTAGGGAGCAAATTTGAGCTAACTTCTATGACAATTGCATAAATAATTAGCGTTAAAACTTGGTTAGATAAAATCTTAGTATTAGTACTATAGTTATAATGAAACTGCACTGAAATTGATGCAATAAAAAAGTAAGTGGGAGCATAATTCAAGGTACGAGACATCATTTTTCTTCCCAACATTTGACTGCAATTTGAGGGTATAGAAGCTTCAATTCTTGTTTTGTTTTGTCCTTGGGATACATAAACCAGATCTTATACTATAGTAGTATAATATTTACCATCTGTAATATAGTATTCGGTATTTATTATCTCATTAATCGATTCCTACTTGTTTTCAAAGCAAAATAGTCGTCAGTCCTAATAAAGAACAGCTGTAATCCATGGTGCTTAGCTAAAGTTACTTAATCCTCATAATCATACTCACGTCACAATAAAAAAAAAAAACACATTCTTTACACCCGACGATTTGTATAAATATGTACTGAAGAACTTGATATATATTAAAGAGTAAATATATGGTATTGACTGAAAAAGACGAAATATAATGTTGAAGAAATATATCATTACTGGCACAACATCATGTACATCAGAAAATGTTAAAATCTCATTTACATAATATCTTAGAAATTACATACTCTTCCTAGCCAAAAAAAAAAGAAATTACATACTCTATCAATCATATATATGTTCATAGCTGATGTGTACCTCTCTACATCTATATAGTAAAGTAATTCTCATATATTTCTGTGACGAGCTTTGGTTTATTAAAATTAATACAAAATAATAGTGGCACTGATCCATAGAAGCCAAGTCTCTCTCTATCTCTATCTCTCTCTCATCTCTATCTATCTCAAAGAAGAAGAAAGAGAGAGACACAGAAACCCTAAACATCGTGCCCTTGAAGCTAAGATATCTTCAGTTTTGTAGAAATTCATTTTGCTTGCTTCATTTCCTTCTCTCTTTCATTGTCTTCTACCTCTTGCCTCTAACAGAAGCAATAGTTTCCGGCCTCCAAGGTTCGCTTTCTTTCCTCAGCCATCATATATTTTTCATTGGTGTCATCATCATTCTGCATCTACAATATATATATGTATACACGCACTCACTCTCACACACCCTCGTATTTATACATGCTTTACTGTTCACTTCAACTATATCTTTATTTTCTCAAGAACATGACTAAGTATATCATCTTCTCTTTTTCAAGAAGACATGTCCGTTCGGGTTTTCAACTAACTTCATATCTCTTGGGATATTCAAGTTTTATATGCACACATATATGTAAGAAAGATCCAGATTTTATTAGTGAATAAAGCCTATTGTATCTCTTTATGATGTGCATGCATGTTGAACTATAGGGTTCCGAATTTAGATCAAGAATTAGATTCATAGCTTGAATTTTTCTTGGATACTTACACGGTCAACAATCATTTATTTTTGTTTACCTAATTTAATTTGTGTTCATGATTATATCTGATTTATTAGGGCAAGGAAAAAAAGGGAAGCATCTTTGATTTGCTTAAAGAAGAATACGGATAATGGAGATAGGGTCGTCGTCCACGGTGGCCGGAGGAGGACAGCTTTCGGTGCCTCCAGGATTCCGGTTTCATCCAACGGAGGAGGAGCTTCTGTATTATTACCTCAAAAAGAAGGTTTCTTATGAACCAATTGACTTGGATGTTATTAGAGAAGTTGATCTCAACAAGCTTGAACCTTGGGAACTTAAAGGTAAAAACTATAATCCATTTATAATTAACTCTTTTGAGTCCTTCATAAATATAATTATGACAGATTATTAGTTAATTCGTTATAGAGCGAGAGAGATAAGATAAATAAAATTTGTGGAATGAGTTGTTGTCTCTCTGCACAAGACTACAAGTTAGATGTCAAAGGACAAATACATAGATTGTGGTATATTGTCTAGGGCTTTGTCTGTGTCTCCATGGAAACATGTATATATGTACTAATAATGTGTTTTTAGTTTTACCACTTCTCATCTTGATAAATTATTTTCCAGTTTTTGAGGAACCACGAAACCTTATACGTACGTGTGAATATGCATCAAGAAAGAGACAAACCTGTCTATTCACTCTTGTCTTTTAGATTAGTAACAGAAGACAAAATTGTGATGTCTTGTAGTATATGACTACGAATATTGACATAATATTATTGTGTATAATACCCTCAAAATAAGCCAATGGTTTTTCACATCGCAGACATATAACAAACCCATTGCCGTAAGCCATAATATATATATTGTATAAATGACTGAATAAATTGTTTTTTTTTTGTTTTTTTTTTTACATTTTATAAATAATAATTTTTTCTTTTCGTCTCTATGTAGAGAAATGCAGAATCGGGTCGGGTCCTCAAAACGAGTGGTACTTCTTTAGCCACAAGGACAAGAAATATCCGACTGGGACCCGAACGAACCGGGCCACTGCAGCCGGGTTCTGGAAAGCTACTGGTAGAGACAAATCCATACATCTCAACAGCTCCAAGAAGATTGGACTTCGCAAGACTCTTGTCTTCTACACTGGTCGTGCTCCTCACGGCCAAAAAACCGAATGGATCATGCACGAATATCGCCTAGACGATAATGAAAACGAAATCCAGGTTTGTTATATCAAATAAACTCTCTATTTTTCCATGAAAATATGATTTAGAGATATCATATAAACATAACATGGATTTTATTATTCATGTGTAACTTTTCAGGAAGATGGGTGGGTTGTATGTAGAGTGTTCAAGAAGAAGAACCATTTCAGAGGATTTCACCAAGAACAAGATCAAGATCATCATCAAAATCACCAATACCTAAGCACCAACAATGATCACCATCATCACATTGAATCCCATTCAAACAATCATTCTTCTTTGATCCCACTTTCTTTGGATCATCATCATCACATGGGAAGACAGATCCACATGCCATTACAGGAGTTTGCAAACACTTTAAGTCACGGCTCAATGCATCTCCCTCAGCTATTCAGCCCTGACTCAGCTGCAGCGGCGGCAGCAGCAGCAGCCCAACCGTTTGTGTCGTCAATCAACACAACGGACATTGAATGCTCACAGAATCTACTGAGGCTGACTTCTAACAACAACTACGGTGGAGACTGGTCGTTTCTTGACAAGCTTCTCGCTACGACCAACATGAATCAGCAACAGCAGCAGCAGCACGTGCAGAACCATCAAGCAAAATGTTTTGGTGACTCGAGTAACAACGACCAGGATGTTACTCATGACCATTTGGGTTCTTCATCATCTCCAGCTAATCAAAGGTTCCCGTTTCATTACCTGGGAAACGATGCTAATCTTCTCAAGTTCCCGAAGTAGATTTGATGTGATCATTCTCATGTTTTTGAAATTACTTTCTTCTTTAAGCTATGGAACTTTTCAGGGCAACCAAATCACTGTTCCTGAAATCTGTTTGTTTTTCTTTGTCATTCTGAACTCAGCTGGATTATTATTATTTTTTCCTGAAAACTGATCGACTTCTAATGTCATATTGTAAGGGTTTATTTAGTAGTCATCAATGCCGTCTTAGCTCAGTGGTAGAGCGCGTGACTTTTAATCCCGTGGTCGAGGGTTCGATCCCCTCAGACGGCGTTATACAATATTACCTGTTTTTGATCTTTCCATTTCTAAAACTTGTTGTGTTTTAAGGATTTTCTGGTTAGATCACCATGACACCATCTCTATTATTGTGATATTCAATTTTTTGAATCACAACAAATCCTTGTATTTACATTCTCTAACACTAATATTATGAAACACATGACCATCATAACAAGAAGACATTGACGTCCAAGAAACGACATTCTTTGAGCTCTATCAAAACCAGTCTCGCATTCTCAGTACAACCACATTTAGGAAAAATATTCCATGACTGTATAATATACCGAAAATTGTTTGAAAGACTGAAACAAGTCCATATCGAACAGCATCTTCGTAGACTGGCTATAAGCCTATAATGAAGAGTGGCGATGGTTTTTGGTGGGAATCATGAGGAGATTGAAAGAGCGTCAATCTCTATTCCTCGGCTCTCATACCGTTGCAAAACAGAATGTCTTGTACTCTTGCTACCATTGTTACCGACACCGTTTATAAAAGTCTCAATAAATTTGTGTTTAAAAAAAAAAAAAAACATTTTTCGTTTCATATTTTCATCCGTATATGTATTGGGATTTCATGGTGTATTGACTATAGACGATGTTCGTTGACAAAAATATAAAGTAATCTTGACGGTGTGTGTGTACGTATATTGTTTTATCCCCTATTTAATTGCTGGTCAAAACAGTTCACTTTCTGAAAAAAAAAAATCAAATCATTCTCTGATCGCTCGCCGACCAATTTACTTTAATTTAAAAGTAACCATGGAAATTTAAAATACCTTGCGACTGCTTGAATGTGCATAACTATTACTCTTACCGTTACAGTCCATTTTTTCTTCTAAAAAATGCAATCAAAATCGAGTTAGGATGCAATATAATACTGTGGTATATCAAGCTGGCTTTAGGTGGGAGAAAGAAATAAAAGCATTTATATTTTCAAAAGCAAACCTAATTTTATTTTTCTCATGGACTTCTTCTAAGTTTTAACTTGTAAATATTCAAAAATACAAGTGGCCGACCACAATTTGTTTTTATATAATTATGGGTCCAATTGGCATCATCGATTTTGAAGTGAAGCATCGATTCAGAGCCGTGTCTCACTTATAATAATAAACACAAATCGATAGTTAACTTTTTTTTCTATTCTGTTAACACAAAAAAATTGTAGTAATTTGGATGGTGAATCGAAAATATTTATGCCCAAAATATACACACAATTCTTCGTATTACATTTGGAGTTGCCCAAGCCAACTCTACATCACCGATATTGAGCCCGTGAAATCTAAACCGACCTCCTGCGAGCTCAAATCTAAAATCAACGTTCCTGTTCCTGGCGACAATCCTTTGGTTAACATTCTCAGCGACATTCATCCGATTCTCAGTTCCACATACATTTTTCATGTTTCCGTAAACCTTTCTCCTATTCTCCATTCCACCGTAGATCTACCTTCCACCGTCAATCGCTTCCACCGTCGATGCTTCCACCGTCGATTTGCTTCATGACGAGACCTCCGAATATACGCAGCTTGTGGATTAGTCCTCCATCTTTCCAGTTCGTATCCACGAATCGAATCGTTCCTCCGTAAGATTCCTCCTATTCTTTGTTCTTAGGTCCCAAATAGTCACCGTTCTAATATCCTAGTCTGATTTGAATTTTTCCTGTTTCGAAGATTCGGTTCCCTCCTATGTTCCGCTGCCGCTTGCAGACGACTCCTCTAAAATTCCGCCGCCACTTGCTGACGACTCCTATGACTATAATGAAGAGTGGCGGGCGATGGTTTTTGGTGGGAATCATGAGGAGATTGAAAGAGCGCTACTCTCTATTCCTCTCATACCGTTGCAAGACAGAACGTTTTGGGTACCGACCGTTTCTAAAAGTCTTCGATAATTTTTTTAGTTTTTTTAAACATTTTTCATGTCATATTTTCATCCGTATGTGTATTAGGATTGCATGGTGTATAGACTATAGACGGTGAGCGTGCGTTGACAAAAATATAAAGTAATGTTGACGGTGTGTGTGTGTGTACGTATATTGTTTTATCCCCTATTTAATTGCTGGTCAAAACAGTTCACTTTTGAAAAGAAAAAATGTCAAAATCATTCTCTGGTCGCTCGCCGACCAAATTACTTAACGTGTGTTTTAAAATTTAAAAGGGACTAACAATGGAAGTTATATATCTTGCGATTGCTTGAATAATTGTGCATAACTATTACTCTTTCACTTACAGTCCATAAAACACAAGGGACTACTTTTCATAAATTTTCAAACTATGCAAAAAGTGCAGTTTTTTTTCTAAAAAATGCAATCAAAATGCCGACCATAGTTTGTTTTAATATAATCATGGGCCCAGAAACTATGCATGTTTAACCACAAAGCCCGTAGGTTAAACCATAAATACTTACGAAATAAGGTAATTTCTGAAACCTTTTAAAGGGGTACTTTTAGAATACAAATCAGGTTGACCGGATTTGGATTGAGACAATCCTCATTTTTATATCTGTTTGTTTATACGCTTCAACATTTTAATATCATTTTTGTTCTTTAGGTAGCCGACAAATTGGTTTTATCACTTTTTTTTTTTTTTTTCTCTGTTATTTAAGAAATTCCAGTTTCTACCAAAAGCCAGAGAAAACGTGAGAAAGTGAGGGAAAAAATAAGGTCAGAGTTTTCTAATCTGTTCTTCCTTCATCCTTCGCTGTGTACTGGTCAAGCCCGAGCTAAGAGACGATACCTTCCACTAAAGCTATTGTTTCTGGTTCGCTCTATCCTTCTTAAGCTTACTCACACCACTGGTTCGAGTCGTTGGAATTGTACTGTAGCATCAGATTTTTTATTTGAATTTCAAGCTATTCTAGCGTTGTGATAAGTGGTATAGCGTAATCGTTGTTTCGGCGGCTCTAGGGTTTTGGGTTTTTTTGTGCTTTTGGTAGGCGTTTAATCGAGCATTTGGTTTTTGATTATTTGGATTTAGGTGTGAAATGGTTGGGTTCGTTCGAAATCAAATTGATGCCGATGATTTTCTGTAGCGAGAATCTCGTGTTAGTGTTTTAGCTTCAGTAATTCGCATAGAGTTTCCCCAATCTATAGAGATCAGATGATTTCGTTTAGTGGTATTGCTGTTTCTGGAAGATCTGATATCTATTTTCTCTGCATTTCCTAAGCTCTTTTTTTTTTCCATTGCAGCTAAGTGTGGAACGGCATCACCATCGTCTTGAAGGAGTACCAAATCAAAATTCAGTCTTAGTTGTTGTTGTGTGGTGGTTCAGTGTTATTCAGTATGTCAGATTCTTCATACAAGCGTTTCACTTAGAGCAATTCGAAGGATTGGTGCTGTTGTTGTGATGGATAAACCTAGACATCAACAGCTATACCAGCAGTCTATGGAATCTGGATATGGAAACGAGGCTGTTCGTCAACCATTTGTGGCGGATCAAGCAGGGAGCACAAGCGCCGCTAACTTACGACCTCCCAATCCGAGTGCTTCAGATGTTAAGCACCACTACTCCATCCAAACAGGGGAGGAGTTTTCTCTTGAGTTTATGCGTGATCGGGTAGTTCCTCAGAGGTCTTCAAACGCCAATGGAGCTGGAGACATGAATCATACCACAGGTTATATGGAGCTTAGAGATTTGATTGGGATAAGTCACGCAGCATCCGACTGTGCTTCGGATGTCTCCAGGTTGAGCATTGCAGAGAATGGCACGAGGGAGTATGAAAGAACGAACTCTTCGCTTCACGAGTTTGGGAATAAGCTTGGTCATGTCCAGTCAGCACCACCTGCTTCAATAAGTAAAGATAACAACCTAAGAAATTTACACGGATACTCGTCTTCTTCAGCCTCAGGTAGTGTAACAGCGAAGGTGAAGATCCTCTGCAGCTATGGTGGGAAGATACTTCCACGTCCAGGTGATTCAAAGCTTAGATATGTTGGAGGAGCGACGCACATTATTTCCGTGAGGAAAGACATATCTTGGGTGGCGCTACGGCAGAAAATCCTTGAGATCTATTTCCAGACTCATGTTGTAAAGTACCAGCTTCCTGGTGAAGAGCTTGATGCCTTGGTGTCTGTGACATGTGAAGAAGATCTCCAGAATATGTTTGAAGAATATAATGAGATGGAAAACCGTGGGGGCTCTCATAAGGTTAGGATGTTTCTGTTCTCCACCAGCGATCTGGATGATGCTCTTTTGGGGATTCACAAGAATAACGGTGACTCTGAGTTCCAATATGTTGTAGCTGTAAATGGCATGGACATTGGATTAGGAAGGAACTCAACCCCTCATGGGCTAGATAGCTCTTCAGCAAACAATTTAGCTGAGCTTGATATACTGAACACCGAGGGGATCAATAGCATTGGTGGAGATGTTGCTGGAGTAGGCGGATCGCAGTTGATTGCAAATGGCTTCCAACAAACCGAGTCTATTCCACCAAGCCCACCGCTTCAATATTCTCAATCTGTTCCACCGATTTCTGCTTATCAGTTGCAGCAATCTGTTCTGCCAAGTTCTGCTCTTCATTATACACAGTCCATTCCCTCGAGTCCCTCTCTTCAGTATCCCCAATCCATCACACCGGGTTCTACCAGCTCCTATGGAATATACCCGCAATATTACGGGCATGTGGTTCAACATGGAGAACAAGAGCGTTATCCTTTGTATCATCACAGTTCTAACTACTCTGGTGTAGCAGAAACTACCAGTTCCATGCCGCTCCAAGGGCATGTCAATCAGCAAAATGGCTGGGTTGAAGGGTATCCGTACTCTGTCACTACACCCCGAAGCACACAAGTCCTGGTGGAGGAGCAAAAAGTAGTACCTGATACGAAAGTTCGTGAGAATGTTGAGCCTGAAAACCGTAAAACTTTGGCAAAGGATCACCAGAATCCTCCTCAGTTAGATGACGTTGAGGTGAGGAATCACAATCAGGTTCGGGAGGTGTCAGCTGCTACGACTGCACCTGGCCAGGAGGCACATTTACTACCCCCTAGAAGAGATGCACAGCAGAATACTCTTGCAAAGCCTGCTACCTACCGTGATGCTGTTACTGCTGGGCAGGTTTCTCTGTCTGGTAATGAAGATCAGCTTTCGACTTCAAATGGTACATGTGGTCTTGTTCATAATGACTCTGAGTCAAATCTAATTGATCTTAACTTCCCGGAGCCTGTTGAGCTTCCACAGAGGGTATATCGTTCAGAGAGAATACCTCGTGAACAGTTGGATTTGCTAAATCGGTTGTCGAAATCTGATAACTCACTAAGCTCTCAGTTACTAACGTCTCAGTCACAAACGAACACTGCACAGGAAGATCCAACAAAAGAAGCAGTTGGAAAGTCGCATGAAGATTCCCAAACTGTTAATGGTGATGCTACCCACCAAAAGCATAAAGATGCTGAGACTGTCTTTGAAAAAGTGGGGGTATCAGATGACACGTTGGACTCCGAGCCCCTGCGTAATGTTGCAAATCCTAATGAGTCAAACAAGAACAGAGTAGTTAATGGGGCAGATACTGAGATTGATGTAAACGCAGCCATGATTCATGTTGTCCCAGAAGAGCAAGCTTCTACTCACGGTTCTGCTTCGCTGCACGGAGATATTCTTATCGATATCAACGACCGGTTTCCTCGTGACTTCCTTTCTGAAATATTCTCAAAGGCAATCTCAGAGGTTACATCTGCTGTCAATCCATATCCTCACGATGGACCTGCTGTTAGCATGAATTTGCAGAATAATGATCCTAAAAATTGGTCATATTTTCAGCAGCTGGCTGAAGACCAGTTTAGCCAAAGAGATGTTGCGAGTATTGACCAAGGTGCTGAAAAGACGACAAATTTTTGCAAAACCGTTCCATCTGACCTTATAGATGGTGGAGAGAGCTCCATGTTGCCTCACGTCACACCATCGGGTAGAGATGGTACTTCAACAAACCTTGCGGATCCTCAGTTGACTTTAGGCCAAACTTATGGGGATGCTTATTCTGAAAGGGATGGGGGTGGCACTAGCACTATTCTCCCTTCTCTGGTGGATGAGCAGTTTAAGGTCACAGAGAGTGAAGAATTTGGTGCTATGGTGGAGAAGCTTAGGAAGCCAGATTCTGAACCAAAGGTACGAGTTAGTGGCAGTTTTTATTTTACAATCCCAAAATAACAAGTTTTACTAACGCGGATGGAATTTCTAGGTTGAAAAGACAGAAATAAGACAGGCTGCGGTTCCTCCACTTGGCTCAGATTTTGACTACAGTGGCTTGCAGGTATGAAGAATTCTAAAAAATACACATTGATAAAACATTTACTATCTTTGAATGGGAACAGTTTCAGGTTTGTTAGGAAAATCAGTATAATGTTTAACCCTTGACTAATGTGGTTACATTTGGAATCTTATTTTTGCATGTTTCTCTTGTTTCATTTCTTGTGGTACTTGTGACGAAAAAAATTCCCTGCTTCTATCACACCTCACTGTCTCTACTGAGTCGTTTTTCTATATGTGGTTTACACTTTTAAACAATAATCTACACTTAAATTTTACTAGATCATTAAGAATGAAGATCTTGAGGAGTTGAAGGAGCTTGGTTCTGGTTCTTTTGGAACGGTGTATCATGGGAAATGGAGAGGATCAGATGTGGCTATCAAGAGGATAAAGAAGAGTTCCTTTTCTGTGCGGTCATCAGAACAAGAGAGATTGGTAAGTCGTTTGATGATCATGTCTGCATTTTCCCGTTTAGCGATTGCACATGTTAATTTGTCACGTTACTCTAGTTAATGTAAACCTGACTTTCCGCAGACTGGTGAATTCTGGGGGGAGGCTGAAATTCTTTCAAAACTTCATCACCCGAATGTGGTAGCATTCTATGGTGTTGTCAAAGACGGGCCTGGAGGGACATTGGCGACTGTGACAGAGTACATGGTTGATGGTTCTCTGAGGCATGTTCTGGTCCGGAAGGACAGGTAAAGTTCCTCTTCTGATATCAGCTTTGATGAGTTCAAGTTCATATTTAACGTATTAACTCTTCTCTTCTATCTTACATGATCAGGCATCTTGATCGTCGTAAGAGACTAATCATAGCCATGGACGCAGCATTTGGAATGGAATATCTGCACTCCAAAAACACAGTTCACTTCGATCTGAAATGTGACAATTTACTTGTGAACTTAAAAGATCCTTCTCGTCCAATCTGCAAGGTAACACGATATCGGTGGACCCTTCCGTAGAAACAAGTTCAGATCAATACGAGATATGATTTTAGAGCAAATCAGATTAATATACACATGCTAATCTGCCTCAGGTTGGTGACTTTGGTTTGTCAAAAATCAAGAGAAGCACATTGGTATCTGGTGGTGTACGTGGAACCTTACCATGGATGGCACCAGAGCTTCTAAATGGGAGCAGCACCAAAGTTTCAGAAAAGGTAAACAACTTGTAGAACCATGAATCCTTTGCTTGAGATGGATTCTTGTAGTAATATACTGACTGAGGATGCAAACAAAGTATAAGACCTGTTATAGAGTTTATGATCCTTGATGCTATTGTTCTTTGCCTGCAGGTTGATGTATTTTCTTTCGGTATTGTGCTGTGGGAGATTCTGACCGGAGAGGAACCATATGCGAATATGCACTACGGGGCCATAATAGGTGCGTGCAAGTAAAATCTGTTTCTGCTTATTCATTTTATCATTCATGAAATTGAAGAGGATGATGAGATGATTGATCAAAAGTGCAGGTGGGATAGTGAACAATTCATTGAGGCCAACGATACCGAGCTTCTGTGACGATGAATGGAGAACATTAATGGAGGAATGTTGGGCGCCAAACCCAATGGCGAGACCATCTTTCACTGAGATTGCTGGCCGCTTACGAGTCATGTCATCAGCAGCAACTTCGACTCAATCCAAGCCACCAGCTCACAGGGCTTCCAAATGAAAACCTTTCTTTTTTTTCTTATTATGTGCAGTGAAAAGCAAAAAAGAGTCCAATTCTTTATATCTTTTGGTTTCTACTCTTACTACTGGTGTTTGTGGGTTGAGGAGAGATTTCTCGGTCCTTTTATCCTTTCCCTTGTTTTCTTTGACAAAAACTAGAAAATTAAAAAGGAATAATATCATCAGTTGGTCGAAGCATGTTTCCTCTCTCTAGAAAGCTGCGAACTTTGAGCTAATTTGAAAGAAACTGCACTAAAATTGTTGCAACAAAAAAAAGGAAGTGGAGCATAAATAATTCAAGGCATTTTCTTTCCCAATATCTGACTGCAACTGGAGGGCAATGAAGCTGCAATTCATGTTTTGTTTTGTATAAACGCGGCGCGTTTTACCGATGTCAGTCTCATCGCCATTGATACAGATACAGTTGTTCAAAAAGCTAAAGCTGACAGACGACGGAAGTGGGAGAGAAAAACGGCGTCGTCTCGTCGAGCCATGGCTAAAATTAAATTAAATGGATCTTTGATTGATTGAACCGAACGAATCGAGTCGAACCATAAGGTTTCTCTCTTTGGTTCTAGACTAGACCGCTTCAATTCTTATGTGATGTACCCGGTTTGATTCGGTTTAACCGATCCGAGCCATTTCGAAACTCTCGTCGTCGCGAAGAAGAAAGCTCTCGTGAGCAACCAGGAGGCGTGATTGCCCTTGTGGACTAGCTACTCGACAGCCTGTTTGGCTTAAAGCCATGGAAGCGTAAACTCGAGAAAATGATTCGGCTTGATCGATCTGCTCTTCAAATTAGATACTTTCTCATTGACTGACCATCAAAGGGTTGCAATTGAGTTCTAGTTGAATTTTTTTTCCAGGATTCGAGTTTCTTACTGTTGTTGAAATGAGTGTGCCGTGATTGGTTTTAATGGCAGATCACCTGCTCCTGTCTCCTCTCTCCTGTCTTTCCTCGCTCCAGTGGGAAAATCCAGAGGATTCTTCTCCCTGAAGATTCCTACGTTGGTAAAAATTGATGACCCCAGCAAGTAAATTCTCCATCTTTATAGATCTACATTTCCGTTTACATTGATTGCGTCTGTGTCAAATATGGTTTGATAATTACGTTACGAGTCTTGGAATTTCTAAACAATTTTGGCTTCAACTACAACTCTCTTCATTTCTGATTGAATGAGATAGTTTCATGTGCCATCTTCAATCCCACAGGGCATCGGTTTCTTCCTGGTCCAGCACGTGTATATGGTTGTCGCGTCCTTGAGCTGACTGAGAATGGCATCAGCGAGGACGACGCCATGTCTGTAGCTAATGTACCTAGTAACACTGCTGCTGAACTTGAGTCGAATCCGGATCTGGGTCCGGGTCGGATCCACAAACCTTTGAGATTTCGATGAACTTGGTGTAAACACTCCCATTCTTACCGGGGAAGAAGCTCCGTGTCTTTGGATCTTAGGCTCTCCAACAACTCCGATGGCCCTTGTGCATCTTCCTGCTGCTCAAATTGCTCTCCTCCCATATTTGTTGCTTTCCTGAGATTAATCATCAAGTGTTGGATTTGGCTTTGATTTACAGGATCTTCTTTTGAGTCTGCCGTTTGACTATTTTTACTACTCCACATTAAGCTGTAACGGTCACAACTACTTAAACACTTACATAACAGTTTCTTAGTCCTTTTAATCAGTAAAATTTCAGAATCCTTGCAAATTGGAACTTAAAAATATTGGTTTCAGCTGGTTTATTAGTTCTAACTAATTTAACTCTGTTTAGTTACCCATTAGAGTCATTAAACCAAAATGCCCTGTTTTTGAAATGCTGGAATCAAGTTTCTATAACATGAAATGCAAATAGCCTCACAAGTGAATCCCTGTCTGTTTTGTAAACCTAGACACAGCTAGACCAATCTCTCTTCTTCCTCCATTACCAACATTGATGCAAGAACCCATGGATTGCTATTGACAAAGTTAGCCATTGCTTGCCAAATATACAGCTTTTGCTTCCATCTTCCATGGACAAAACTGTGCGGTTATGGGATATCGAAACTCTTTTGACTATAATAAAAAAGAAAATACTTACTTTGATATGGTTTTTGGAGATTTCATATCCTTCCTTTATGAATTTCTGTTACTTGTGTACAATTCAACCCATTGGATGAAGATTACTTTATATAAGTGGCTCTCTTGATGCCAAGATTCGTATATGGAACATATCAAACCGCCGAGTATTGGAGTGGAATGATCTAATTGAAATGGTTACCGTGGTTTGTTATTCTCCCGATGGTCAGGTCAGGTACATAATAAATACTCTTGAATTGTCACTGGCATATATTTCAAATTAACGAAGCTCGTAATGATTTATCTTTTTATATATTGTAGGCTGCATTTGTTGGTTCTATTAAAGGGAATTGTCTGCTAGCTAAAGACTTGTTCTGTTTTGTAACCAATCAATACTATTAAAACTGAGTCATAAAGGGTATTCCAGTCTAATTCGGAGCTAAACAAGCGTCTAAACCTGTAGCCAAAACCATAACACGCAGATCTTAAAGGAAGAACTTAAAACAAACCGGTGAAAGATTTCGAATATAAAACCAAACGTGGTAACCAATTCAAGACAAAACCGAAAAAAACTCGAAATTGGAAATGTTTTAATAAGATACACGTAGAGATCACGTAATATCCGGTTAAGTCGTCAGTATGATAATCACGGATGATAAAACGGCAACTATTAATTGTGAAATTATAGTAAACAGCGTTAAAGAAGGTAAGTCGCTCACTAATTTCACATTCGATATCCCAGAAAATATGCTACATTTCAATTTCGAAAATATATCAATTACTTAAAGATTTACTTTCACAGAAATAGGATGGTTTAGATTACGGGTATCTTTCGAGAACGTATATTCGAACCTAATAACCTAATCACCAATCTTAAATAAGACTATAAATACATGGTGCACGATCAAAGAGAATTACATACCTGAATAGCTTTCAGCAAGGAAATCTTAAACCAAAAAGTTTCCTGCCCTTCGAATCACTCTTTGCAAGAACGTGAAGCCAGTGGAGAGTTCAAGTCAACATCCTGTTCCATGCAATAGGCAATTTCATCAAGAAAAACACTAGAGATGATTCTATCTGCCATTGAGGTAATTTGCTAAGTATCTTGCTTGAATAAAAACCTTGGAAAAATCCGTATTTAATATAATCTGATACGGCTATTGGGCTAACATGAACCCAAATTTTTCTTCGACGTGTAGGGAACAAAGATGGAGGAACCTGAAGAGAGAGATCAAGGATAATGGATTTTGGAACAAAACAATATCTAACAAACCAACTTTCAGTAGAGTAACGAGGAGAGGTACCAGCGTTGATCTATATATTGGATTTTCAAATGTTTCTTAACTCTCTAATCTTCAGATGTAGTTCTGTATCCTACTTAAATTATTTCATACATGGAGTGAGTGCAAAAGAGAATTAGGTTTCCTTCGGTTTTAAATCTTCTGATGTTTCTCCTCTTAAATATTTCATCTTTAGTAAGAAAATTTTGTTTTGGTTTTGATTGTAGGCGAAATCCTGAATGGAAAAGAAAGACAAAAAGAGGTGATTTCAAAAATCAATCCTATAAATGAGAGAAGGATTCTACTAGATGGAGCTGAAGAGAATGACATATGCAACTGAGCAAAGATCAACAACCAAGAACGTGTATGTTTCCACAATAAGTAGTGGCATGTAGGTAAGTCTCTATTTAGATCTTTTCTTTTGATATTATTTCTCAAGAAAAGCATCTTACTCATTTATTCAAAAACAAATCTAAACTCTTTTCTATTTTATGTTTTCAGGCAATTTCAAAAAGAGAGAACATAACTCTCAGCGTTAATGTAAGTTTCCAAAACATTTTAGCTCCAAAGTGTATCGTTATATGATCTTCTCTTTTAACAGTTCTAAAGTTCCTAACTAAAATATATGTTCTCTAACTCAAATTTATTATATCACATTCCCTCTATGTTCTAATATCATTATCTTTTATCTATGTCAGGATGCATATATATGTTACCAGAGAACATGTCAAACATTATGAATCTCAACTACCTCGAGGAGAATGGAGATTTATTCAATCCATTGCTGTGTTGAAAGTATAGCGAGACAGAATGGAGAATTCTTTTGCTTCCTTATATTTTATCTATTCAGATTAGCATAATCACAGCAAACTTATAAATTCTTTCAGTCCATTAACCTTTTACTGGTTTGTACCTATTTTCTAAAGTTGGAAATTGTGTTTTAAGAGAAAAATAGAGCTGTTAGTGTACAAACCTTATTCGCAGAATGATGGGATTCATCTTTCATTAATCTTGTGTTGAGATCATTCAAACGCACATAAACTCCAATTGACCAGAGTCAAGCTTTGTGATATTCTGGCATTGCTTTGTTTCCTCCAACATCTTTGAAAGAATGCCTAAAACGATAGTCAACTTTTAAGAATTTCATGAATGATTAAAACAATACTCAATTAGTTACAGAACTAACTAATCTGAGAATCTTACCAGAACTAACTAATCTGAGAATCTTACCGTTTCTCACGTCGAAACAGAGAAAAAAAAAAATGAGAAATTTTACCCTTTAGTGACGAGAACAACATCTAAGTCATGCCTAGAAGCAAAATCTGCATCTGAAATTCGAAGCCCTACATAAGCTTTTCCACCATAAAGCTTCTAAAGTCTGTGAATTCAATTATAACATAGTCCATACAAAGAAAAATCAGTTCATAACACAAAATCTAAAAAGTTCAGGAATGGAAAATCGAAGATCGATGATGAGATAGTTGGTGGCAGAGTCGGTGGTACCTGTGAGCAATGGAGAAGATAGCGGTGGAACGGAAGTCGTGACATGGGAAAACTCGTCGTTGTAGAAGAAACGACAAACGAGAGATGATTTCCACCTCACATCGTTCTTCTTGGATTGTGAGGAAGAGAGATAGACGCTTGAGAATAAAGAAATTGACCAAGGATAAGAAGAAGAAGACGAAGAATAAGGTCGAACAGGCAGGAGATTTAGTACGCAGAGGTTGAAGAAGGACGATTTCGAGCAGATCGAGAGGGAAGAAAACGACGGAGAAAACGAAGAAAAATGGAGAGTTTTCGAGTAACAAAACAAAAATTAAGACAAAACAGCGACAAAAACCGTAATTAAAAAAATTAAGACAAAAGAAAATTTTACGGCTTTTGTACTTAGGAGGTATTATTGGATTGTGTGTTTTAGTGGATTCTTAATGGGAGTGAAATCAAGTTATTGGAATATGTATTTGGTAAAATTATAGTGTCTAAAGTAGTACAGTAAAGAAAGGGAATCCGAGAAAAGAAAGTCATAAACGAAAAAGAGCAATATACCGTTGGTTAAGAAAACCTTCGACTACATGTTTACAGATACACATGCACAAAAACGAAAAAATAAAAACAGTTCTTATAGCTTCAACGAAGAAAAATCAGAGATGAATTTTTTCAAAGGATTACATAGATTTTACAAAACAAGTACAGCTTGATGCTTGAGAAATTATAAGAAGAAATCAAATCATTTCACAAACCCAACGATAAATTGCAAATTTTAAACCATAAATATTACTTTTACCTCATTTTCAGATAATTCGCTCTAACAAGATTCAACAGTTCAAAGAAGAAATTACCTTCGATTAGTAGCTAAATCACGGAATTTTCTTATGCAAGAGACCAATTCGACGATTACAGTTAGAATTGGTGTCATGCGTGAGAAAAAAAGGGATTTTCAAGTTTTGGAGAAGAAGAATAAAGCATAAACGGTATAGCTTTCCATATTTTAACTAGTTGGTTTTGTTAAGTAGTAAAATTATTATGGTCCAACTTTAAACCAGCGTCAAACCGAAAATTGAGTCAATCTGTCTTGGAAAATTGAACAAATAAAGTTCACAACTTCCTATATTATATTAACATTTGTTCAACAAAGTTCACAAATTTAGTTAATCCAACATTAACAATATTATGGGTCAGAATCAACATTTGTTTAATTGACTGAAGTTCATGTATTATAGTTACATTTGTTCAATTGACTAAAGTTCACAAATTTAGTTACCATAAAGTTAACAACATCACGGGTCAGAACCAACATTTGTTTAATTGACTCAAGTTCACAACTTACTGTGTTATAGTTACATTTGTTCAATTGACTAAAGTTCACAAATTAATTAACCCAAGGTTAACAACATCACGAGTGAGAACCAACATTTGTTTAATTGATTAAAATTCACAAATTAATTAACCCAAGGTTAACAACATTACAGGTGAGAACCAACATTTGTTTAATTGACTAAAATTCACAAATTTAATTAATCCAAAATTAACAACATCACGGGTCAGAACCAACATTCTTTCAAATTTGGGTTAAAAGAAACAAAAAGAACAAACATATGTGGTCATCTATGAAATATTGTACAACATTTTAACTCACTAAATCAAATCCAGCGAACCCAAAAAATGATCACATATTTACTTTATATTATTCAGACTTTGGTTTCAGTTAGATTTGATTCGCTCGAGGTTATAATCTAGCATTAAGTCATGCAACTATAACAATTTGTAATTCACCAAAAAACATAATTAATTATCAATTTGTAACTGAGGGCTTACATAAATCTGATCAAAGACTTAGTATTGTTCTTATAATTATGTAACAACGGGTAGGATCCATCCTAATTCGACTTTCTGCTCCAAATAAGGTAATGTAAAATGATCATTATCTTTCTAAGTGTGTTTTACATGTCTAAATATTTACTAAGCATCAAGACACATGTAAGTTCCAAAAAGATATGTACAACTCATATAAAGAAGCAAGAAAAATGAGTGATTTGATCCGTTATAAAAGAAGTACGGGATGTTAAGATTTTTGAAGATTTTAGCTAATTGACCTGTGCTGCTACAAGTCATGACCAAGTGATTTAAACTAATGGAAATGCTAAACCTCTTACGTAAAAAACTCAACATCTTCTTTGATGAATACACGTCGCCGATTTCTCCAAACTTCAAGCTCCGACAACTTTTTATCTTCACCATATTTTCCATCACGAACTTATACCAATTAATCATATAAAATCGATTTCACATCATCATTCGAAAAATAAGGATACGATTTATGGAGAGAAACTCCATAAATCGATTTCCCTTTGACGACTGTATTTTGTTCCGTTTATTTATTCATTAATGTTACAAAAAAAACAATTGATTTGGGCTATAATTGCAATGTCCAGAACCGACCAATTGTGGGTTAAACAAACATGTACATCGTTATTTATTTCGGTAATGTCTCATAAAATCAGGTTTTTAGTGTCTCCCTAAATTAAACATACAAACCCATAAATATCTCATTTTCATCATACAATTAGGTCATAGATACCTCATTTTCATCATACAACTGAATAATATCTTAGCCCTAAATTAAACTAATGATAGTTTAATTATCACATTCACCTAATTCACCCAATTAGCATAACTAATGTTTTTTATAAGATACAACAACCCGTGTTGTAGGAGCACGGGTCAAGATCTAGTAAACCCTTAAAACTCTTACGAAATTTTGTAATTTTTTCTCTACTGATTGATCAGATTGCAAGTTGGATCAAACAAACCTGATTGATCTGCAACACAAAAAGAAAGCTCAAGCTTAAAAGATCAATGCTTTCCAGTTTTTGCGCCGATTCATCAGAAGTGCTTGTAAAGTTTTTATTAAATGTATTTTGATTTTAATAATTTTTTTTAAGAACTTCTATACGGTCTTACCAATAGAAGAACAAAACATTTAAATCAAATACAAGTCTTTTTAAACAAACAAAAAAAATTATTAATAAAAAAGTGTAGTGATACCCCATCTGTTATGAGGTAATCAACAATCTGTCAAAATAATATTTCTTCCGTTAAACCTCCATACCATTTCACTGGGGAATAGAAGCCTAGACGATGTTGAAATCCTAGGCATAGACTCTATCTCCTTTTGTCTCTCTTCAAGATTGCAGGTTGGTCGTTTGAAGTAGATTTCCACTGTCTTTAAACATTTTGAGTGAGCGAGAATGTATGTCAATAGTTGTTTATCATCTTCTCTTCCTCCATAGTCGAACCACACAAACATTTCTAGATGAGACGAAAAGCATCCGGGAGCAGAACTGGGCTGGTTCCAAAGGGCCCCATTTATCTGATATCAGTCAAATATTCACGTTAATATTAACTTCATCAAAAAATTAGATGCGCTCTTGTAGAAGGGAGGATGCTACTTACAGCTTCGATCGTAAGAGATTTTAATTTAGGAGAATTCTGAAGCAAAAACATAAGTGGTTTCAAACAATCTACTGATTCATCTAGACAAGATAGGTAAATCTCTATGAGCCGAGAGAACTCAATGGCGTTAAAACATACAACCTGTGATAGAAAAAAAAAAAAAAAAAAAATTAGCAACACGGAACAAAAGAGAGGGCCAGTGATATTAATAGCTACCTTTGATATGGTCAAATTCAAGTGCAGATGTATAGTAGAAGAAAGAGATCTGAGAAGCTTGTCATCGGGGTTATGAACAACGATGTTTGCCACATTAAGGCAAGCCATGTGGTCTATGATTAAGCAGTCTTCCCAAACGTCAATTAAGCGCAAATTCGTTAATGCAGGGGAATCGATTACCAACGACCTAATGAGATCATCCTCTTCCTCTTCCTCTTCCTCTTCCTCTTCCTCTTCCTCTTCCTCTTCCTCTTCATTATCTTCCTTCGTCCAAGCATAATATAATGTTTGTAAGGAAGACACTTTCACGGTAAAGTTTTTCAAGTTGTCATCCTTATGTCTTTCCACCCTCAGATACTCGAGAACCGGGGAACTTGATAAAAGCCTAGCAAGAGAGTCTTCGTCTTTATACACCACGTTTAAGAGACTCAAATCTGTGAGAGAAGGTAGGCAAGCCAGTGAAGAAACATCCACAAGGATCTTGTTTGATAGAGATAACATAACGAGCGTTTTGCATGTGTAAAGGCTCTTAGGAAAGCTTGTGGGCTCCGCTTTCCAGAGGAGCGTCAAATCTAACTCTTCCACACCACGATTAACTGCCTTCTCAACCCACTCTCGGACATCCACGTCAACACGACAACCTGGACCGATTTCGGTAATCAAGCACTCTAGTTTCGGGGCCTTATGGAGTTGCAATGACTTGTTAATAAACCACGCAAATCTGTCGCTGCCTTCATCTATGAAGGCGAGTTCAGGCAGCATCGTCCAGACATAACGCCATCGTTTAGACAAGATTGAAGTAGCGACTGCATCTTTTGTCGGGACAAAGAGCAAGATCAGCACGAGCAGATGGTCGGGAAAATCACAGATTCGCTGACAACCTTCGGTTTCTAGAACAGATGATAGATCATGCTTACCCATAGATGTGAGAACCTAAGCGCCTGTGGAACCAAACGCTAATCCCTCTTTACTTCTTTCAGGGAAAAACCCTAATTTTTGTTTTTCCACACAAAAGTAACTCTTAAATATAACACACGTTTATATCTCACTGTAAGTCTAGATTGTTTTTTACTCCGTATGAAACCCAGGTTTATATTAGTGCATTTAAAAAGAAGCAAAACTTGCCAAATATTGAAAAGTAAAACTGCAACAAAAAAAGAGAGGAAAAAAGCGATGTAATTATATATGTGAATGTTGCGAGCATATATGAAAGGCTTTTTGGCCATTCTCTAAAAAGCAACCAAATAATTATTTTTTCTCCGACCTCTTAAATCTGTTCACCGTCATCATCTTCCATCATCCAATAAGTCTCTGATTTACCCTTTCTTCGAGCTTGGGGTAAGCTTCTAGTTAGGGATTTTATCATCGTAGCTTTTCCCGTACGTAACAGTCTAGTATAGAGGGAATAGGGTTTTGTTGCGTTGGCACCATGGGTTTGTCAAGGTTTGATCCAGAAATCGAAGGTTGTCAGAGAATATGTGATCTGCCCGACGATTTGCTATTGCGGATCTTACTCCTCCTCCCGGCAAAAGATGCAGTGGCCACTGAGATCTTGTCTAAACGATGGCGTTACGTCTGGAAGATGCTGCATAAAATCGCCTTCATAGAAAACCAAGACAGCGAGAGCTTTGGTCGGTTTATTGACAAGTCACTGCAACTCCACAAGGCACCGAAGCTAGTAAACCTGGTTGTCGAAGTGGGTCCACGATGTCCTGTTGACGTAGATGTCAGAAAGTTGGCTGACAAGGCAGTTAACAAGGGTGTGAAAACGTTAGTTTTCAAGCTCCTCTGGACAGGAGAGCCCACAAGCTTCCCTAAGAGCCTTTACACATGCGACACGCTCGTTTATTTATCTCTATCAAACCAGATTCTCGTGGATGTTTCTTTCCCGGCTAGCCTACCATCTCTCTCATATCTGGCTCTTTCCAAAGTGGTTTACAAAGACGAAGACTCTCTTGCTAGGCTTTTATCAAGCTCCCCTGTCCTCCACGAACTGGTGGTTGAACGACATAAAACTTTTGGTTGAGGACAACTTGACAAACTTTACAGTGAAAGTCCCGTCATTGAAAATATTAAGTTATTGGACTGGTTGGCGAGAGCAAGAGCAAGAGCAAGAGCAAGAGCAAGAGGAATATCACATTGGGTCGTTGGTGATAGATTGCCCTGCATTAACAGAATTAAGTTTAGTTGACCATTGGGGAGACTATTGTAGTGTGACAGAGAATATGCTTTGCCTTGATGAGGTATACATTGGCTATCTTCCTAACCATGATGAAAAGTTTCTGACATGTCTTTCTTCTGCCACACGTCTGTGCTCGTATTTGTCCGAATTAATGGTAACGGTTACATACCCCGATCTCCTTTGTTCCTTGTTCCTTGCAGGTTGCTCAACTAATCTTTTCTTTTCATTTATTTCTTTTTGTAGGCTGCGTGTTGTGACGCCGTTAAGTTCTCTCGGCTCGTAGATTTAGTCTTTCAATCAGAAGTAGACTGGTTGGAACCACTTATTTATTTGCTTGAAAACTCTCCTAAGCTGAAAACTCTTACGCTCTCCACCGCGGTAAGTACCCTCATCCCTTAGAATGTGAACATCTAGTTTTGATGAATGTAAATTAATAAAAGTGTAATGGTATCAGGGATGTCCCTTATCTTCCTGGAACCAGCCGAGTACTATTCCCGGATGCTTATCGTCTCATCTAGAGATTGTTAGGTGGAAAGACTATGAAGGCAAAGAAGATGAGAAACAACTAATGACATACATTCTCGCTAACTCACGATGTTTAAAGACAGTGGAGGTCTCCCTCGTAGCAACCAGCGATCTTGAAAAGTGCCAAAAGGAGTCAGAATCTATGCCTAGGATTTCACCATCTTGTAGGCTTCTTTATTCTATCCCTCAAGCCGACTGGACATTTTAGCTAGCTACTTCATCTTGATCTCGGTTTTGTGAACAACTCTATTTACTAGATTATTTGTAGCATTATCATTATTATGTTACTTCAATAGATTTTTTTTTCTTTCTTTCCAAATGGACTCTAGTGCTTAATGGAACAGTATATGCAAATGTAATGGTATCAGGGATATCCCTTATCTTCCTGGAACCAGCTCTAAGAGACTGGCTGAAGGATCATGCCAATGCATCACAGCTGGATAAACTCAAATGGGAATACTTCTTGATCAACAAAAGTCCATTAAGATCAATGAAGAAAAATATCAATCTAGAAGGTCACCTACACCTACTCACGTGACAATCATCAATACTTTTTAAGTTTTCATAAGTTGTTGACATCCCAATGGTCTTATAGCTTCCGGATTGATCTAAAAGCTAACAGGACAGCCGCCTCAAGAGGAGACAGCTGATCCATCCGTTATTGTACATTACGTACAATATTTAGCTTTTTTGGTGCATGACTGAGGACCATGTTGAGAAGTCGACATCCCAGATGATATGATAGTTTTAGGTGAGAAGATCTCATCAAGATGTCATACTGTTAACTGTTAAGGGGTCTCTACTGTTAATAGAAGGTTTTAGAAAGGATGGTATGAAACATTCTGGAAGTATGTTCTAAATATTATTTATTGTTCTATCACAATTTTTTTTTTATACCAATATTAAAGATGCTGCATAAACTCGACTTCATAGAAAACCAAGACAGCGAGAGCGTTGGTCGGTTTATTGACAAGTCACTGCAACTCCACAAGGCACCGTAACTAGTAAACCTGGTTGTCGAAGTGGGTCCACGAACCACGATGTCTTGTTGACGTAGATGTCATAAAGTGGCTGAGAAGGCTGTTAACAAGGGTGTGGAAACGTTAGATTTCAAGCTCCTCTGGGGAGGAGAGCCCACAAGCTTCCCAAACCCAATGGCGAGACCATCTTTCACTGAGATTGCTGGCCGCTTACGAGTCATGTCATCAGCAGCAACTTCGACTCAATCCAAGCCACCAGCTCACCTCACAGGGAAATCCTACAATCGCTAAAAATTTAACGATATTGCACTGAAATTGTTGCAACAAAAAAGTAAGCGGGAGCATAATTCAAGGCATTTTTCTTCCCAACATTTGACTGCAACTTGAGGGTTCTTGTTTTGTTTTGTACTTGGCATACAGAAACCAGATCTTATATTATATGGTAGTTACCATGCATCATATAATATTTGGTAGAAATTATATGTAATTTCAAATTAGATGTCAAATTAGCTAAAATTTAGGAATTCAGCTAATTATTTGATTATCGTCCTAAATTATGTAACAACAATAATGGATGCAAAAATTCAGCCAACAATTTAAACAATTATTGATTCTGAGTTATTGAATGACCCTGGTATGTGAAGTAGAAGCGGTTTTCTGTTCCTATAAAAATTGTATCATTCTTTCCACTATAAAACTTTTTAAAAACTAAATGATACAACAACTCTCCAAAGAATTCCGACACAAATCTTCAAATCGAACCTAAATTTTATAAATTTAGAATATTTAGCCCAACATAATTTTGTACTGTTTTTGCTCAATTCTTCCCATGGAACATGTTGGTGGAGAAGTCTTCATTCATAACATCAATAAAGTATGTTGTAATGTATTGGTGGAAAAGCTATAATTAAGATATTTCATTTCATAACATCAATAACTCAAACTATAGTGAGAAAATGAGATTGATAGAAATTGATGTTATGAAACCGATCTTAACTTTTTTGCTGCTCTTTTTGAATAACTTTTAAAACCGATCTTATACTTACGATCTTTTGATTGTTTGTTGTTTTGTCAGGGGCTACCGCTTTGCAGCAAATGATGGCGGGCAAGACAGCGCCGAACTCCTCAGGTTCCGAATAACCAGAATGAAGGCCCAAATCAGTATAAGAAGTCGCCGAAGGGTAAAGACCGTCACCATGACCACATGGGTTATTAGATGTCTTTCAAAGACGTGTCTTGAAGACAGTGGATATTTCAATTAGATGATGCATTGATGAATTGAGATTTGTTTTCATGTTCAGGAAATTGGAGTTCACAAGCTAAGACAATTATCCCAATTTTAGTTTCGTAAATTAAATTGTATTTCTTATACATACATACATTTAATATTTTTAACTCCTAATCACGTTATAACATTTTAAATTATCTGTACAACTTTTAGAATGAGCCTAATATGCTATCCGAAACTTCTCAGCCGAAAATTAGAATAATTATTGGGCATGTTATGTTATGAGAAGTAGAAGAAGGGTTTTTGTTTTCACTGTAAAAACGTCGTATCGTCTCTCCTCTCGTCTTTGTCGTTAAAAAAACTCGTTCATTTCGTAATCCATGTCTCATTTGACCTACGTAAAGTTTTGATTGTAATTCTCTAACATAGTTTGTTTTTTTCCAAAACTTATTTTCTAGTGAGGTGTTGAAAAAATAAAGTTCTTGTTGTAATTCTCTATCAATAATTTGATTTTTTTTCAAATCTTACATTTTATCCAAATCATCATTTGACCTAAGGGTAAAACTAATCTCCACCACTCTTTCTCCTTTGAAATTTGTTTCTGTAATTCTCTATCAATCGTTTGATTTTGTTTCCAAATCTTATTTTCAGCTCATTCCAAGTTTTTTCGTTTTGCTATATGCTCCACATCTTTTTCATGTTGTTTTCTCGCTAAGATGGTTCCAATAATTTAGCGATTAGAATGTTTTTCAGGAGATTAAGTACCACGAAGCTTGTGTGTATAACAATGTTTTGTGTTTTCATATTGAATGAAAGATACGCACTACAAATATGAAGGAAATTATCTTTTGGACGTGTTACTACTATATGATAGCTGCATTACTCTTCTTTTGTTTATAATAATGTGTTTTTTTGTTATTTGATAATTAATATCCAAACTTGGCGAGGAACTCTGCTCCGCAAGGCTGGCAATTGACAAACTGGAGTCTGAAGCAAAATGTCTAGTTGAAACTAATGCTGAGGTTGTTAAGTGGAAAGACTATGCAGGAAAAGAAGATGAGAAACAACTAATGAGATACATTCTCGCCAACTCACACCATTTAAAGACTGTGGAAATCTCCCTCCTAGCCACCTGCAAACTTATTAGAAAGTGCCGAAGAGAGTTAAAATCTATGCCTAGGATTTCACCATCATCTCGGCTTCTTTGTTCTCAAGCAGTCAAGCTAATTAGAGTTCGTAGCTCTCGGCCTCAGATAGGCTACAAATCTATAGACAATTCTATTAAGTAAATTATTTTTAGAATCATCATTATTAAGTTACTTCAATGTGCTCACTGGTATTTCCCTTTTTTCATCACTGTCTCTATCGTCTAGAGTAAATGTGGTTTACTAAAGGCTGTAGCCATTGTTAAGATATGGGAAGTTGCTTTGTCTCTAGACTGAATCTTTTCACTTAAATACTCTTTTTAAACCAGTCTTCCACCAATATATGATTATAGAGTGTTTAACTAGAGGGAAAATGGGTTTTATTTGTAATGATAAAAAAGGAGCTTGCAATATACAAATTCAAAGCTGGAAACTTTTCCAGTTACTCCTTGACGAGAACTTACACTAATAATAATGTTACAATATCATCAAAATACAGACAGAAACAGAGTAGAAGATTTGACTGACTCTAAACCAATGATGGGTGAAACAAGTACTATGGTGACAGGAGCAGATTAAAGGCTTCTAGCTTCTGTGAAGTGGTGCAGGACGTAAATCAATTGGCTGATAGCTCACTCGGTCCTTGTGAGGCAAAGGTTTCTCCTGCAAAGTTATTAATAGTCGGATTACGCTTCTAGACTTTAAATGGGACAAGAAGGGCTTGATAGTTATCAACTAAACTATAAGTCGGAATTCGAGAGTGGTTTAAAACATGAAGGGGTGTAACAGAAATAAAGCCTACATTTCTGACTAGGTGTGGTGACGTGGCATTCGCAGGTAGATTACGCAATGCCGGAGCAACACGTATGCAAAACCCATATGTAAGCACTATCCAACTGAAACTAGAAGCTCAAAGCTAAAGTGAGAGCAACTGAGACGAAATCTAGAAAGCTCCATACCGAAAAAAGCCTTTTTTTTGTTCTCTCTCGCACCGGTGGTGATTGTCGATTAATATTAAGCCCTTGTGGCGATTGTTTTGAACGCGCGCTCCTTCATGGAGGCGGAAGCGGTGGGAGTTTGTAAGGATACGGCGGCGTCGGTGGAAGCGTCGACGGTGTTTCCGGGGTTCAAGTTCTCGCCGACGGACGTGGAGCTGATCTCGTTTTACCTGAAGCGGAAGATGGACGGCTTGGAGAAGTCCGTCGAGGTTATACCGGACGCCGATATTTACAACTTCGAGCCCTGGGATTTGCCCGGTTTGTCTTCTATTGCCCTTTCTTCTACTTCAATTTCTTTTTTTTTTTCTCATCTTGTTCGTCTGGTTGCACTCTGGAAAACACAGAACTTTCTATTTTTGGTGCATATGGAGATTTTGTTATCAGATATTAGTTTTATCTTTCCTTTTTGCAATTTTTTTTTTTTTTTTTTTTTTTTTATTGTTGTTGAAATTTTAGCAGTTTCTTAGGGATGGTAAGGCTTACTCGTTAGCCATGTCCATGAATCCAATTGAATTTGTGTCTCCAAGAAGGATATTTGAGATCTGGAAATCATTTGAAATTAGGGTAACATGTTTGATAAATTGTTATCTTCTTGTACATATTGATTTCTGGAGACAAGAGTTGTTGTAGCTTAGGAAACCTTTTGGATCAATTTGAAGTTGTGAATACGATTTTAGTATGCTTGGAATACAATTTTCGTTGTCTTTTATTCATGATTCTCTCCTAGTTGAATTTATAAGCATTGTCCTGTTTTAATTAACTCTGGCAATTGACAAATTCTTTGGTGTGTTTTTGGCTTTCCAGATAAGTCGATTGTGAAGTCTGATACGGAGTGGTTCTTCTTCTGTGCCCGTGGCAAAAAGTATCCACATGGGTCACAGAACAGGAGAGCAACCAAGATGGGTTACTGGAAAGCGACTGGGAAAGAACGTGATGTGAAGTCTGGCTCTGAAGTAATAGGAACAAAGAGGACGCTTGTCTTCCACACTGGCCGTGCACCAAAAGGCGAAAGAACAGAATGGATCATGCATGAATACTGCATGAAAGGAGTCTCGCTGGTAATCTATAATCTAACTTGAAACTTTGTTTTTCTTCATTTTTTTTTCTGTTAACCATTACATTAGCTACTTGAGCTATTGTGGTTTTTTTTTGCATGAAAACTAAATCTCATACTTTAATGTTGTCATTAGTTTAGTTGAGATATTCATTTACATTTTAGGGTTTTGGTGTTTGGCTTGGGTTTGATTGGTTTATCTTGTGTATATTATTGTAGGATGATGCATTGGTTGTTTGCCGGCTAAGGAGGAACAAAGAATTTCACACGTGTACAAGTCAGAAAGCACCAGAGCCAAATTCAGCAGCCGAGAAGAAGCATGCGATCTTGCAAAACGGTGCCACTGGCTCAGAGAGCCCGTCTGATTGGGACCGCATGGTTGATTTCTACCTTGCAGGTGAATCAGGGGAGAAACTACTCACTGAAATGGCAGAACCATCACAAAATCTGCAGGTTTATTGTCGCCTTATGTTTATACTCTTTGGCCAAATGTGAATGATGGTTCTTGAATCTTGATTCTCGTTCTTGTGTGTGTGTGTGTTGTTATAGGTGCATAATGATGAGGATTTCTTTGCGGATATCCTAAGGGATGAAATCATCAGCCTCGACGAGACTGTGAAGACAGGGAGCACACCAAACGAAGTGCCAACGCTGGAGTCAGCATCAATGGCGATAAGGGTACTTCCACTACCGAACGTGATAGACAGACAAATGGCTTCACTGCTGGAGGAACTACCATCGCAGGAGAAGCAAGGGAAAGATAACACCGGCACTGATTCACTGTCGAGCTGCTTCGTGGGTCTATACTCGATCAAGACTGTGAACAGGGCTCGATGGGATGTCATTATATGTGTAGTGGCGCTCATTGTATTGTTGTTCTATCTAGAATAAGAAGGCTATGGGATAAAGTAAGAAGTAAGAAACAATGTCCTTTTGTGTTGATCTTTTCTGGGCATTGCTTTCTTGCTTCTAGATGATGTTGAACAAGAGTAGATGGTTTTTTTTTTGGAAGCAGTGTCCTGTGTGTTGATCTTTCTGGGCATTGCTTCTTCTTGATGTTGTTGAACAAGAGCAGATTATGTTTGTCTAGGCGGTTTATGTTTTTTAAGTTTCATGTTCTTCTTCTACTTTGAAATTGTCCCTTTTTATTTTGGTTCGGTTTTATGGAATTACAACTAAACCGGTAAATCAAAACACGCAATCGACATCTCGAAATCAAAACCAAACCGATGCGTGTATAATTAAACCGGATAATTGTTCCTTTTCATTTAACTCCGTCTCTTCAAGACGGTTGCACGAAGATTGTAGATTTCGCTCCGCCATTAAACCTCTGCTTTGCATTTCCGGAGAAAACAAGTAGCCTCACCACTCCGTTGAACGATTTTACCGAAAGATCTCGATCAGTTTCTTCCGTTTTCGCGCCTCGCCGGAGAAAAAAAATCCAAGGGAAGACGAGGATTCGATGATGAAGTGTGCTTTCACTGTTCAATTTGGATCTGTAAGTTCAGAGATATCTTAATCTTCTCGTTAACATAGTCTTTTGATGGTTTAATTTTGTTTGTGGTACTGAGGAAATCGATTTCTGTAGCGTTAGGTTTGCTTATCCTTAACTGCTACAAATGAAGTGAGATTCGTGTTGAAATCAAGTTAGAGAGCTTTTATTGATGGATTTTCTTCTTATAGTAGTAGCTCACAAGTCACAACACTGATCCAATTGTTCTACTTTTTGGTTTTTGTCTAGAAATTTTGAAATTTGGTAGGTGAATTTCACTTTTGAATTTTTGCTCTCTCGATCTCATTTTTCGATTAAATTTCACAGTTTGATTAGGCGTGGTGCTGGAGCTCACTGAAAGGAAAATGTCGAGGCCGATTATGCTGGTGTTTCTTCTAATCATACTCATAGTCACTTCTCAATTCGAATGGAGGCAACCGCTTCTTGAGCTTGACGCAGCTCCTAGCTTGTCTGAGAAACAGCACCAAATTACAAAGAGAGAAGACGCTGTGAAAGAGAAGGTACTGTGATGATCCTTACACTCTCTTTTCATGGAAACTTTGTGTGTTCACATCACAAGTTCTGCGAATGGCCTGAATTTGGATAGAATCATTTGCATTACAAAGTTTGTTTCTGATTTGTGCATCGTTACAGATTATCTTGTCGCAAGAGAGACATATCCAGAGGCTAAACGACCTCGTACGAAGTCTTAGAATGGAGTTACTGCAGTGCAAAGGAGAGAACGAGACACGGAACGCCACTGAAGCCTCTCACTTAGACAAACAGTTCATTGAGCTCGAGAGAAAACACATTCTGGAAGACTAATGTTTCACAACAACTCTAATAGATAACCCAAATGTTACGTCAAAGCTGTGGCTAAAGAGAGAATTGAATGTTGTTCCTCTTAGATTCTCTAAGCTCCAACTGTTGTAATTTATCTCTGTTGTGTTAAAACCTTATTCACGAGAAAAGTTGGGATGTTTAACTGTAATATATCGTTAGTTATATGGTTGATTCCCGTATTATCTAAAACATACATATGATCTGTATACGTGTGTGTTCGCATAGTCAAACTTTGGTTTGTTGTTTGATTTTGCTTTGAATTAGGGTAACCAAAAGTCTAAGATGACGAAGGCAATATGATGTCATATATAATTCTCTTACTCTATCTGCAATTTTGTATTTTATGTTTCACTATTCCATAAGTCAGAGCCTAAATTTCACCAACCACGTTTTAAGTCAAATAAAACCAATATCCCACGGAATATTAAATCATTTTATTTACTCATTTTACATTTTTATTTCTCTTTCTAAAGTCAATAATCTTAACATTCAAAAGCCATTCATCTAGTCACATTTTTTTGGTCAATCTTTCCATCATTTTGTTGGCCGTGCGTCTTGCTGTCCAGATTCATATTCACCAATATTTGATCAATTTTTTAGCAATTCGTTTGGTGCTATTTTAATTTGCTTTTGAAAATTCATCATATATGATTTTATTTAATTGTAAGAAAATTCTTTATCAAAAAAAAAATAATTGTAAGAAAATTATAACTTTGAATGTTAGACTAGTTATTTATTTGTGGGGACGTAAACACATTTCGCCTATTCATTTCTCATGCCATGATAAATCTAATAATATGAATATCATCCACCCATTTAACTACATTTACAACCTTACAAGTTACAAGTTCGAAACAAATGTTCTATCTCTATCTAACTCTTGATTTATTTTTCTGTTTTCTGGATAAAAATATGAAAAAAGGACAAACTATCACGTTTGTATTTATCCAAATACTATTTGGTAATAAATGCATTTTCAAAGCAAACAAGTCATATACTCAATCTTGTGCATATTGTTTTCAAATCACATTTATTGCTACGAACACCTCACTTTTGTAATTATTTCCTCAAGAGTATTTATTTTGAAAGCTAGATAAAACTAATCCTACTGATTAATTAATATGCATTTAATGAGACCTCTCTCATCTTGTGTGTGTATATCTGTCTATATATAACAGCAGCCAAGAACATGAAGACATCAAACTTTCTTTCTTTAAATCTCAAGATCAAGAACAATACGAGTCTTCAACAAGGTAAGCTAATTTCGAACCAAGATCCAAGTTAATTTGTTGAAATATTGTTATTTTCCATCTTCACTCTTTTATTGATTGACACATAAGTCATTCGGTTGATCAATTCTGCTGCTTTTATTTTTCTTTGTCATAATTATAATTAATATAAATACATGTTTTGTAACCCATCAATCTTCATCCAAATTTTCTAACGCAAAACCTGGTTTTTGTTTTTGTATTATGTTTTCTTATTCAGATTCCAGCCGAATAGTTTCTCAACATTCGTACTCGATCTTCGTGGAAGTCAAGAAATATGAATTATCAACAAGAAGCTGCGAGTAATCTTGAACTTGATCTGAAACTAAATATACTGGATTCATCTTTGCCCACTGAGAGCTCAACTTCATCGTTATGCTCGGAGGAAGCTGAAGGTGGAGGAGGAGAGGCTAAATCAATGGTGGTCGTTGGTTGCCCTAATTGCATCATGTACATCATCATGTCTTTGGAGAGTGACCCTAGATGCCCTAGATGCAACAGTCAAGTTTTGCTTGATTTTCTCTCAGGAAACTGTAGCAAGAAGAGCATCGATTAAGAAAATATTCATCTCAGAATGTTTGTTCTTTTTTTTCTTTTCGTTGATTTGTTGCCACATATATTGATAGTTTGAATTAATATAGACGAACGGATGCGTTCATATATAAAACTGATATCTAGCTATATACTTTTGTTTAGCAAGATATATATCGTTAATTTTATCTACGAATATTAATTCTTTGCAAATAGACTAAGATTATGTCGCTATAATTCATCATAAAATTGTTTTAGCGGTGGATTTATGGCAATTAATGACAGATGTGTCCTCTTCCAAACAATTATAGAATTCCTCTTTGGATACTAGATATTTCTTGACTATTATCGGGATATATTTAATTTGATAAGTGGAAAATTAGTTGTTGTTGACTTGTTGTAAGTTCAATCTATGTACGTGACATAACTACGTGTTTAACATGAAAAATGTGGAACAATGACTTTCTTCTTTTCCTTTTTTGCTCTAAGTGATTCTAACTTTAAATGAGAAGTCTACACACCTATAGTCATATATATACACATCATACATCAAATAATAAATAGGTTCGGTTTACTTGTTACCAAAGTTGTTGAACTAACAAATTAAATGTCTTAAAAATCATGAAGAAGTGTTGTTCTTATTATCCATGGGAAAAATCTTCACCTAAACTTACTATAAAAAAATGGATGTTTGTTTTCACATTAATGTCGGATTTAACATTACGTGTGTTTCGTTCCCTTTCCCAACTATCAATAGGAAGAACACGTATCGTACGTTTAAGTTTATTTCTCACATTTTCATCATTAAAGTCACCACTACGCACTACCCAATTTCAGTCGCATAAACAAAACAAACTGAAACTGTTTTTTCCTTCTTTTCTAAAGATTTTTAAAAGCAAAGATATTTCTTACTAAAATTCTAAATGCGGTTCCGATTTAGTTCCTTCACATATTTCTTCCATTGAAAAATGTTTTAAAAAATATAAAAAACATTCGATTAGACGTAACCCCTAATTTGTTCTAATCCATCTGAGTTTAACGTTGTAGTGATTTCTAAGAAGTATGCTTTAAAAGTATAGAAAACGCTAACTTTTTCAATGTATGAAAGTTATAGTTTCTACTTACTAGTAGCAAAACTTGTCACCAATTTATCGTTGAACTAACAATTACAAAGTGAACAAAATTTTGTTTTTGACAACTACAAGACGAAAAATAATTTTTCTTTTTAATGATTATATTATTGATCGATGTCACCTAAAACTGCAAAATGAAACTATTCAAACAAGATTTTTTCTATTTTGTTGATCGGAGGAATTCCAGATCGAAATCTGGCTTAATCCTCTGAAGCGCATAAAAATCCAGATTTTCTGGTCATTCATCAAGATTTTAGATTTATACGGATGATTAAAATCGCTGTGAAGAAAAGATTCAAACTATGCGAAAGAAAAGTTTTCATAGTAAACCCTTGGACTACTAGACCAAATCAAGATTACATCAAACTACAGACGTGTGTTTGTGTGTATATATGTAACAGATATGCGTATAGGTTCATGCAGGTAGCTCATGACAGAAATTGACGGAACACAGAGTTAATCTGATTCTTTAAAAATGTGGGAAGCTCAAATGCATGTCTTCATTATTTTATTATTTTACCTTCTCATGTTCCCAAGTCACGTGACATTCCTCCTCACCCTCGATCTTTTTGCATGCCAATTTCCACATATTTACACAATATATGATATATATCTCTCAATAATAAATAATGGCGGAGAAATATTGTTATTAAAATTCAAATACTTTATGTTATGAGATAAGATATCGA